CGCCTTAAAAGCACGACGTGCCTGTCATGTCTTAACTGTCCACAACCGGATGAACCAGGGGTCAGCAACCTTTTTCAGCTGTGGGCCGGTCCACCGTCCCTCAGACCATGTGGTGAGATGGACTGTATTTTTTTGGGGGGGATGAACGAATTCCTATGTCCCACAAATAAGCCAGAGATGCATTTTAAATAAAAGCACGCATTCTACTCATGTAAAAACCCGCTGATTCCCGGACCGTCCGCGGGTCGGAATGAGAAGGCGATGGGGCTGCCTGGGGCCCCCGGGCCTTAGGTTGCCCACCCCTGGGATAGACCGTGTCCGCAATGCTCCTCGGTGAGTGTTTAAGGCGCCCGAGGGCGACCCCTCCTCCCGGCCTCGACACCTGCGCTTGAGCCCCTGTTGCTCGTGCCACACGCAGCGGCGAAGGGGCTCCCCGGCCTCTCCGGGAGGCGGCCCTGAGGGCAGCGGGGTTTGGCTGCCACCACTATTCCTTCTCCGTTTTCCGAAGGGAGACGGGGAAGGCAAGGCAGGAGTCCTCCTCCTCCTCCGCCGCCCGCCTCTGGGCCTCAGCTGCCGGGCTGAGGAGGCGGGCGAGGCCCAGAGGCGCAGCCCTCCCGGGGCGGCCCGGCAGAGGGACCGGCGCGCCGCCATCTTGCTTCCCGCCCCTCCGACTCCGCCCGCCCCTGCGGCGCCGCGGGGCCACTTACACGCGCCTCCTCGCCGCGCCGTTCCGCCTGCGTGCGTCCCGCCGCTGTGACGTCATCTCGTCCCGCCGGTTGCCGGTGCGGCGACGAAAGGCGCTCGCGGGGCAAGCGCCTGCCCCTCCCCCCGGCTCGAGGGGAGCCGACTGAGCGTGCGCGGCGAGCTCTGCGCGTGCTCCGTGGGGCTGCCGAAGCCGCCTCGAACTTTGCTTTCCCGCTCTCCTTTGCCCACTTCTGCCCCCACGGAGCGTGCGCGGCTGGTTTTCCGGGCATGCGCGGCAGCGTCGCCCGAAGGCGCGCGCCCGCCACTTCGCCGCACGAGGGAGAAGGAGGCGCGAGAAGCAGGCGGGGAAGCCGGGGCTGGGGCCCGGGGGCCGCGCTCTCCTCCCTCGCCGCTCCGGGCCAAGGGCTGGCGGGGCGAGCGGCTGCCCGGAGGAGCGCCAGGATGAGGCGCCGGCCTCTGGCGCGCGCTCTCCGCAGCGGAATAGTTGGGTGCCCCGGGATCCCTCCCTCGCGGGGCCGCCCTTCGACTGCGCAGGCAGGCCAGGCCTCTTCCAAAGCCGTCCCAGCCTCTTGCGGGAGCGACTTCCCACAGCCCGCGCTGCGTGAATCGGGGGTCTCTGCCCATTAACAGAGGGCTCTTGAAAGCCAGGGCGGTGTGGCGGGGAAGAGCGGTAGACTCGTAATCTGGGGAACCGGGTTCGATTCCCCGCTCTTCCACTTGCAGCTGCTGGGTGACCTTGGGCCAGTCACACGTCTCTGCAGTCTCTCAGCCCCACTCACCTCACAGAGTGTTTGTTGGGGAGGAAGGGAAAGGAGAATGTTAGCCACTTTGAGACTCCTTCGGGTAGGGATAAAGCGGGATATCCAATCCAAACTCCTCTTTTTCTTCTCTTACCTGGAAGGAGGGAAAGGCGTGGAAGGCCAGGAGGAGGCGCCGCTGCTGCCCCCGCTGCTTCATCAGTCTCTCGAGCTGATTGCCCCTCGCGCTCAGGAGCAACAGCCATTTGCCTTTGGGACCCGTGGCAGCAGCAATGGTGGCATGGAGTGGAAAGGGGAGGGTTCAATGGGTTACCATGGGGGAAACGGAGTGGGGTGGGCGAGTGCTGCAAGCAGGGGGAAGTCTCTACTATACCCATGTTTGTAATGTGATCAGGGGGGTCAGAAGGAAAGGAAATGCAAGGACAGATAGTGGCAATTATAGCTAGAAGAATGTGTGCAAAATAAGTACAGTGTCTCTTGCAAAAACAGTAATAGGTGACAAAACAATCAACTTGGCATCTTTAAAAAAGGCATTTCCTCTTCACTCACACAGGAGGGAATGCTTCTTCTAAACGGCACCTCCAGTTTTATTAAGCAACCAAAATTTATTTAATTACTGACAGCTCTAAAGAGTAGGTTTTCTGTTTATCACAAACAAGGCAACCCTTCTTATTGCTAGGATCATCAGCGCTTTAGGGTACGCATTCCCCTAAACATTTTGTGAATCTTTGTACTTTTTTCTCGAGTCAAAATGACAGTACCCCTAAACATTTTTTAAGAAAAAAAAGCACTGGCTAAGATCACTTTTCAAACTTTGGGTTTCCATGTAATGGGAAGGAATGCAAATTCGGTTTTGTCATTTGCTGACATTTTCCTCCAACACGTAAATCTGCCTCATTGTTCTCACCCATCTGATTCCTGCCAGTACTTCATGCATTCCCACTCATGTTAGTGTCAAAAGAACCAGGAAAAGCATGAGCTCTAGAAAATTCAATACAGTGTTAAGAGAACAACAAACGAGCATTGTAGCCTTGTAAGATCATTGGACTATTTTAGAATTTATGAATGCTAACGTTAAAAATTCACAAAACAGATCTTGGCTTACCTGCTAAGGATGGCTGTAAAGAGGAAAGTTGCTTTTGTTGCTAAGGAGATCTTGTTGAGCTTTGAGTAAACAAAGACAGCTTGAAAAGGCATTCAGTGTGAAAACACAATTGCTTGCATCTTCTGACATTTCTTGGCTTAAAACTGGTTTTGTGCTACCTGATTTTGCTATCCACCTTTCAAGTACAAATTCTAATGCAGATGGTACATAAAAGTATTTATTGTCATCCTCAGAAGGGCTGCAGCTCAGTAGAAGAACATCTATTTTGCATGCAGAAGTTTCCAGGTTGTTAATTGTTGCTAATTAAATTTGAAGATTCATGTTCAACTTCTGGCATCTGTTGCCGCTCACTGTAGGCAGTACTGAGCTAGATGGGGCGATGGTCTAACCCAGGACGGGGGGTGGATTTTAAAGGGGTGGGCATCCAGGAAAAAAGGTCAGCAATCCCGCCCACCATTGGACTCACCTTGGGAGAGTACTTGCAGGTGCAGGGATAACGTTCAGCAGCCTTGGGAGACTGGATACATTGGTGGGGGGAGCATTTGGAGGTGCAGGGAGAGTGTGTTTTGATTCTGCACTGGTACCTCAGTTTTCAAACAATCCGTTCCGGAAGACTGTTCAAGTTCCAAAACGGTCAAAAACTCAAAATGGAAACCGTGTTTCCTGTTCGACTTCTGAGGCGCATTCAAACACCGAAGCATTTACTTCCGGGTTTTCAACGTTCAAGTTCCGAAACGTTTGTCAATGGAGACGTTCGAAAACCAAGGTACCACTGTACATGGGTTTAGCTTCACATGCTATCCCTGGAACATAATCCTGGCGTAAGTTGAGAGTCAGCTCTAACAATTACTTCATCACTAAAATACTTTGAGTCAAGTCATTGTTTATAACTATAGATGACAATATTGAAATCAGAAAAGTAAGTAACTCCTGTGCTGTCTGCACTGCTGACTTGAGGCCAGAGCTGAAGTGGCAGGTTTTTTTTTTTAATCCTCACAACAGCTCTCTGAGTTGAGAGGTCCTAGAGCATGTTTCATAAAGATTTGAACCTGGGATCACATCCCCACCATGCTCTGTAAAGGCACATACCACTCTGACATGACTAGTTTGCAGACCAGAAATATCTTCTAGGCTTTGTATTAGGAAGCCAATTGCTCCCATGATGTAAAAGAGGCATTGAGATCCAGAATTGCTTTAGCCTTCGAAGTGTAGGCAATGTTTTCCCTTTTTTTTCTTCATTCAAACCCATCACCCTCCAACTGATCCATCTAAGGCTATACTGAGTTGCAAAGTCTGCGGAAGGAAGCATGAAGTGCTCCAAAATCTCCTGGTAGAAGGCTGCGTTGACCCTGGACTTAATGAAGCACAGTGGACCAACACCAGCTGATGACATGGCTCCCCAAATCTCTCTTCTGATGAGAGCAGCTTTTGCATCTCATTTGGAAACCAAGGACCCAAGAGTCTGGAGGAAGAATGGGGAGGCACACAATGCTTGAAGTCCAGTGTGAAGTTTCCACAGTATGTGTTGATTTGGGGAGCCATGTCATCAGCTGGTGTTGGTCCACTATGCTTCACTATGCTTTTCCTCCCTCTCCGAGTATCTACTAGTATTTTTCGCTCTATAAGACGCACCAGACCATAAGACGCACCTAGTTTTTGGAGGAGGAAAACAAGAAAAATATTCTGAATCCCAGAAGCCAGAACAGCAAGAGGGATCACTGCACAGCGATCCCTCTCGCTGTTGTGGCTTCTGTGATAGCCGCACACAGCCTCTTCAGGGCAGCGGGATGAAGGCTCCCCCTGCCCTGAAGAGGCTTCGTGCGGCAAAGAGGGGTCTTGGGGGCTTTTCCCTGGGGAGGGAGAAGGGCAGCCCGTCATTCCGTTCTCCCTCTTCGAGGAAAAGCCCCCAAGAGCGGTATTTTGAAATGTGTGTTTGTGAAACATTAAGTCGCCTCTTAAGATGTCATACTCTCTTCTGTGGCTCTGGAAATCGCTCCTGCGCATGCCCAGATGCCGGAAATCACTTCTGCGCAGGTGCGATTTCTGGCGTCTGGGCATGCACAGAAGCGATTTCTGTACATTGGGATACAGCTGGATGCCAGATGGTGTGGGGAACCTTTCAAAATGGATTAAAAAAAACTTGGATTTTGTAGTTTGATTTTTAGCGTCCCTGTGCAATGCAGGTAATTTGTTCCCCTATTTTAATTAGGAATTAGTTCCAAAGCAGGCTATAATACCGGCAAAACCCCCGAAAACCCTATGTACGGAAAGGGAACGTGACGTGTGCGCTGTTTCACCGTTCCTGACGAGACGTTTATTTGCCCCGTTCCAAGCTTGCTTTGCGGCGGTGTCGCGCCTTCCAGCCCCGCCAGGCGCCCGCGGCTGCGCAGGGCGAGGGAGGAGGCGGGAGCGCGCGGCGCGGCCTCGCGGGCGGAGGGAGGAGCAGCCCGGGCCGGCGCCGCGGGAGAGAGCGAGAGAGCGGCCGGGATGCGGGCGGCGCCTGGCCCTCCGCTGGCGCTGCTGCTGGGCCTGGTCCTGGGCGCGGCGACGGCCGAGAGGCAGCACTACGGCGCCGGCGGCGAGCACCGCCCGGACTACGACCGCGAGGCGCTGCTGGGAGGCCAGGTGGGTCGCCCGGAGGGAGGGAGGGAGGGAGGGAAGGCCAGGCCACCTCTCGCTCGCTCCCAGCTTGCAGCCGCGCAAACCGAGAAGGGGCGGAGAGGCCGGAGTCCCGGGGCGCCCGCGGAGAATCCCCCGGCCCGCGCGCAGCGTGGCTTCAGCGGCCGCGGGGAGCCGGTCCTGCCCCAGGGCTGGGGGGCGAAGCAGGCGAGCCGGGAGGGCGGGGTTCCATTGTTGAGGCGGCCGCCTCCCTCCACCCCCCGAGCTGCGGCACGGAGGCCCTGGAGGGCGGCGGAAGGGGCTGCGGAGCAGGGGGCCTCGCTTTCGCCAGGGGCCCGGGCATCCCGTCCCTCGGAGCTCAGTGGGGTTTACTTCTAGGGGAGGGGGACTGTGACCCCACATACAAAGATGATGCACACCCCCCCCCAAATCAGAATAAGGCACTCACAAAAGGCAGACAAATGAGGACAGTGACCCCCCCTCCTTTGGGGATAGGTAACACAAAGAACTGGGACATAGTTGTATATGCTAGGGAAAAAGAAGCAACCCAGGTATTGGTTGGGGCTTCAAGTTGCTTTTGGACCTCAGCAACAGGGTGCACTGTGTTTTCTGTGTGAAGAAATGGATGTTTAGAACTGCTTAAATGAATGCTAGTTATAAGCCAGTCTCTCTAGATTAATTAATAATAAGTCAATAAGGTGAATCATGATAATAGTATATAGCGCGTCTAAAGAGTTCAAAGTGCTCATCTTGATATGTTTGCATCAACCTTATAAGGAGGGTGAACATTCCCAGGGGAACTGAAGGAGGCAGTGGTGCGACCGCTCTTAAAGAAAACATCATTAGATCCCTTAGATCTATCCAATTACCGCCCGGTTTCGAATCTTCCATTCCTGGGTAAGGTGATTGAGAGAGCGGTTGCTGAACAGCTTGGTAGGTTTCTGGATGAAACATCGGCTCTGGATCCATTCCAGTCTGGCTTCCGCGCTGGTCATGGGACCGAGACGGCTCTGGTCGCCCTAACAGATGATCTCCGCAGGCAGCTGGATCGAGGCGGGTCGAGCTGCTGATTCTTCTAGACCTGTCAGCAGCCTTCGACATGGTCAATCACGAACTCCTGGACCACCGCCTTGCCGACGTGGGGATCCAGGGCACAGTCCTTCAATGGCTGCGCTCGTTTCTCTCTGGTCGGGGACAGAGGGTGGCGTTTGGGGGGGAATTGTCATCGCGCCACTCCCTGGTGTGTAGAGTGCCTCAGGGTACGATACTCTCCCCAATGCTTTTTAACATCTTTATGCGCCCCCTCGTCCAGCTTGTCCGGAGTTTTGGGCTGGGCTGCCATCAGTATGCCGATGACACCCAACTCTATCTGTTGATGGATGGCCATCCTGACTCGGCCCCAGACATACTGACCAGATGTTTGGAAGCTGTGGCTGGATGGTTACGTGGGAGCCAGTTGAAGCTAAATCCTTCGAAGACAGAGGTTCTCTGACTGGGACGGGATGATAGGGGATTGGGGGGGGCAACTCCCATCTCTTGCAGGGGCGCAATTAGTGCCAGCACCGTCCGTTAAGAGTTTGGGTGTAATCTTCGACACCTCCCTCTCCATGGAGGCGCAGATTGCAGCTATAACAAAGGCGGCATTTTTGTCATCTCCGCCAAGGTAAGCAGTTGGCTCCTTACCTCTCTCGCCCTGACCTAGCCACTGTGATCCACGCGACGGTCACCTCCAGACTGGATTATTGTAACTTGCTCTACATGGGGCTGCCCTTGAGACTGACCCAGAAACTCCAGCGGGTGCAGAATGCCGCGGCGAGACTCCTTATGGGGTCTTCGCTGCGAGATCACATTCATCCGGTGCTATACCAGCTGCACTGGCTCCCGGTGGAGTACAGGATCAGGTTTAAGGTGCTGGTTTTAACCTTCAAAGCCCTATACGGCCTAGGACCCTCGTACCTACGGGACCGCCTCTCCTGGTATGCCCCACAGAGGAACTTACGGTCTTCAAATAAAAACATCTTGAAGGTCCCAGGCCACCGAGAGGTTAGGCTGGCCTCAACTAGAGCCAGGGCTTTTTCAGCTGCGGCTCCAACCTGGTGGAACGCTGTGTCACAAGAGACAAGGGCCCTGCAGGACTTGACATCTTTCCGCAGGGCCTGCAAGACAGAGCTGTTCCACCAGGCCTTTGGTCAGGGCGCAGCCTGACTCCCTCCTTTGGCAATCTTTACAGAACTTTAGTTTATGGTTGCCATCAATTTTTATTTTAATTAATTTTTATAATGTTTTTAGAATGTTGCACTATTTTAGTGTTGTTAGCCGCCCTGAGCCCGGCTTCGGCTGGGGAGGGCGGGATATAAATAAAATTTATTATTATAACATTGTGCTCTTGCACAGTTCCTATTCATGACAATGGAGCTTGTTCCAGAAAACGTTCCCTTGGGTTGTGTACTTTGGAGTCAGATTTGCCCGCCAGATTTGCCTGCCTGAGGTTGCTCCTGCATCTTGCCTTGGGGTGGCTCTGCCTCTGCATAAAGATCACTGCACAAATAAACTTAAGTTGCCACCAAATATCCTGTAAGCCAGAAGTGAGGCACCTATCACACTCCAGATGTTGCTAGATTACATCGCTGATCATCTCTGCCCATTATCCATGCTGGTGGGGGGCTGATGGGAATGGGAGTCCTGCAATATCTGGAGGTTCACAGATTCCCCCCCTCCCCTTGTGGAACAACTCCTTCCCCCTGAGACACACAAACTCCTCATTCAAGTTTACAAATGCATATCACTTACATCAGTTGCCATTCAAAATCAGGATGGCAGGGCAATTGAAATATTGCTTTCCCCACACTGCACTGTTTCAGTGTATGGTTTTATGCAAAGAAGGATTTCTGATACTTCTTTGGAGGTCTTTAAGCAGAGGCTTGACAACCATATGTCAGGAGTGCTCTGATGGTGTTTCCTGCTTGGCAGGGGGTTGGACTCGATGGCCCTTGTGGTCTCTTCCAACTCTATGATTCTATGATATGTGATGTGCAGGACCAAGGCACTGGCAATTGCCTATTAATTTGGAATATCCTTGATGCTCTCTTTCCTTTCCATACATGCTGTTTTGATGATGCTCTTGTTCCAAGCCTTAGTGTCTGCTAGATCCTGAAGCACGAAAGAGATTGGTAGTGGCAGTTGCCATTGCTGGAGAGCACTAGGTGGCAAAGATTTTTGGACTGCCCCTTATCTGGCACCTCAAAATAGGACCTTCAGATGATGATGATAAAAGAGGGCATGTTTGTGTAACTGGTAAGATTTCAGATGATGAAACAGTTATTTAAACTATTTCTAGCCAGTTTGTTGCCTACTTGCTAGAATCTCTCATCTCCTCCCTGTGCAATTATTAGGCTGGATTCTGAGTCTAACAGCAGCTGTAATATTAGATGAACCAGCTGGAATAAAGTGATATATACCACAGCTTTACTCATGTTTACTGAGAACAGACTCCCACGAGAGGTGGTGGACTCGCCTTCCTTGGAGGTTTTTAAGCAGAGGTTGAATAGCTAGCTGTCATAGAAGCTTCAGCTGAGATTCCTGCATTGCAGGGGGTTGGACTAGATGACCCTTGGGCCCCTTCCAACTCCAAAGTCTCACTGAGAGCATGCGAGTAGCCAAGGCCCCCCCAATCAAGTAAAACAATAGAAATACTTAACTGACCAATCACGGTGGTTCTGCCCCCCCTAACAAAAGTGCTGTCCTTCCTAACAAAAATCATGGCTACGCCCATGGCTGAGAGTCATTCTTACTCCCAAGCCCCGGGTTGCAGCCTTAGCAGTCAGGCAACTTTCCCCAGTTTTGGGAAGGGGCCCAACAGTTCCTATTAGTGAGCAGCAGCTGGGCATTTGATGGTAGGAGTGGAGGATCCAAAGATGTTTTGGATCGATGGGAAAAAAGGACTGACAAAACCCGGGACCAGGAGGAAGGGACGCTGGATGAAGATTGGATTGTTTTTATTTCTTTTTTTCTTATTACCAGGATTGTTTTATAAAATGGATGAATGTTAGAAAAATGTTGGAACGAAATTACTTGGCTCTAGTAAAAATGTTTAAAGAATTAGGTAAAAATATTACGGTTGTGAGAAGTCGGTAAAAATAAGATTTAAGTTTAAGTTTTAAGGTTTTCTATAAGACAAGATGAAAATAGATTAAGGTAATGTAAAGACAGAATATTATGAAATATGGAAAGGATTTGCTGCGGTAATTATTAACTAGGACACAAAAAAAAGGGAGGAGGAGGAGGTCAAAGAAAGAAGGTAATGAGAGTTGAGGATTTGAGAATGATGGATTTGTTTTTGTCTGTTTGCGGTGTATTTTTGTTTTTTGAATTTGTATTGTTGGATGTGGTTTGTTTTTTCTTTTTTCTTTTTCTGCTTTGTTTTTTCTCTGTAATTCAAAAAAATTTCAATAAATATCATTAAAAAAAATTTAAAAAAACAAAGATGTTTTGTCTGCTGAAAATACCTTCTTTGACAGCACGCCAAAAGTGATAAACCCACCCAGATTATGTGCTCATTTTTTATAATTTCTTGTTCCCTCCAAAGGAAGAAGTGGAAGAGTTTGCCAGACTGAGTCCAGATGAGCAGCAGAAAAGATTGAAGGGTATTATAAAAAAAATTGATGTGGACGCTGATGGCTTTCTCACAGAAGGTATGATGTTATGAAAAGAGTATTTACCAATAATTCATGAAAAAATATAGACATTGTACTATATATAAAGATCTTTACATCAGCTTGCAGCAGATATGAATCCTAACCAAACCACATAATTCAGCTGTTGGGTAGCCCAAGGGTGGGCTTCTTTGTGGGTCTGCAGTCTGACTACTTCACTCTGGCCAGTTAGAATATTTCCTGAACTTCAACAACTGCTCAGCAAACGGCTGGAGGATGAGAAGCGAGAGGACAAGCTGGCGGATGACCCGTCCAATACAGGTGCTTCTGTATGAATGCACTACATAAGCTTGAGTTGGCCCAAATAATATATATGGGGTGGAGGTTTCAAGATGGCCACCGACCTCTGAGTCTAACGCATTTGCACTAACTGCAACTTACCAGATGAGACAATCCAGTTGAGAAACCGTTGAGAAAACTGCTGGGATACGAGAAGTGCTGGGCTGAGAGAAATGCTGGGTGAGTCAGTGTTTTACCGATAAGGTGAGGAAGAAAAAAAAGAAAGAATTAACTCCCCTCCATTTCATTGGATGTAACTCTTTGTGGGACTCTGCGCAAGATTAAGACTTAAGCCTTTGCTCCATTGTCTCCCTGAGTGGTTGACCAATATGGTAACACAAGGAAGGCATGTAAAATCCTGGGAATTACGCCAAACTTTACAAGTAGCTCTCCTGAACCTCGGAGAAGACAAAGGAAAATCACAAAGTTTTTCCTTCAGGAGAGTAAAGAAAAGGCGAGCAAGCTGATACAAGATGAAGTATCCCCTATACTTCCTGCGTTGGACTGGTCAATACATCTTAAAGGGGACATGAAGGAACCTAGGAACATAAGTCCTTCAATAAATTGGCCCTAGACTTGGCCTTGGCAGAGGACATAAACAAGGCCAATCTGAGAAATAAATTGGGCTTAACCTATACAGAGGCATTCTTTTGAACTAAGCAAAAGCCCACCCAACAACAAGCCATTTCTAAAGGCACACAAGCAGAGGAGAGAGACACTGACCTCCACGATCAGCTTCATATGGTTTGCTTAGAATTAACCCTCATCAAAAACTTTCTTACAGTAAGCAATGGGCTGCTTACAACACTGGTGGAAAATTTTACAACTCGAGAGAGCTTTAGAGCCAAAAGATACTGAAAGGACATCTAGACAAACACAGCCAGTAATCACTGCATTGGCAAAGGAAAATACTGAAGAAATCACCAAAAGACTGTATAACAAAAAATCTAAAGCACTGAAGAAAAGTAAAAATATTAAAGACTTAAAGAAGAAGAATAAAACTCAATGTGCATGTAAAAATCAATTACAGAAGCTTTACATGTTGATACCAACAGATTCCACTTTGGATACAAATAAGCCTGCATCAAAAGCCCAGAGGGAAAAAGGGGAAAGGAAGAAGATAGTAGCAAATGCTGCTAAATCACAGCAAATGTTAGAGAAGGAAAATCCGACAGAGGAAAATAAAACAGATGCCTCAGTTGAGGTTGCTGCTTTGACTCCAGGAGGGAAAGCACCTGGGAACGAGGGAAACGGAGAGGATACTGTCCACAAAACTGAACTTGACCCAACAACTGATTATCCAGAAGCCCAACGTGACTTTTCACCAGGAAAAAGGGTGGAATTTGGTGATGATCCCACAAAAACTACCGCAAATGATCCAAAACTGAAAGGCCTCCTTACCCAGGCAGAACGTATAACACATCTGCTGCTTATTCTAGATAAGACCTTACCAGGAGCAAAGAGGCCCGATGATACTGTCTTCATAGAATATCTATACTATGACAGTGTTAGGGCATGAGCAGTGGTTACTTTCAAGGACCCAGATCTAGCCAACTTTATTTATAAAATCAGGGAGTTTTTTTTAATAATAGACAGGCTAGAAATTATAAGATTTTTCTAAAACGGGGCACCAGTGGCATCCTTTCTTGGTGATGTGGCTGTCGAGTGCAAAGATAGAGATTCTCCGAAACCAAACAGTGATGAAAACCTTATAGATTTGAATTGGACCCAAGAATCCTTCCTCCTCTATTATAAACAAAAGACATCAAAACTAGAATGGAAGACTCCACCTACACATAACCCACAATACTCTGTGATCAAGTGGATAGAAAATTTTACTTCAGAAGAGAAAGCCTTAATGCGTCAATATTGGACCTTGCCAACTGTGGCCCAAAAAGAAATCTTGGAAAGGCTAGACTTATGGAGAAGCAACACAGAAGAAGAAACGGCCTTAAAATTAAAGGAATTTAAGTTGCAAGTGATAAAGGAGATAAAAAATGGGAAAGGGAGAACAAGTCCTGGGAAAGCCAAGCCCAGAGATGTGATGGACGATGGTACAGTGAACGGACAGATCACTCCCCAAAATGACCCCACATTACAACGGGTTACGGCAGAGATAAATCTGTTATCAAATAATAATGTACAAAGTAAAAAGGAGGAAAAGAAAAACTTATTTCCTCCTGCGACCAAAACAATTCATAAGATGTCAAATCCTGGGCTCTGGACAGAAATGAGATACCTAGGAGGAAATTAGATCAACACAAAAGGAAATTACTCCATTGGCCAATTTAGAAAGGAAAGGCCCAGTGATTGCAGGTGTGAGTATAATATGTCCAATGACCAAAACGACTGAATATCCAGATGCTACCTTGAGTAAAGAAACAATGAAAAATAATGATATTGAGCTGCAACAAAAATGGGCAAACCTTAAAAATACATTGCCCTGGGATTGACAAGGATTAAATTGTCACAAAACTAAAGCTAAATTAAATTGCCTGAAAGATTGTGAGAATTACCTCCTTTCTGCTGCTAAACAGCTAAGAAATGAAGACTTTTACCCGCCACAGACTACTATTTCCAACTGATTTGTGATTCTAGCAGAAAGGGACAAAGTCGACCCTCCAGAAACTACTAACGGGGACAGGGTGAGTTCTGTAAAATGGGCCCAAAAGGATGCTGCTCCCTGGGTGGGTCGACCTAGGCCTGGGTATAAACATGCCATTGGAAAATGAGACCCTGGAAGAAAATCTCAAAAAATCTTCACAGACCCCTTCTGAGCAAGAGCAAAACATGACCTGCATGAGGTCACTCTTCTAACTTGGAATGTGGCTGGATGGTTTGCATCCACCAGAGAGCCTTGCTTTAAAGACTTCCTCTCCTATCATGACAACATCATGATCCAGGAAACACCGACTGTGGATGAACTACTTGTTGTGTATTGAAGTTCTCGCCCTGGCCACCGGGGGTATTGTCTATATAGTTTTCACTCAGGTCCATGTCAGTTAATATAGGTGGGAAACCCTGGAGTGTTTTTGTTACAATGTTGACAGCCGCCTGCCTATAAAAGCAGGCCGGCTCAGCAGTTCAGTTCAGTTCAGTTCTATTTTACTATAAAGAACCACTTGGAGAAATCTCTGTGCCATCTGCTATGTCCACCCACTACTTAATACTACTACTCAATGGATTTCATTCATTCTCAGCTGGGGCAGAACCAGGGGTAAGGCACAGAAGAGCAAAAGGGGTCCTGGGGGGTCCTAGTCTCCACTACTCGACGTGCCATTTCAAGCCCCCCCCCCCCCCAATTCAAGTCATATGCCATGGCATTGTTAATCCAGTCATGCGCTGTTGGTAATAAATGCTTATATGCCACCAATGAGGCAGAATCCTCAGATCAGAGTCTTGTGGACTGATCTGGAAACTTATATAACTGACCTTATCCTGCTCAACCCAAATGCAATTGTAGTTCTGAGAGGGGACCTCAACGCCAGACTGGGCCATAATGACCACTCACTGTATGCACGGCACAAATGTCCTCCTCCCAACCTTGAAGCTGATGGATTCCTTCTCACTCGCAGCTCAAAAGATCAGAAATCAAACTTCGCAGTCCTCTGCTTGGCTCAAACAGCATTTAGGCTAAACCTCTACATTTTAAATGGTGCCCTTGAAAGTGACTACCCAGCTGAATTCACCTACCTATCTGGCTCCAGAATGAGTGCTATAGATTATATGTTTCTAGGGACCTCCTTCCTTATGTTAAGACCCTAGAAGTTATGCCTAAATTTGACAGTGATCACTTCCCAATTCTCCTTTAGCTAACAGCCTTCCCCCAAGTGATACATACTGAGGACTGCTACCAACCCTTCCTAATGCCAGCAGGAAGAACTTACCGTCGACCCAAGTGGACTCCTCATCTAAGCCAAATGATAACTGAACTACTGGCCTCAGATCGCCTGCAGTGCCCTGATATCTGCTGTCTCTCCTGATGCACTCTTGGAGAACTATAACACCCTTATGCAAGAGCCCCACCAGCACCTAACCTGGAATAATAGCACACCCTTGAGACAACAACAGCACCACTCCAAGCCATGCTTTGACAAGGACTGTGTTAATGCCAGAAAAGTTCTTGCTGCCACTTACAAGGCTTATGTATCCAAGACCAAACCAACAGCTGCAATGGTCCTCCTCCAGCAGGAGAGATACTACAAGTACCTTCTGGCACGAAAGAAAAGGGATGCCGTGAAGAACACGTGGACACGATTTATCCAGGCAGCCAAATCCAATGATTCAGCCACATTTTGGCATATTACATCTAGCCCACAAAGCAACGGCCCGACCATGGTGGACTTTCACATCCCGCCAGAGACCTGGGAGGCTCACTTTCAGCAACTCTACTCAGACACCTCTGCTAAAAGTGGAGGCTCTAGTCAAACTATAGAGAATCTGCCTATGTGGGCACCAGTGATGGTAACAAGAGATTAACAACCTGGTAGCTCAGCTAAGATTGGGGAAGGCCCCAGGGGAAGACCTAATTCTTCCAGAGGCCATTAAAAACAATATGGACTTCTGGGCCCCTATTCTGGCCTCACTCTTCACCTGCATTGACACCCATGGCCGAGCCCCCAAGGACTGGGGGCTTGTAATCATTGCCCCTATATATAAAAAAGGGGAAAAGGATGATCCTACAAACTACAGACTGATTAGCCTCCTTAACGTAATTAGCAAACTTTACGCAAGACACCTACAATGGAAATTCCACGACTGGATGGAACAAGAAAATATACTTTCAGAGGAGCAAGCTGGCTTTAGGGAAGGTCAGTCCACTATTGACCTGTGCCTAGCACTCCATCATCTCATTGAGAAGTATTCCTCCCGCAACACAACCTCCCTCTTTGCTGCTTCTATAGATTTCAAAGCAGCATTTGATTCCATACTCAGAGCTAAACTGGAAAAAAACTGGAGGCCATCTCAATAGATCCACGTCTACTCCATTTAATTTGTATGTTACATGAAGGGACCTCAAAAAGTAAGATGTAACCCCTGGGGCCATCTCACCAATGCCTTTGAAATTGAGCAAGGTGTCAAGCAAGGCTGCATACTGGCCCTACTCTTGTTTAATTTCTACATCAACTCCATGGTGGGTCATCTCCATAGCTCAAACTTTCACTCCCCAAAACTTGCTGGAAGACACATCCCTGTTCTGCTCTAGGCAGACAATGCAGCAAAGCTTTCAAGAACACCCATTGGCCTCAAAAGAGCACTGAGCGCTAACACTGTATTGCAAGGAGGACTGGCCCCGCTACAACATACAATGTTTCCAGGTTCTGCATAGCAGTGTTCAAAATTCGTTGGATGATGACCTGTGCCACAAACTAGATTTAATGAACACTCATATCAGGGTGCTCTGTAAATTGATAGGCATAGCCTTTTATATACTAACCTTTTATGCTCTTCCACATCCATTTAATGATCCCAACCCTTCTTTTAGATTCTTTAAGCCGCTTACAGTTTTTTATATATACCTTCTGTTTTAATAATTTTAGTTTCCCAAAATGTTTTACAGATTTAAAATGATTGTTCCCCACCCTACTTATTCCTCTCTATGACTGTAATAAAGATTTGATGGATACATACGGAGTGAAATAGTCTTGCAACATTTAATCAGCAAATTCTGTGTCTGCGTTATCTTTTTTCAGTCCAAGGGCTCATCCGCACTATATATTTAGAGCACTGTTATCACTTCAAACAAAGTTTGTTAAGGGTATTGAGAGTTGATAGGGTGCCCCCATTGCCCTCACATAACTACATTTCACATCTCTGGGATGAGGAATTGAGTGTAGAGCCACACTGGGAATTGTAGCTTAGGGAGGGGAATGGGGCACCCCAACAACTGTCGGCACACTTGACAAACCGCAGCTCCCAGGATGCTTTGGGGGAAGCCATCGCGGTTGATTCCCTGCCTACTGAGAGCAAGCAGGTGCCTTCCCTGTACTCTTTTGGCACCTGCTACAACCATTCTTGTTTAGACAAGCCTACCAAGATGCTTAGAAAGTTGAGGCAATTTGAATCTGTTTGTATGTTTTAAAGTATGGTTGTGATTTTTTCCTGATTTCACTGTTTTACCTTTTTTTAAACTGCTTTGAGGGTTTTCCCCTACAATCAAGCAGTGTATAAATTTTATTTTGCCCAATAGTTTTTATTAGTTTTCCAAATTTTTGGTGTATAAATGTTATGAAATTGAAATGAAACATGCTATAATAGTATTTTAAATGTTTAGTGCAGGTGGGGCACCATTTGTTGTGGAGGTAGCATGAGGGTTGCATCTGTGCTTAAAGCAGCCTAGACAATGCTGGCTTCCTCTTAATATTTATGGTGGGGAGGGGGGAATCCCTTCACCTCCTTATGTTATGGGGAATCTCCACAGGTGAGCTGAGTTCATGGATCCAGCAATCTTTTAAGCATTACGTTGTAGAAGACGCGAAGCAACAGTTTGGTGAATATGACAAAGATGGAGATGGATATGTATCCTGGGAAGAATACAATGTTCAGATGTATGATCGTGTAATAGACTTTGATGATGATACGACTTTGGAAGATGCCGAAGAAGAATCTTTCCGGCAGGTGAGACACCATGTGTTTTCCTATAGCTCCAGCCTGGAACATCTGTTGCCTCCCTTGGTCAAGGCCAGCCCTGTGGATGAGAATGCCACAAGTTCAGAGTATGAGAGATCCTCTCTAAGTTTTCTAGCCATTGCGCTAATTCCCCCTTCCTTGCCAGTCGGCTTGACACAAGGAAAGAATAATAATTATAACTTGCATGTAAACAGTTTTTTGTAAAGTTACTCATCTGTGTGAAGCTTTTTAAAAAATTAAGTGCTATGTATACTAATATGACACATTGTACTTCATAGGTTTCCCTGACAGATGTGGCATTTGCTTACATAATTTTGTAGTTTTTGTATTTTCTCATTTTACATCACTAATCACACTCTGACTAGATCCTTTATCAACCCTCTTTTAGCTAGATATAAGTTATGATGAACTTCTAACTCCTCTCAGTGTATATAAGATTGATCTTGTAACGTGTATTAAAATAAAAGGAAAAGCAGGTTAGGTTTATGTAGCTTGAAACTAATGAATACAATATGACTTCCGTTCATGTAACTGTTATTCCCCAAATTGTTTTCTAAGCTCCATTTAAAGGACAAGAAGAGGTTTGAAAAGGCTAATAGGGATGGAAGTTCTGGCCTGAATCTGGATGAATTCATTGCATTTGAACATCCTGAGGAAGCAGAATACATGAAGGCAAGTTTTGAGAGAAAGTGGCTACCACGGGGAATGCTGTTTGTTCATTCTTCAGATCCTGAGGGACACTATAGGGATGTACAACATACAGATTTTTCTGAGTAAAACAAGCTTCTCCATAGCATTGAAAATCCACCACTGGGCTTTTACATACGCAGGAAAGGTGGTGGCGATGATGTTTCTTCAGACTGCAATCCAGTGCTCAGCCGCTGGGGGGCAGGATTTCCACTGAAGCCCATGAGACCTCTCTCTCCAGGCTGGGGCCTTGCAATGCTGTGTAACAGCTGAGGGCAAGCAGTCCTGCATATGCCACATTGAAACGAAGGGGAGAAATCAAGGAACCCTCATTTCAGTATTTGTTTCTGATGCTGTCAAGTTAGAAACCCTTATAGCTGCTTCATGTAAAAAAAAGTGTGTGTTCTTGAATGGCCCTTCCTTTGCCCTCACCTCAACAAATTTTAGCATGGGAGAATATTCAGTATCTTCTGCACCATTTGTGCACCTTTTAGTTCTGTCTCCTGTGCTCTCTCACTTGCTTAGGACAATGGTTGGACTTCACTAACAAAATTATTTACCTGAGTACACAAGTTCAAACTGTTGTCTTAGTGCAACTTGCTCACTTATTTGGATGATGATGAAACAAGTTCTAAGGAAAATGCAAATACCAGAATGAGCATTCACTGTGTTGGTGAGAATTTGCCCAGCTACACAGTGCGTTCATTCTTGTCTCTTGTATTTTTACTTGGAATTTAGTGCACCTCATCTAAATTAAGAATCCTGTGAATTTCTGCAGGCGCTTTAAACACTGTTGGTTAACTGGCCAAAGTTACCCGACCTTTTCTCTCCCCGCTAGGAGTTTGTAATTCAGGAGGCTTTGGACGAACATGATAAGAATGGCGATGGATTTGTGAGCCTTGAAGAGTTCCTTGGTGACTACAGAAGAGATCCAAGTGAGTGGGCGGGGAATTATGTTAGAAGTGTCATAAATTCTTTGCATTGCATTTGCAAAGTACATCTGTCAAGGCCCTTAATTTTACACAGGTGTTCTCCATAAACTTTCCACTCATCTTCCCTTTGGCAACTGGTTGGTTTCTGAATAGCAGTGACCTTGTGTGCCTTGTAAATGTGGGAAGGAGAAAGGAGATTTAGCTTCTGCAGTTCTATGACTATTGCTGTTCAGTTTGTAAGTATTTAAATAGGAATCCTTCCATCTCCTTTTCTATGGCAGTGATGCTCTTTGGCCCTAAATCTTTGGAGTAATGTGGGGAGTTAATATAAGCTGTCTGGTTTTTGATACAGCAATATCATTTTTTTCAGAACTGAACTGAACTAACAAGAATATAATTTGGGGGGGGGGAGGTTGCCATCAGAAGGTGTTCATTCACATTTAATGAAAAACACCCTTGTTGAGTCAGTGGGTGATAACCAGCATTGCACACGCTCAACTCCCTTCCTCTGCCATGCAAGCCCCTCCATCTCCTAGGAAGGTCCCCCAATTCTCTACCACATTTTTTTCGGCGGGGTGTGTGATGCATAGGATGTTCTGAGAAAGTGGAAGTCCTGCTGCACAAGCGGAAATCAGAATCTGTTCTATATTGCCCATACTTGGTAGTTTTGCTTGTCTGCTGTGATTCTGGTTGCTATAAATATTTATGCAACCTGTTCTCAGTTTCCAGTAGGTATGCTGTCATCGACATAGTTGTTTTTTAATTATTTGCAGATTTAACAAACTAGAGGAGGAAGAGAAAAAAATAATTAAACCAATAAAATAAGGAGTGTGTACAAGCAGTCCCTGTTTACGTTTCTGAGGCACCACGTGCTTCGGTGAAATCCTGTATGATTGAAACCCATTGAAAAAGCCTGCAAACACCCCATTCTGCCCCCGCCCTCATCCTACCCATTTTGTGACAATTCAGTGACTTTATGATGTTTCCGGGTCACTTGTGGGTTCAGCGCAATGCACAGTTGCACACACATCAAACGTGTGTAAATGGGGGGGGGGGGCTTCCTCTATCTAATCCAGGAGTAGGCAACCTAAGGCCCGGGGGGGGGGGGCAATCGCCTACTGAATCTGGCCCGCAGTCAGTCTTGGAATCAGCGTGTTTTTACATGAGTAGAATGTGTCCTTTAATTTAAAATGCATCTCTGGGTTATTTGTGGGGCATAGGAATTCGTTAATTTTTTTCCCCAAAATAAGTCCAGCCCACCACATGGTCTGAGGGTCAGTGGACCAGCCCACGGCTGAAAAAGGTTGCTGACCCCGATCTAATCTGTCTATACACCAATAGTAACCAAACAGTCCCTCATCCATTCACATCATGGATACAGTAACATACATCTTAAGTTAACTTAAATGTTTCATAAAAGCCTTCCAAATGTCCAGAAAAGGATCCACAAGGTAATGACAAAATTCATTCAGATACCGCAGTCAGACCAGAAAGTGTGTACACTGGACAGCCTCACGTCTTTTGCCTCAACCCGCCTTTCCCAGTGTTAAGCCTCCAATATCTCTCTGTAGTAGACGGTACCTCCCTATGCCAGAGGTGCTGAGTTGAAATAATAATTATCTGTATTATTCAGATAGGTTAAGAGCATAAGCAAAAGATCCTATGGGATAGTGTATATTTTGCTGATAAATTTTTAGAGACTTTTTATCAATGAGGTTTAAGATTTATTGTTACGTTGCTTTGGTTGTAAATCACCTTGGTCCTCACTGGAATGAAATGTAATATATGAATTGTTTATTTTTTAAAAATAAAAACAATTCAGATATTTTTATTTAATTAAATTTCCCCACAATGCTCTTTTTTTCTTTTTTCTTTTTTGCATTATACCAAATGGTAGCCTTTTTGGCACATCCAACATTTGGAACAGAGTTTTCATTTTGTTAATAATTGCCATGATAGCATTTTTAAAGTTTCTTCTGATACTGTTTCAGAAAGCATGGTTGCTTTTGCAGTTCCTTTATTTTAACTGATGGTATACAAAGGAAAGAGACTTAATCCATGTGAAAAATTGTGTTTAGCTGCCAGTGAAGACCCAGAATGGATACTTGTGGAGAAGGATCGATTTACAAATGATTACGACAAGGATAAGGATGGGAAACTCAACCCTAAAGAGTTATTAAGCTGGGTAGTACCTAATAATGAAGGTATTGCTCAGGAAGAGGTAAGAGTTTATGAACTTGATAGCCAGACTTCAATCACACAGTCGCAAATGTTCTGAGTCCTCCCTGGAATCCGTTAGACTTTAACACACCTAATTGTGGCTCAGCATTGTGACAGCCTACTCTAGCAGTAGTGGGGAAGGCCTCCCCCATTTGGCCTGCAAGGCCATTTTGGCCAGCCTGTGCCCATCTAGTGTGGAGCAGTATACCTAAAGGAGTGTCCCCATCCTCATCATTCGGTGTGGACACTGAGGTCCAGCGCTGAGGGCCTTCTGGCGGTCCTCTCAGTGCGAGAAGCGAAGTTACAGGGAACCAGGCAGAGGGCCTTCTCGGTAGTGGCACCTGCCCTCCCTACCAGACTTTTAGAAGACATCTGAAGGCAGCCCTGTTTAGGGAAGTTTTTAATGTTTGCTGTTTTATCGTGTTTTTAATACAGTCAAACCTTGGATTCCGAACACCTCCGTTTTGGAACGTTTTGGCTCCTGAAAGCCAAAAACACGGAAGTAAATGCTCCAGTTTTCGAATGTTTTTCGGAAGCTGAACATCCGACGTGGCTTCCACTTGAGTGCAGGAAGCTCCTGCAGCCAATTGGAAGCTGTGCCTCAGTTGTCAAACATTTTGGAAGCTGAACAGGCTTCCAGAACGGATTATGTTCGACAACCAAGGTTTGACTGTATTCTGTTGGGAGCCACCCAGAGTGGATGGCGAAACCCAGCCAGGTGGGTGGGGTATAAATAATAAAATTATTATTATTATTAAGCAGGTAAAGATGCAATTTTCTGCTGAAAGTGGGTTTATCTGATCCTTGGCTTAGGCAAAACCCTAGAATCATAGAATCATAGAGTTGGAAGAGACCACAAGGGCCATCGAGTCCAACCCCCTGCCAAGCAGGAAACCCCATCAGAGCACTCCTGACATATGGTTGTCAAGCCTCTGCTTAAAGACCTCCAAAGAAGGAGACTCCACCACACTCCTTGGCAGCAAATTCCACTGTCAAACAGCTCTTACTGTCAGGAAGTTCTTCCTAATGTTTAGGTGGAATCTTCTTTCTTGTAGTTTGGATCCATTGCTCCGTGTCCGCTTCTCTGGAGCAGCAGAAAACAACCATTCTCCCTCCTCTATGTGACATCCTTTTATATATTTGAACATGGCTATCATATCACCCCTTAACCTCCTCTTCTCCAGGCTAAACATGCCCAGCTCCCTTAGCCGTTCCTCATAAGGCATCGTTTCCAGGCCTTTGACCATTTTGGTTGCCCTCCTCTGGACACGTTCCAGTTTGTCAGTGTCCTTCTTGAACTGTGGTGCCCAGAACTGGACACAGTACTCCAGGTGAGGTCTGACCAGAGCAGAATACAGTGGCACTATTACTTCCCTTGATCTAGATGCTATACTCCTATTGATGCAGCCCAGAATTGCATTGGCTTTTTTAGCTGCCACATCACACTGCTGGCTCATTTCAAGTTTGTGGTCAACCAAGACTCCTAGATCCTTTTCACATGTACTGCTCTCAAGCCAGATGTCACCCATCTTGTATTTGTGCCTCTCATTTTTTTTGCCCAAGTGCAATACTTTACATTTCTCCCTGTTAAAATTCATCTTGTTTGTTTTGGCCCAGTTCTCTAATCTGTCAAGGTCGTTTTGAAGTGTGATCCTGTCCTCTGGGGTGTTAGCCACCGCTCCCAGTTTGGTGTCATCTGCAAATTTGATCAGGATGCCCTTGAGTCCATCATCCAAGTCGTTGATAAAGATGTTGAATAAGACCGGGCCCAAGACAGAACCCTGTGGCACCCCACTAGTCACTCTTCTCCAGGATGAAGAGGAACCATTGATGAGCACCCTTTGGGTTCGGTCAGTCAGCCAGTTACAAATCCACTGAGTGGTAGCATAGTCAAGACATTTTACCAGCTTCTTTACAAGAATATCATGGGGCACCTTGTCAAATGCCTTGCTGAAATCAAGGTAGGCTACATCCACTGCGTTCCCTTCATCTACCAGGCTTGTAATTCTGTCAAAAGCGAGATCAGGTTAGACTGACATGACTTATTTTTCAGAAAGCCATGCTGACTATTGGTGATCACAGCATTCCTTTCTAGGTGCTCACAGACTGTTTGCTTAATGATCTGCTCCAGAATCTTCCTGGTATTGATGTCAGACTGACTGGGCGGTAATTATTTGGGTCCTCTCTTTTCCCTTTTTGAAAATAGGGACAACATTTGCCCTCCTCCAGTCTGCCGGGACTTCGCCTGTTCTCCAGGAGTTCTCAAAGATGACTGCCAATGGTTCTGAGATCACATCTGCCAGTTCTTTTAATACTCTTGGATGCAGTTCATCTGGCCCTGGAGACTTGAATACATCTAAACTAGCCAAGTATTCTTGTACTATCTCCTTAGTTATTCTGGGCTGTGTTTCCTCTGCTGAATCATTTGCTCCAAATTCTTCAGGTCGGGCATTGTTTTCTTTATCGGAGAAGACTGAGGCAAAGAAGGCATTGAGGAGTTTAGCCCTTTCTGTGTCCCCTGTTTGCATTTCACCATCTTCTCCTCTGAGTGACCCCACTGTTTCTTTGTTCTTCCTTTTGCTACGAACATACCCATAAAAGCCTTTTTGGTTGCTTTTAACCTCTCTAGCAAGCCTGAGTTCATTCTGTGCTTTAGCTTTTCTGACTTTGTGTCTACACGTGCTGGCTATTTGTTTGAATTCCTCTTTGGTGGTTTCCCCCCATTTCCAATTTTTGTACACATCCTTTTTTAATCTTAACTCAGTTAAAAGTTCTTTAGATAGCCACCCTGGCTTCTTTAGGCACCTTCCATGATTCCGTCTCATTGGTATTGCCTGAAGTTGTGCTTTTACAATCTCCCTCTTAACAAACTCCCAGCCATCATGAACTCCCTTTCCTTTTAGTATTACTGTCCATGGGATCTCACCCAGCACTTCCCTAAGTTTTATGAAGTCCGCTTTCTTAAAGTCAAGAAATTGAGTCCTAGTATGCTTGGCTGCTCCTTTCCGCTGTATAGTAAACTTCAGAAGAGCATGATCACTCGCGCCTAATGATCCTTCCACTTCTACCCCACTAACCAGGTCATCAACATTGGTTAGGACCAGATCTAAAATGGCTGTTCCTCTTGTTGCTTCTCCCACTTTCTGGACAATGAAGTTGTCTGCAAGGCCAGTGAGGAATCTGTTTGACCTTATGCTCTTGGCTGAGTTTGACATCCAACAAATATCCGGGTAATTGAAGTCCCCATTACTACTATCTCCTTCCTTTTGCATGCTTGGCCATCTGTTCCAGGAAGGCATCATCTATGTCCTCCGTTTGGCTTGGGGATCTATAGTAAACTCCCACAATGAGGTCACTGTTATTCTTCTCTCCTTAATTTTGACCCAAATGCTCTCACTTTGGCTTTGAGGTTCTAAATCTTGGATCTCTTCACAGGTATACACATCCCTGACATATAACGCCACTCCTCCTCCTTTCTTGTCTGGTCTGTTTCTCTGAAATAGATTGTATCCCTCCATTATTACATTCCAATCGTGGGACTTCTCCCACCAGGTTTCAGTGATGCCTGTTATGTCATATGTAGTTTGCTGTACCAAGAGCTCAAGCTCATCTTGTTTATTTCCCATGCTTTGCGCATTAGTGTACAGACATTGAAGTCCATTAATCATTCCCCCGTGTCTCTTATTTAAGGATTTTTTCCTCCCACCACTAGGTCTGCGTGCTGTTTGCTCCATTTGGTCTATGACATTTGGATGATCATCTTCATCAATTGATAGACTCCTACCTTCAGGAGCACTGTCTCCCTCCCCCACATTAGTCAGTTTAAAGCTCTCCTGATGAGGTTTCTGAGATTTTTGGCAAAAACATTTCTCCCAACCGTTGTGAGGTGCAGCCCATCGCTTGCCAGAAGTCCATCTTCAAGAAACTGCAGTCCGTGATCTAAGAATCCAAACCGTTCCTGTTTACACCATTTGCGAAGCCAGCTGTTCACTTCCACTATTTTCCCCTCTCTCCCTGGGCCACGTCGTTCAACTGGGAGGACAGATGAGATGACAATTTGTGCATTTAATTGCTTCAATTTCCTGCCCAGTGCCTTTGCGACTGCCACTGCACAGGCAACCTTCAGATTACAGCCCCCGTGCCTGCAAAACCTTGTGTCCTAGCTTGAGTGATGGCAAACCACATAGGCAACAGAAAACGCCTCACTTGACATCAGGTGATTGATAGGTAGGCAGCTGTATCTACCTGTTAAGATGGCCTGAAGAGATTGGTGGAACCTAAGCATCCGGGTCTCTAGCAATAAATAACTCCCCAGCTCAGCACTATAGATTTCTTTACTCCCTGCTGCAATATCTGAGCAGCATAGAGATTTTTGGAGGATGAGACTTTAATCTGGCAATCCAACCCCTACCCCTGGCAACACACCAGTGTAATATGGACAGCCAAAAGCGAATGCAGAAACTACTTGGATTTTTCCTTTCCATCACATGTTTTTATCATATTTACACAGCAGATGATACATTATTTCTTTGAAACTCTTTACAGGTACCGTACAGTCTTTTCAAATAAGAAAGACAGACAGGCAGACAAGAGATGAATTTGTGAACTACTTTAATGCTTGTTAATTTTATTCTCTAGGCTGTCCACCTCATTGAAGAAATGGACTTGGATGGTAACGGAAGGCTGGCAGAGGCAGAGATTCTTGAGAATCCAGATCTGTTTCTCAACAGTGAAGCCACAGATTATGGCAGGCAGCTGCATGATGAAAGCTTTTACCATGAAGAACTCTAGTTTCCAAGAGACTCTATTCTTTGTTCCAGAGTTGGATTTTTTTTTTTTATGTGTTCAGCTTTGAAGACAGCAACACAGTAATATACTGGTGTCTGCAGCAGTTTCTGCATCCCTGGGTTTCTTTGTACATTGCCTTCGATGTTTTAGCCTCCATAATTTTGGTACTACAAACCTATTGTACTTTTAAAGGGAGCAGAAGCCTTCTCCAGCATTTCATGTTTTAGTCCTGCTTTTTGAAACATACTTGAAAAAATGCAAAGATGTGACTATGTGATAGGATAGAGAATACCACTAGTTTGTGTTAGATTTTGGGAAAGAGGAAAAACTATTACGGTGTTTGTTTCATCTTTGTAAGAATCTTTCTGTATGAATATCCAGAAGGACTAAAGCCTTACATATTTGTAAGGTTTCTGTGTATATTAACTTCTGTAGATGGTGTTTATAATCTGAGAATCTTATTTTTGCAGCTAGATAGCAATTATTTTTACTGTAATGATAATCGCTTTAGAAAGTGTATTGTATTTAAGTAAGAAACAAACTTTAAACACTAAAGATTAAAAACTCAAAATGTCCTCATTTTTTCTTGTCATTCTTGCTATGACTCCCTTAACTAGGGCTAAATTAATACATTAGACCCACTATTCTCCCAAAAGCACACAACGTGGTTTACATGAAATAAATATAATGCAGGGATACTGATACAAGCTTTAAAAGCCAACATTGGTTTGAAACAGCAAATCAAAATTCTTTAAAGCCCTGTTAACTACATGCCTCTGAAAGCCTTGTTTTCTCCAGCCGCTTAAAAGAAAGTGGCAAAGGGACCAGGTGAGTCTCTTAGGAGCCTGTTCCATGTCCACAGTATCACACTTCACTGTTGCTATGTATTCCTTGTCATTTGTTAGGATCCTAAATGCTTAACTTGAAAGTATATTTGTATCAAGCCAGGATTGCATTTCCCAGTGATTTATGCTAGATGTATGTGCATTTTAGAAACTCTGCCTGCTAAATACCAGGCAGGTGCAATACCTGTCTTTCCAACACCTATTTAAGATCTTCCCTTTTCCATCAAGCCTTTTAAGTGGCGATTTTTATCCCAGTTTGTATGTATGTGTACTGGATTTGAAATTGTTTTTATTGTTAAAATCGCTTTGGATTGCTCTGTGGGAAACAATAAATGAAATAAATAAGTTCAAAAAGAAAACATGAATCAACATGGAAGTGCTGTGGAAGTCTGGTGGGCACCAGTCACAAAATGGCTGCCGTAGGGGACATGGCATAACACAACAACATCAGGCTTGCCCTGGGAAGGAAGCTCTGTCCTTCCGGCCCTGATTGTGGAGATACTGATTCTGTTGCTGTACAGGAAAGAGTGTACTCTTATGCACCCAAAGACCACAGACACGCATGTCTTTCTCACCCGTACATTTATCTCTGCCCAAGAGCACAGACCAGGCAGGCAGATGTGTTTTCTCTCTCGCCCAACCACCCGCACCCTCTCACCCACTAGAAGTCTGCACTAATTTCTTACCAAAAAATTAGACAAGTGGCATCCTCAATTTGCCTTGTATCTCAGGATATAAAAACTTTAGAAACTTAACTTTTTCCCAGTGGAATCTGGAGATTATGGTTGTTACTGAGGGCATCAGATAAGGTCTCAGTGGTCTCCGACTGGTAGGGAAGGGAAAATACATACAGTACAGATCCAAGTACTTAGAGAGCTGTTGAAAGAAATATATAACAAATAACCCTCAAAGCCCTAACGGTGCAGTCAAGCACCCTGACATGGAAGTAAGGTCCGTTAAGTAACTGGAATGACTGCGGAGTGAACCTGCATAGGTTTGTGTTGTAAAAGAGCTTTGCTTCTGCAGTGAGAATTAGAGCTGAGCACTTCAATCTTTGGCCAGCCTGAAGGGGAAGGGAGTGGAAGAGAGGAGGGCTCAAAAACCAGCGCTAGAATATGGGACAGGGGGCAGGCTGTTCAGGGTTATGATGGGAAGAAGACCATAGTAGAGAAGAAGGCATCAGCTTGTTTTTTCTTGTCTCAACTGTTGGAAACTTCAGAAAACATCAAAGACAAATTTAGCATTTTAGAGTAAATGTGAAAACACTTGTAGTAAATAGATTTGTGGTATAAAACCTCACAAACAGCTTACTAAACCTTTCACCCTCCTCTACATAGAGGACACATGCTGATGAGTTACCTCTGGTATATGAGTCATATGCAACTACTTTCTACTCAGAGGATGTCCATTGCAATTACCTAAGTTGCACATGCATCTCAGTGTGTCTACTGTGAGCATGGCTACCTTTCAATTTAACCCTCTATGCCAAGTGTGAGGAACATTTGGCCCTCCAGATGTGGCTCAACTACAACTCCCATCCTCCCTGGCTATTTGCCATGCTTGCTTGGGTTGATTGGAGTTGTAGTTCAGCAACATCTGGAGGAGCAATGATTACTGGCTGCTACTTTATATGACTGGCTTTATTTTGGCTGGCTCAGTTTAGTGTGGCAAAGGGTCTTCTGCAGAGGAAATCCAACCTTAGAAGTCTGGTTCTCCAGAGTCCAAGCAGGCCCAGCACAATTCTGGTGAGACCAGAATTAGACCTGCAACTTCCCTTTATACTGGTACAGCGGTGCTGGGCATAGGGGGCGCAGGGGGCTTTAGCCCCCTCAATAGTTTGAGGCAGAGGGCCCAGCACCCCCCAATATTCAGGGAGCCGACACCCCCAGCCACCACCAGGCGCCCTCCGTGTACCCCTGCCCCCGCCTGGGACCCCAGGAGCTGGGAGGGGGCTGAGACGAGTGGAGCTGTGGCTGGGCGTGAAGAAGATGCTTCAGCAGCTCACTTGCATCCCGGAGCCAGGCTCTGGTGGGAGCCTGTTGTGGGGTGCCTAGTCACACCCCCTCCAGAAGCTGCACCCGGAGGCCCCCATGCGATACTACTGGTCCCGGCGGCCAGTCCCAGTCCCCAGTCTAACTGCTGCAAGCTCTTCCTACCTTATTGCCTTCACTTAGCTGCCATCCTGCACTGACTTAAAAAGCCCAGGGAACAGCAAAGCAGGTGTGGTCTCTTTGGGGAGCCAGCCTATTTGCATGGTCATGGTAAGCACCTGTGAATGTGGCCTGCTTCTAGGCTAGAGTGAGAGAGAAGGGCAGCAGCAAGAGGATCCTCAGCAGGGAGTTCTGGTGCTCAGCCTGGGCTCTCCGCAGGTGCCCAGCCACAGCTGCGGTGGAATACTCACGGAAAGGAGAAGGGAGTGAATGTGGACAGGGTGGCAGCAGAGGCAGCAGCTGCTGTTTTATGTGGATTAGCAAATTCTGCTTGCTCCATTTTGTTACAGCTGTAAGATGGGAAGAAACAGCCCAGTTCCTTATTTCAGGAGCTGCCAGTAGATAAGGCTTGCAGGCACTGCTGAATAGACTCATTGATTTCATTGGAGTGACACTGGAGGAAGTGGGTTTGCATGACTGGCTGCTAGAGGAATAAGCTCTCCTCTCGTAACAGCCTCCACCCCTCCATTTGCAGGTGAAGCGACAGGCCTTTCAGGCTGGTCTGGAATAAAAAAATATTTGCTACGCCCTAGACCAGCCTTTGCCACTGTCCTCCAGATATTCTGGACTAGGACTCCATCAGCTGTAGCATCACAGGAACTGCAGTCCAGAACATCTCTGGAGGGTGCAAGGGTGGCAGAGGTTCCCCCAGGCCAAAGCAGCCCCGATCCCCGCTGGCTTTTCCTACTTAGGGAATGGGATGGACAATAGGACAGAGTGAGATTAGAAGAATATACAGTGGTACCTCGGGTTACAGACGCTTCAGGTTACAGACTCCACTAACCCAGAAATAGTACCTCGGGTTAAGAACTTTGCTTCATTATGAGAACAGAAATCGTGTGGCAGCAGCAGGAGGCCCCATTAGCTAAAGTGGTGCTTCAGGGTAAGAACAGTTTCAGGTTAAGAACGGACCTCCGGAACGAATTAAGTACTTAACCCGAGGTACCACTGTATATTCACAGATGAGACTGGCTTCTTGAAGCCAGCATCTCTCCCTCCAAGGCACAACTTTTCCTGCTGCTTCTCCCACTGCAATTGGCACAAGCAATTTGGAGAATGGGATGTGCTGTGGAAAAGGAGGGTGGTCAGACCAAGCTTGTGGAATCGACTTTGTTTTCACTCGAAATCACAAGGCCCACAAATTGGAGTCAGGGTGCAAAGTAGTGGTGTGGAGGCAATTCCTTATTGTCCCCCATAACTGATACTCAGTTCATGCCAGGGTAGTCAATGCAGTGCACTCCAGATACTGTTAGATTAGAACAGGCATAGGCAAACTCAGCCCTCCAGATGTTTTGGGACTAAAACTCCCATCATCCCTAGCTAACAGGACCAGTGGTCAGGATGATGGGAGTTGTAGTCCCAAAACATCTGGAGGGCCGAGTTTGCCTATGCCCGGATTAGAATTCTACCCCCGCCCCCAACCATTGGGTTTTGCTGACTGAGGCTGATAGAAATTGTGGTCCAGCCACCTCTGGAGGGCACCCCTGAGTCAATCCAGCCTCCACTAGTGAAACTGAGCACTTCGATTTAGAGCAATTTATATGCATATAATGTGCTTACAAATGGGAAGGTGGTCTTGTTAAAGTTCATGAGAGGCAGGGAATAATACAACTGATGAGGCAGGTTTATGTTCTGCTTGGATTCTTCCCCCCAGTCTTGGGCTGGCTCTAAGTGCCACGTAGTGCACAGAGATTTCTGGCATCTGTGATAGTGCTGGGGGCTCAGCAGTCACTGTGGTGCGCATCCTCACCCCTGCTCAGTGAGGGATTCTGGGGTGCAACGTGCAGAGCATGTGATGCCCCCACTTCTAGTCCCTCTGAAGCACAGGTGTTGTATCCAGCTGGTCCTTCTCTCCAGCATAACCCAGGCACCGCAAAATGAGTTTTCAGCTCAAAACCGTAACACGGAGCAGGGCCAAAACTATGATGAAGCATGCGGAGCATCCCTTATTGCCTGCTTGCATTTTTGCCAAAATTTGTGCTCCTTTCTGTTCTCCTCAATTGGATAAGGCTTCCATTTTCTAAAGGAAGCCTCCTTGCATCTGATAGCATTTTTACTCCGCTCATTAACCATGCAGGCATCCACATGGACTGAGCAGTACCTTTCTTGATCTACGGTATACATTAAAATACATATTTAAATAATATATTCTTGTTGTTTGTCATGGTATTACAACTGTTGTTAATTTTTTACATTGCAAAATGCAGGCTTGGCTTAGGGGCATGTTTCATGTTGTTTGTCCCAGAGGCAAAGATCTCTAGTTCTGGCCCTGATTCTCTGATGGAAGCCACTATAGCGATTTTGACACATGCAGGCACTTCTGGCTTTTCAGAGCATCTGATTTTGTTCCTGCTTAAGCTGTTCTGGTTTCTAGTGCATTTCTGAGCCCAGTTCAGAGCACTGGTTGTTATATTGAAAGCTCATCATTAACTATTTCAAGAGCTGCTTCTTAATGGGCATGTATTTTGTACATTGAATTACATTTCCCTTTTAAGATACTTTGGAAGTTTCTTTGTTCTACTGAGCATCTGAATCTCTTCTGCTCTTTGTTTCCAGCTTAGCAACAGTGAAAATGTTTGCCATTTCGTTTGAAGAAAGTGCTCGCCAGCTAAATAGCCAGGCAAAAAGCAACCTCTGCTACGTTTTATCTGCAAATGGCATAACAGAGGAAATGATGGTTCTCGGGTCCGTCTGCAAACAGCGACTGAAATGTCACATTTTAAAACTTCTCGCCCAGTGATATTGATGGGAGAAGACTCTCTATTAGTATTCCAGGGACGTTCCTTGTGTGCTACCACTTCATTCATATTCACAGCTGCAATGAATGAACATAGCACATCCAAAAGCTACATATTGATCCAAATAGGCTAAGCTGAAGCAAGTGCCATCTACCCATTTCCTTAATTTTTATGAGAATTGGAAAATACTTCTGTTATTGCAGCAATTGCTGAGCCTGCAATGTCACAGGACTGCTTCCTGTGGGTATGATTTGAGCCCAGCACAAAAGATTACCAAAAACACACGCAAACTGCCTTGCATCAAGAAATGCAGCCTCCGTGGTCAACAGAATGGGCCTGCTCTCAGTTTTCTTCCCAGAGTTTGTAGCTTTGTCCATTGATCAGACAACACTTTGGCTTTCTGGGGTGTAGCTAATCTTGTCACTAACCCCCCCCCCCAAAAAAACCTGCCTCATTTGCACACAGATGATAGGGTGTTTTTTTGCTTCCTCATTTCAATACTCACCATTTGCCAGAACTGAAGTGAGGTTGATAGCAGAGCACAGGGGTGGGGCAAGAGGAGGGAAAGAGGAAGGGGAGACCTGTGAGGTTTGGGGTGTGCTTTCTCCTTCGGAGTAGCAAGTCATTTCACACTCAGCTTCCTTAAACCGCCCAGAGCTGTTTTGCAAGCTGCAAAAGAGAGCTTTCCTCTTTTGGCTTCCGTGTGCTTGGCAGCCAGAGCCAACTGGGTTCCTCTCCGTCAAACTTTTGGTGCTGTGGGGAAGCCTGCCCAAAGGGGACCTTTCCAGCAGCTCCTCATGACACACCTGCAGTTCAAAGACGCCTTCTGGGTAAGTGCCAACGTCTTGATTTTCACCTTCATGGAGATAAAGAGGCAACACTGGCTGGCTGCGTGGTCTGAATTGATCTGGTGCCGCACTGTCACAATTTTGCCTGCAAGTTTGGTTCAGTACATTAGGAAGGTTTTCGGGGCACGTTTGCAAACTGGTTACCACAGGAAACTGCGGAAGGGGCCTCTTTAGGACACCTGAATCCTCACAGTCAAAAGGTAAGGGACTTCTAGCGTCCACTTGTACTATAGTTAAAAGAATCACTTATTTCAAACTTTTAATTGCTAAAAAAGAGAGAAGGAAATGAACTCCTAAATGTTTAATTTTTAAAAAATTTTGAACGACTAACTTCTTTCTTGGGGATGCTGGCAGAACATGGGTCTAATGTTCATTGCTGTCGACAGCTCATGTTTCTATTCTTACGTGGTGCTTTTTGTGTTAGATATACAACTTTGCTAGTGCCGCTTTTATTTGGGTGGCGGGGATGCTCATGGCACCACACAGAGAGTGTCTTATGCAAAACCTGAATGTTATTATGCAAAGGTTGCCCCACCCTGGTGCTCAGGTGTCACCCTTGAATATCTTGACCTTTCCCAGTTGGTGGGGGTTGTTTCTAAAAATAAGGGCATGAAGAGCCCTCCTCCGTCAGACCAAAGGTCCATCGGATGCAGCCCCCTGTGATGTCGTGGTCCAGCCAGATGCCTTAGGAAACCAGCAAATGCGTCATGGAGGAAACAGCCCTCTGCTCCTCTTGCTCGCCAGTACTGACATTCAGTGATATACTGCCTCTGAATCTGGAGGGTAAATCCAGCCCATGGTTCCTCAAGCTTGTATCCCCAGATGTTGGACTACAGCTCCTATTATCCATAACCATTTGGCTAAGCTGGCTGGGGATGATGGGAGCTGTAGTCTGAGAACGTCTGGAGACCCAAGTTTGAGGAGCACTGATCTATCTAACATGATGAATGGCCTCTTGTTTATGGCTGTAGGGGGCTTCAGGCTATGTTTCTACTCCACTTTGCCTATGGATTGGCCATCACACTCTGCTATCACAGGAGAAGACTTTTGGTTTGTGGGTGTCCCAGAAGCAGGGACATTTTTCAGAATTTGCCTTCCAGGCTATCATGTCCAGTTAGGAGCTACAGGTCATGGTGTGTGGACGTACCCTGGCAACTTCCTCACCACAGGGCTGCCCCAATACATGTTGTTGTGTCAGAACAGCAAATGGCAAGGCCCTTGCTGCCCCGAGAGCACATAGGGTCCCAAGTGTGGTTATGCCGGGAAATCTCACAAGAACTTCTTTCTGCAGCCATGCCTTAAACCTCTTCTCAAACTTTTATTCTCTATGGGCCTAACTATACGTGCTTCTCATTGCATCTCTTGCAGCCGCATCTTCATTTTCTGTTTTATTTAGCTACAGAGGCAGCAGTGGGGAAGGTGTGGCTTTTATCAGGACGGCAGTATACAGGGAAGGGGGCTTTACCCCTGTCTCTGCTGCGCAGGTGCAACATTCCAGGGGTCTTGGCACGTAACCAGGGTTTGTGTTCCTATGGATTAAGGCACAGTGGAGACGGTAGTGTCTTTTAGAAAAATGGTTTATTTACACATATTTACACCTGAGTTTAGGTGCAGGGGGTGCAGAGCATTACACCCCAAGAGTGTCTCTTGTTGCTCCCCTCATAGATACAGCCTGCTTGGGCCCAGAGCAGTAAACAGCCAGGCTCCCTGGTCTCTGCATGCAGCCTTTCCCAGCCAGCCCTGCATGGAATTCTCCTCCTGTTCCTCTAAACCCCTTTTATTCCTACGGTGACATCATGCCTCCCAGCAACCTCCCCCCTCCCAGCTTATATCATTGGACACTGAAATTCTAACCTTGACCTTCGTCTCTGATCATCTTCCTCTCATGGGAGGAGGGTCTCACAAAACCACAAAAGTTAATTGTTTGTGGACCTCTGGGGAGGAAAGATGGTGGACTGGTCATCGACTGCTTATACAGAGATGAAATGTATTGATTAAGAAACCAAGGTATATCAAAACTCCCTTTTGAGATAAGGGAGTTCAGGGATAAACCTCACATGTCTTCAGAAGGAGACATTCATCATGCCAGAGACAGAAGCTTTCAGGGGTGGAGGAACATCTCAAGGAAGGAACATTCACCAATCCCATGCACCACACAATGGCCCTTAAATTAGGGCGTCAGGTCAGCAAACCTCATTCTTTTAACTATTTCTGAGACTAGAAGTGGGATGCGGGTGGCGCTGTGGTCTAAACCACTGAGCTTCTTGGGCTTGCCGATCAGAAGGTCAGCGGTTCAAATCCCCGCGACAGGGTGAGCTCCCGTTGCTCGATCCCTGCTCCTGACAACCTAGCAGTTCGAAAACACGTCAAAGTGCAAGTAGATAAATAGGTACCGCTCCGGCGGGAAGGTAAACGGCATTTCTGTGTGCTGCTCTGGTTCGCTAGAAGCGGCTTAGACATGCTGGCCACATGACCCGGAAGCTGTATGCCGGCTCCCTCGGCCAGTAAAGAGAGATGAGCGCTGAAACCCCAGTCGTTTGTGACTGGACCTAACAGTCAGGGGTTCCTTTACCTTTAAGACTAGAAGTAAATACTAATTGGATTTTCTATCTGTCAGTTAATTAGCACCAAAGAACAGGTGGGCTGCTGGGGGCTGAAAAAACACTGGTTAACAGGCTAGAAAATAAACCAAAAGGTTTAAATTAATTACTGGCGACTTCGAAAGAATACAACTATTCTTTGAGAGAATAGTTGCCTGAGACCATCGGGCACGGCACTGACATCAAACAGGGCATTTACTGAGCCTGCCCCGCCTTCCTATGCCCATCCCCTGATGCCGCCTGGTTGTTCAGGTTGGCAGATTCAGAGATCATTCGAGCAGACTTGAGCTGGCGCACGATGCTACAAGAACTTCGTCTGCTACAAGAACCTTTCCCCCCCCTTTCCCCCTGCCCCCTTCCTTTGCCATTTGTTTTAGTCCTTTGTTTCATGATAATATTTAAGTTTTTGCTTGCTTACTGTGAGATGCTTGATTGTTGTTCTCCTGTTATTTAGGTGTTTTTTCTTCCTTTATGTACGTTATATGGTAGTTCTGTTTAGCTGTGGAATGTTTTGGGGATTATTTTTTAATTTTATTAATTGGTTTGTCTAATATTATAATAGTAGGCTGATAAAGAACATAATAGTTTCATATAATCAGAGAGGTAGCTGAGGTTAGCTGGCTTGTTCTACTCGACTAATTAGAATTATCGAGTTGTTGATACTATAAGTAGAACAACTAGGCTAGGAAAGAGTAACACAAATTGCCAACAATGGAGGCTAGTATGAGGCTTGGGATTGCTACCGTGGAGGAGCGAGGGAGGTATGGTGGGGGGGGGGGCAGATGTTATCGGCGAAGGGGACCGAGATACGGATATGCTCATACCCCTTCCAATCTGCACCCCATCCCGAGGGACGAGGGTAGGGTGTCACTGGTGCTGTGCAATGCCAGGTCTATAGGCAACAAAACCGCCACCCTGCAAGATTTCTTTACCTCGCAGGGGGTCGACCTGGCTTGTGTGACGGAGATCTGGGTGTGCGAAGGGGAAACTGTTACCTTACGAGAGATGGCGCCCCTGGGTTTCTCTGTCCTCCACCAGTCGCGGACTGTGGGCCGGGGGGGGGAGGGGTGGCATTATTAATCTGGGAAGATTGTTCTTTCAGGGCTCTACCATCGCCATCAATCCCCGGCATTGAATGTGTTGGCTGTCTGGCTGGTGTACCGGCCACCTAGCGCACCAGCAGCCACCCTGTCAGGCCTGCTGGAGGCGGTGGCCGGCTGGGCCTTGGAGTTCCCTAACCTATTGGTATTGGGGGACTTCAACATCCATGCTGATGCCACTCCCTCCTCACAAGCTCTGGACCTGGTGTCTTCCATGACGACACTAGGGCTCTCCCAGTTTGTTTCGGGCCCCACACATCAAGCAGGCCACATGCTGGATTTGATCTTTGGCGTAGGTATAGATGTGATCATGTCTCCTTCAATGAAGGTGCCATGGTCTGATCACTACGCTCTGAAAGCCAGGATTGACTTTCCACCCCCACCCTGCTTAGGTGGCGAGCCGATTTGGGCTCCCCCGCAGAGGCTGATGGACCCTGATAGATTCCATCAAGCCTTGCGGGACCTTGCTCCCCTTGGCGACTCATTGACTGAGCTTGTTGAGGGCTGGAATACCCAGCTCCTGGCAGCCATCGATGAGATCACACCTAAGCACCCTCTGCGACCCCGCAGAAACCGGGCTCCCTGGTTTACTGAGGAGCTTTGGAAAATGAAGCGGGACCTCAGATGGCTAGAGCGAGTATGGCAGGGTGCCCGCGACGGAGCCTCAAGAACATCTTATAGGGTTTTTATGAAAACCTACGAGATGGCAGTGAAGGCCGCTAAGAAGTCTTACTTCTCAGCCTCCATTGCATCCGCTATCTCTCCTGGTGCAATTATTTAGTATAATTAGGTCTATAACGTCCCTGGAGGGACAGCCAAATTTAAATAACAATTTGACACACAGCTGTGAGGCATTTGCGAGCTTTTTTGCGAAGAAGGTCCTGTTGCTCCACCGTGACCTCCCTGCCAATTTGGATATAATAACGAAACTGGAGGCCCCTCGACTGTCCTCGGGTCCAGTATTGGACCACTTTGACCGGATATCCCCAGCCGATGTGGACAGACTCCTCCGAGCTGGAAAGCCCACCACCTGTCCTCTCGACCCGTGCCCGCCTTGGCTGATTAGAGCATGTCCAGACGAGGTGCGGGGCCCCCTGGGGGATATCATCAATTTGTCCCTTGGCACAGGGATATTTCCAGGGGAATTGAAGGAGGCAGTGGTGCGCCCGCTCTTAAAGAAAGCATCATTAGATCCTTTAGATCTATCCAATTACCGCCCGGTTTTGAATCTTCCGTTTCTGGGTAAGGTGATTGAGAGAGCGGTTGCTGAACAGCTTGGTGGGTTTCTGGATGAAACATCGGCTCTGGATCCATTCCAGTCCGGCTTCTGCGCTGGTCATGGGACTGAGACGGCTCTGGTTGCCCTAACAGATGATCTCCGCAGGCAGCTGGATCAAGGCGGGTCGGGCTGCTGATTCTTCTAGACCTGTCAGCAGCCTTCGACATGGTCGATCACGAACTCCTGGACCACCGTCTTGCCAACGTGGGGATCCAGGGCACAGTCCTTCAATGGCTGCGCTCATTTCTCTCTGGTCGGGGACAGAGGGTGGCGTTTGGGGGGGAATTGTCATCGCGCCACTCCCTGGTGTGTGGAGTGCCTCAGGGTGCGAAACTCTCCCCGATGCTTTTTAACATCTTTATGCGCCCCCTTGCCCAGCTTGTCCGGAGTTTTGGGTTGGGCTGCCATCAGTATGCCAATGACACCCAACTCTATCTGTTGATGGATGGCCATCCTGACTCGGCCCCAGACACACTGATCAGATGTTTGGAAGCTGTGGCTGGATGGTTACGGGGAAGCCGGTTGAAGTTAAATCCTTCCAAGACAGAGGTCCTTTGGTTGGGTCGGGACGATATGGGATTGGGGGGGGCAACTCCCATCTCTTGCGGGGGTGCAATTAGTGCCAGCACCGTCCGTTAAGAGTTTGGGTGTAATCTTCGACACCTCCCTTTCCATGGAGGTGCAGATTGCAGCTATAACAAAGGCGGCATTTTTCCATCTCCGCCAAGCTAAGCAGTTGGCTCCTTATCTCTCTCGCCCTGACCTAGCCACTGTGATCCACGCGACGGTCACCTCCAGACTGGATTATTGTAACTCGCTCTACGTGGGGCTGCCCTTGAGACTGACCCAGAAACTCCAGCGGGTGCAGAATGCTGCAGTGAGACACCTTACGGGGTCTTCGCTGCGAGATCACATTCACCCGGTGCTATACCAGCTGCACTGGCTCCCGGTGGAGTACAGGATCAGGTTTAAGGTGCTGGTTTTAACCTTTAAAGCCCTATACGGCCTAGGACCCTCGTACCTACGGGACCGCCTCTCCTGGTATGCCCCACAGAGGAACTTACAATCTTCAAACGAAAACATCTTGGAGGTCCCAGGCCACAGGGAAGTTAGGCTGGCCTCAACCAGAGCCAGGGCTTTTTCGGCTGTGGCTCCGATCTGGTGGAATGCTCTGCCACAAGAGATTAGGGCCCTGCGGGACTTGACATCTTTCCACAGGGCCTGCAAGACAGCTGTTCCACCAAGCCTTTGGCCAGGGCACAGCCTGACTCCCTCCTTTGGCAATCTTCACAGAACTCTAGCCCAATGGTTGCCATCAATTTGATTTGAACTAATTTTATTGTTGTTAGCCGCCCTGAGCCTGGCTTCGGCTGGGGAGGGCGGGATATAAATAAAAATTAATTTATTATTATTATTAACTGATAAGATAGCTCTGAATCTGCTTTAAATTTTCAATTTATACAGCCTATAAATCTCTGTCTTGTACGTGCTGTGTTGGCTGCGAAAATGAAACAGAGGTTCTTAAGAGGAAGGAATGTGCAAGCAGAGACAAGTTCCTGGAAGTGGAACTTCTCCCAAGGGGGAGCTTAGCAGAACCCAATGTGGCAAAGCCAACACCAGATGCTTCTCCAATCGTTGATATCCTACAAAGCCTCCCAGATGAACAGCTGGCAGAGTTAAGATCCGAGGTGCGCAGAACTTTAAGAGAAGTTAGATCTGATCTCTGTCAGACTACAGAATGCACAGGAGCTGGTGGGAAAGATGTGGATTGACTTCTGCCTGAGCATGGGACGGCAGCAGGAGTTGGAGTGGATGGGAGGATGGAAACAGGAGAAAGGAAGGGGTTTAAGAGGCAATCGGAGATGGCAGAGATGAGGCAGAGAGAGAAAGGGCCGAGGGCAGAAACTGAAGCAAACACGGAAGAAAAAGCCTCTAAGCTCTCAGTGATTGGTTTGGAAAAAGAATGGAAGAAGGATTTCTCCTTTTTTCTTTAAATCAGGATAAAGCAGGACCAACAGGAAACGGGACTGGAATATAAGGAACTGACTATGGTTTAATGAAGACACAAGCAAATAAGTACAGACTATTACACTATTAAGATTTGTTAGAGAACCTGGGGAGAAATTCATCATATTGGACCACAGAAGGACTATTTTGGTCACATAATAATAACTGAAGAGCTACTTTTGGACTTTTTGAGTGGAAAACGGCAAATTTGAGATGCCTGGGGGACTGGAGACTGAGAAGACAACACCTAGCAGACTGAGAAAAGGCTGGATATTAATGCAGCTAGATGGTATCCTAGCATACTTTGAGTATTTTGCATAATTGTCATATACATAATCAGCAGCAGAGAGAATCAGAAGATCCTCTTTTCTTTTCTTTTGTTTCTCTTCTTATTTTGTTTTTCTGTTTTCTTTAATTCTTGTTTTCTCTCAGTTAAGTCTATCTATATCTATGCTTCGTTTTCTGAAGTTTCCTATCTTGGATTGATGAAGATGCTTCCAGGAAGGTGACGGATGATAGAGAGGATCTCCCAGGGTGGGAGACTGGGGGAAGAGGGGGAAGCTCCCAGGTGAGAGCTGGGATGGCTCACTCTTCTGTGTGTGGAATAAGGGTTACGATATAATTGTAATAGTGGACCTGGTTTTTATTTTATTTTATTTTATTTATTTTTAGTTTTCTTCTTCTCTTCTTTTTCATTTTCTTCTTTTGCTTATTCTTGCTTCTGTCTTATTTATCTTCTTTAGATTAGTTTGGCTTTTATTGTATTGTATGCTGAAAACTCTTAATAGAATTGATTTTTAAAAACCAACTAGGCACCTTCCTTTATATTACAGGATGGTTCTTCTCCCCAGGTGATTCAGACTGCATTTCTGCACTGCTCAGCTGTCTCACACCTGGGTGAAGAGGTCAAGCATTCAATCCCCTACATTTACTAACTCTAGAACTTATGGGGGGGATCTGGCACCCAGGAATTATGGGGGAACCTGCCCCCCCCATTCATAACAGGGACTTTAGCCATCATAACTGCAATGAAAATCTGTACTGGCCCGCCTTTCTTGTGATGCAAATTTGGCTTTGAAAAAAGCTTCTACCAAAAGCAACAGAAATCCCCCCCCCCCAACAAAACCTAACTGCTTTACTGTGGTCTTTCTAAAATGCAGGTGCCTGTAATTAAATAAATAAAAACATGATTGCAATGTGCAAGAGACACCATGGACATTCTGTGCACTGTTTCTTACGGTTAGTTGTTTCTGTACCTGCCCAGCCCCACGTCAGGTGACTTACGTAGCAAGTGCAAGCATTTGGTAAGAAGGAAATGCCTTTTTTTAAAAAAAAGGCTGCTAAACAGGAAATCTAACTTTCCACCTTTATGACGATCTACTTTCCGTGCTGTATTCTTTGAACTAGGAAAATAATCTTTCCGTTTCCGCTGTGGTGGTCTGACTTCTCTGACATCCCGCTGGCAGGGGAAGGGCCATGGTTCAGGGGCAGAGCATTTATTTTGTATACAGAAGGTCCCAGATTCATTCCCCGGCATCTCCAGGTGGCTCCGGGAGAGACCCTGAAACCCTCGATGACCACTGTCCGTCAGTGGAGACCATGCTGTGTTATGCGAACTGGCAGGTCTGTCTTGGTGTAGGTGCCTTTCTGTGTTCCTCTCTTATGTGGGCCTGTGCTGCTCCCAAGTCCTTCCAATACCTGCGCTGGCTACGGCTCCTGGAGATCAGCCAGTGCGGGTCAGGTATAGGCACATGGCGGATATCCTGTGGAACTCGCTCCCACAGGAGGCAGGGATGGCCACCAACATGAATGGACATGTTCATGGCTATGAATGGCTACTCAGACAGCAATGCTTCTGCCTGCCTGTTGCTGGAAGCCACGGGAGGAGAGGGGCTCCTGTGCTTCGGTCCTGCTTGTGGGTTTCCACGGGGGGCATCTGGCTGACCACATTGAGAACAGGATGCTGAACTAGATGGGCCCCCCTTCTGGGCCTGATCCAGAAGGCTCTTCTCATGTTCTTATGAGTTAAGGCAGGAATAGGTAAACTCGGCCCTCCAGATGTTTTGAGACTACAGTTCCCATCACCCCTGACCACTGGTCCTGTTAGCTAGGGGTGATGGGAGTTGTAGTCCCAAAACATCTGGAGGGCCAATTTGCCTATGCCTGGGTTAAGGTAAAGGACCGCTGGATGGTTAAGTCCAGTCAAAGGCAACTATGAGGTGTGGCGCTCATCTCGCTTCAGACTGAGGAAGCCAGTGTTTGCCCACAGACAGCTTTCTGGGTCATGTGACCAGCAGGACTAAACTGCTTCTGGCACAATGGGACACCGTGATGAGTGGCAGAACACACGGAAATGCCATTTACCTTCCTGCCGCAGTGGTACCTATTCATCTACTTGCACTGGTGTGCTTTCAAACTGCTAGGTTGGCAGGAGCTGGGACAGAGCAACAGGAGCTCACCACCATCATGGGAATTTGAACTGCCAACCTTCTGATCAACAAGCCCAAGTGGCCACAACACCACCCGCTTCCTATATGTTCTTATGACCCTGTGCTAATTAGCCCATTATCTGACTTGTTGCAATACAGTTTTTCATCTTCCTGTATTCTAAAATCCAGTGTAATTTCCCTAGTGGGAAAACCTGACAGTGGCTGAGCCCTGTCTTGAATCTGATGATTCAAAGGCAGCCTCAGAAGGGGACGGGCAACGTGGCTGTGACCATTTGGCACACCAGCGCCAGCAGCACCAGCAGCTGCTCCCTCCAGCAGCCTGTTCCAGAAGGCTCAGAGCCCTCCAGGCTGTCCGTCTCCAGCCGTGTGGCAGAACACTCGAGAGATGGCGAACACAACTGTAGGTTTGCTTATTCAGTTATGGGGGGGGTGTTGAAAAAAGATGCTCTGAAAGGCATTTTACACCATGGTGCAATCCGTTTTCTTTTTAAATGTTGGCTGGGAAATATCCACTGTGCTACTGTGTTGTCATTGTATCTATAGCACAAAATCTGGAAACGGCAGCACAAATCCTACATATGTTTATTCAGAAGCAGGTCCTATGAATCCCTGGCGCTTCCTCTCAGGGAAATCTGCTTAGTACAGGATGGTGGCTGCTGGAGACACAGCCTTACCTTTGGTGGCCCCCTCTCTAGGGATCTTTTCCACCAGGAGGCCTGGAAGGTGTCTCCCCCCCCCCATCCTTTTGGAGACAAGTTAGGATGTATTCCATTTTTTAAAGAAAGCCTTAAAGGAAGAGTTGTATATGCCTTAGGCAGCTGTTCCCTTCCCCACCCACACTAGTTGCTGCTGGTCCACTTGATATGGTTAGAATATATATATATAGAGAGAGAGACAGTTTTTAAACTTTTTTTTTTTTTCTTTTCTTACAGCCAGCTGCCTTATGTGTTAATTTTGTGACTGTGACATGCTATCTCTTTAGGCTAATTGGGTCATTGCATGACCTGACTTTTCTCCTGTGCTTCAGCGAAGTTGGAAACCTTTGTCTCTACTTTTAAGAAGGGTAGGCATGTGTGGCAGGTCAGACTAGGCTAGGGAGACCCAGGTTCAAATCTCCACTCATCCACAAGTCATAGGGCCAAACAAGAAGCGACATTAAAAGCGATAGGGCATTTAACGGGCATTTTTTAAAAATGTATTTTTATTGAAGATTTTCTTGGTTTACAAAAGTATGTGCATTTATTTTCAAGTAACATTTTTACAGATCAGTTTCATTTGTTGAGACATTAGTGCTACATTAGGAAGAAAAGGGGGAAAGAGGTGGAGGGGGAGAAGATGGGTGGGGTGGGGTCAGGTGGCGATGTTTCTATTTTACTTAATGTATGTGTGGGGTTTTGTGTCAACGTCGCTTGTGCAGGTTCTCTGTTATTCACTTGTGTTCCTTTGGTGGTGAGAGAGGTTGGGGTTGGCCCAGGGTGTGGTTTTCCATTTGTGATTGGCTGTGGTGAGCTTTGTCTTCATGTGTGAGTGGGGTGGGTGGGTGTTTTGGATCAGGTTAGCCAGATTGATTTGTATGCTGTTGATGGATTCTTCTTGTTGTCTTGTTGAGCTGTGTATGTGATAAAGGGGAGCCATACCGGGGTGAAGGCGTCTTCTTCTATTTGTCCCTGTGTCAGTTTCAGTTTATTTGTTAATTTTTTTAGTAAGGCTGTTTCTCATATGGCTGGTGTCCAGAATAGTTGGATTTTGGGACACTCCCACCACATGTGGAGGTATGTGCCTGTGGAGGTGCACCCTCTCCAGCATTTGGTGAGGTTCCTACGCATATTAGCGCTAATTTTCTTGTTGTTAGGTACCAGCTGTAGGTGAGTTTCAGAGTGAGTTCTTCCGTTTTCGTTGATATGGATTTAAAGGGGGGTTTAGACCATATTCTGGTCCACTGAGTGGGGTTAATCTTATGGGGTTAAGCCTATGTCATCCTCCCATTGTTTTTTGATTGCATCTAGGGGGTTCATGGTATTTTGGAGTAGTATTTTGTATATTTTGTATATGGCAGATACCAACCCTTTGCCGTGTTCCTTTGTTGTTAGGAAGAGGTTTTCAAAGGTTGTCAGGGGCCTAGTTGCTGCTGATTTTACTGGTGGATTATTTAAGAGGGCATGTAATTGGTGATGTGTTAACCAGGGCATTTAGGAGTCTTCTAGTTTGTCCTGTATTTCTTGTGTTGACAAAGGTTTCTTATTTTTATATAAGTCTATTAGGCGATAAAAGTCTTTGGTTTGCCAGGTTTTTATCTGGAGGTTTTGTGCTGTGTGGTGCAATAATGGGTGGTGCGCCAGGAGAATTAGTGGGGTTGGCGATAGTTTGTCTATTTCTGCTTTCCATGCTTTGAGCGTGGTCTGTGTGTACCTGTTAAGTGTTGTGGGAATTTTCCTTAGTTTGTTTGGGAGGAGAGGGTATGCTGTGGTGCAGGTATTTTCAATTGTGTCCCTCTCTAGGTGTATCCATTGTTTTGTCTCTTTAACGGGCATTTTTTAAAAAAGGAAATAGGCACCATGGGAGGCCCACGCAGGATTAGGAGTAAGGTGGGCAAAGATGAAGAGTTTCACCTCTCTCCCTACAGTAATCCCAATAAATCCCTTCCTTGCTGCCTTTTGCAAATGGAGGAAATCTCCCGCTGGGGACAGTGGAAACGGTTGAACTCCTTCTCCTTTTCAACCATACATCCCATCCCATCCCATGTGTGTTTGTATCCTGCAGCAGCTGTTTCTGTATTTTAGACCTGTAAGGTCATGTAAGATTGTCTGGGGAAATTTCCGCCCCTGGAAGTGATTATTTTCTTTTGGGTCACCCCAGGAACAGGCGCCTTTGCCCCAAACCCCTTCACCTGCCAGTGGTGGTTCATGGCGGATGGTGGCTGTGGAAGCTCAGACCTGGGTCTGCCCCAAGAGACCGTCAAGATGGTCTCTGGCCTCTTCAGAAGCCTCAGCCTTTGCTGCTAGAGTCAGTCAGGGCCCTGCCCTCCCAGGCCAGGTGGAAAAGGCTGCCAAGCAGGGAGCAGTTCTGCCAGGACTCACACCCAAGAGCATCCGTATTCTCTTGCCTGCATGACACTGCTACCCCCAGGGAGGTGGATGAAACCTACTGGGACACACAGAGTGCTATACTTGATGAAGCGTAGAACATCAGTTGTGAATTTGCATCATGATACTGATTCATTTTATTTAATTCCTCTGTTTCAAGCCAAAAGAATCCCCTTGGCTGCTTGCATAAAACAACACAGTGCAACCACGTTTGTAAGGATGCTTCCATGCTCTCTTGGCACATGGCGTAGCTCTGGGGTGCAGGATGATCACATCTTCAGCCCACCCCTTGGAACCACCTCTGCTCAAGCAGCCCCAGCCTCCTGGACCTTTGCTGCCCCCCCAAGCTCTCTGCCTTCCTTGCATTCTATCTATGTATTTTTTTATTTCATGAAATTTATATACTGTTTGATTGCAGAAAAAACCCTCCAAACGGCTTACGAAAAAGATGAATCAATAAAATGATCAGTAAAAAATTTACAACCATAATTTAAAACTACAATAAGTTAAAACCACAGTAAAATAGACCAAAACAAATTAAATTCATCTGAAACTTTTAAACTTGCATTTAACTTGTGGCCTTTCAACCAGCTGGCCTTCAACCGTTTATGGCTGGAGTTGTGCAAGTTAAACATGCATGAGATGTGATTTTTCTTGCTCTGTCCTCCTTTCCCCAGGGCGGTGGGTCTTTTCACTGTCTAGAGCACCAAGGGAGCAACCAAGGGCAGCGCCTGGTGAGCTGCTGAGCGATAGCAACTTGCATTGGAAATGACTGTGCAGCGCTAAGATCCCCCACCTGATCTAGACTGACTAATCTCGTTGTTTATGTGGTGAGAATGGTTTTAGCTAATTGGAATTCATAATTTCCATTTCCTAGTGTAAAGAATTCACTGTCCATGCTGGGTACGATGCACTTCTACAACGACTGCTGGATGGGAGGAAGATGTGCAAGGATGTGGAGGACCTCATCAAACAAAGGTAACTGAAAAGGGTACTTAAGAAGGAACACTGGCTGCCCTGCCCCTGTTGGGGCCCTGGGCACACCGTGGACCAAGATGGAGCAGGCTTGCTTTCTGTTGCTCCAGAGGAGACGACCCAAACCAGTAGATTCAAATTGTAAGGAAGGAGATTCCAGCTAAACATTACGAAGAACTTGCCGGTGGTAACCTTCATTCAAGGGTGGGACGGACACCCTCAGAGGGTGGTGGACTCTCCTCCACTGCATTGCAGGGGGTGGACTAGATGACCCTTGGGATTTCTTCCAGCTCTGTGGTGGGTAGTAGTGGGACACTCTGTCCCTCCTGCAGCAGCTCACTTGGTTTCTGGGCTGGCTGCAGAGAGACCTCTTCCTTCCTGGCCAGCTCAGAAGCAGAGCAAGTTGCTGCTGGAGGAAGGACAGACTAAGAAGTTCCTCCTCCACCTGCTGTTCCTTGCTGAATAGGGAGAAAGGGGGGAGAGAGAGAGAGAGAGAGAGAGAGAGAGAGAGAGAGTTGCAAACAAGCAAAGACACTGAGCAGGAGAGATCTAGTGTGGGGTAGAGATTAAAAGTGCCAGACCAGGACCTGGGAGGCCAGAGTTCAAATCCCCACTCAGCCAGTGAGAAAACATGCAACAGTAATGGCTAATGATCCAGCTCCCAGTTAGGTTGTGGGATGAATTCAAGGTGCTAGTCCTGCTGGTGCAAATCTATGAGTGCACTACCATCTCTGGCCGAGGGCCACAGTGAAACCTCCCTCACAGGGAAGGGAAGAAGGGAAAGAAAATGGGGAAGCAGGGAGCCACATACGTCGCCTTGCACTCCTCTGAGTGGGGATGAAAGTTGATATCTGTGCTTGCTGAAACAATGCCATCCTTCAAAATGTTCACTTCTTTGAATTTCCTAGCACATTTCTTGGCTGAAGTAGTAAGTCCAGGGGCTAAGTGTTGTTAAAGAGGAACGTGCAAACGTGCATTGTATTAGGTGAGAGCTGCTTGGCAAAAATGTGGATATTAGGCAAAACTGCAGAGAAATATAAGTATGCATTAGGAAAAATTCACGCTAAGATGCTGATGAATTATGAAAATTGTGAATTTTTCCTAATGCATATTTATATACTTGGAAGAGAAGAGAATAATGGAAGCCTGGTGGATCAGGCCAGTGGCACATATAGATCCTCATCCTGTTCTCACAGCGGCTGAGCAGATGCGCCAAAGTGAAACCCACAACCAGGACTGGAGCCCAAGAGCCCCGTCTCCCCTCCTGCGGTTTCCAGCATTGCTGCCTCTGACTGTGGAGGCAGAGCAGAGCCATCCTGGCTAGCAGCCCTTGATCGCCTTCTCCTCCATGAACTTGTCCAGTCCTCTCTAAAGCCATCCCAGCTGGTGGTCCTCCCTGTCTCCTGGGGGAGGGAGTTTCATAGTGTAACTATGTGCTGCCTGAAGAAGTCTTTCAGCTGCCCAACATTCAGCTTCAGGAAAGCAGTGTGGTCTCCCCACCCGGTGCTCCCTTCTGTCCCCCCCACCTTTGTAGGAGCACAGCCCCTGAGAGTAAAATGGGCTCTCCCAGTGTCCTGCTAATGAATCATTATACACTCACAAGCGACACAGACCCCTGTCATCTCTCCAGAGCTATTTTAAAACATGTGAGCAAAGTTTTCTTTCTCCTGGTGGAAACAGTGGCTTCGCATAGGCGCCAGAGTGGTTAACCTGCTGTGGGTGGAGGCAGAGTGAGAAGCACAGGTGGGTTTGAGTGGCTCTGGGCCCCTGGAACTAATTTGGGGGTGGCTCCCTTGGCTGGTTTAAGGGATGCCTTCCCCCATCATCCTTCTGGTTCCTCCCGACTGGAGCTGTTGGGAGCTGTCATCTAAAATATATGGGAGGCATTAGGGGTTTTTTGGGGTGACCTCCAGGACATGAAGCTGGTCAAATGAGGCGACACTGTGGGACGGTGAAGGGGTGAGGCCAGCCTCCTTAACCTGGTGACCTCCATGTTTTGGACCACAGTTCCCATCAACCCTAGCTAGAATGGCCAATGGCCAGGGGTGATGGGAATTGTAGTCCACTGTACAACATCTGGATGGTGCCGGGTTGGAGAAGGTGAGGGGGGATGGGTCATTTTCAGTTTCTCTCAATTTCTCATTTTCTCAGTTAAATTTGATTCAGATTCTACATTATGTGGCCATAGACCTGAAAAAGCATAACAAACAATCATACAAGTAAATTAGGCAAACGACTGTTTAGCTGGCTTGCTCCTCCCCAAGCAGTTACAATTGTGCAGACACTCTCCTCTGACTGCCATGACATGCAAAACATACGGTGATTGTTTGGGTTTCCAAGTTCTAAGTCCGGAGGTAAAAAAGAGAGCTGTCACCAGGCAAAGGGGAACATGGCAATTTTGTGATGTGGACACGTGACCTTGCTTTGCAGTCTGCCTTCAGTGCTGTTTGGGTTTTGTAATTCCTGCTAGCCCTGGGCACAAGAAAAGAATGAAAGAAAGAAATGTATTACGGTCCCAGACCAGATTCACAAGAAAAGAATGCCACCATGAATTTGCGTAGACATGTGGGACTTGGCAGTGCATTGGATTAGGAAATGTTGCCATGCAACCAGCTGTGGCTTTGCATCTCTGTCCTGCCATCGCATCCACGACGAAAAACTATTTCTTTGAGCATATGAACTGAATTCCTTTGATGTGGGAGAGATTGCTGTTTCTTAGGCTTTCTCTGCAAACTGGGAATATTAGTGACTTGCTTCTTCAGGGTTGCTGTGAAGATGACCAAGACAACACAATGTTGCTTGAGCTATTAGAATTGTTTCCATGGCCTTGGAAGATTTATTATTTTGCACCTCCCTTGTGACAGATTTTGTTCCTCCAATAGTTCTAACAAGAAATTGCAATTGTCAGAGAAAAGCAACTCAATCACCATCTAGCACTATCAGTGACTGTGATGTGTCACTTTGCCGTGCAACTGTTGCACAGTGCTCACATCACAAGGCTCATGTCCGCTGCATGTCTTTAATTCTGCAAAGGGCGAGCCTTTTGCAGCTGTGCAGCGCAATTGCCCATGTGGCCTTTTTGGAAAATCCCACCTACTTCTCCCTCCCAGCATCAGTTCTTAATTATTGCAAGAATCCCATTCAGTTTTGTCTTCATTTATGGGGTGTGCACCTGCCCCTTTCCAATACTGGCTTGCACCACCTCCCTTTTCTTACTTTGATAGGCTTATTTTTAATGTACCCAAATAGTGACCAGTACAAGGCCTGCCAGGGCAAGAGACCCCAAAATATATGGGCGTTGGTACTCTTTGAACTTCAAATAATGAAGCTTTTTCTTCTCTTTTTGCAGGGCACAAGCAGAAGAGCGGTACGGGAAGGAGCTGGTTCAAATTGCTCGGAAGGCAGGAGGCCAAACAGAAATCAAGTAAGTCCTTTTGAATGTAACATGATAGCAATGACTGCAAAGTACCGTATTTTTCGCCCTATAGGACGCACTTTTCCCCCTCCAAAAATGAAGGGGAAATGTGTGTGCATCCTATGGGGCGAATGCAGGCTTTCGCTGAAGCCTGGAGAGTGAGAGGTGTCGGTGCGCACCAACCCCTCTCCCTCTCCACGCTTCAGGAAGCTATCCGCAAGCCTTGCGCGCCCGGCGGGAACACAATCAACAGGAAGTGAAACATGTTCTTATTCCAAGGCAAAGTTCACAAACCAAAACACCTACTTCCGGGTTTGCAGCGTTCTTAATCCAAGTTGTTCATAAAGTAAGCTGTTCTTAAACCAAGGTACCACTGTAACTTGTAATTACGCTTTGTCACAACATGTGTTCATGAATTCCCATGTGCAAAATCAGAAAAGGTAGCCAAGCCTTTTGGAGTGTCACAACTGTGCTGAAGTCCCTAAGAAATGCAATCAGAATGCAAAACCCAGTTCATGTTAGAAGTTCTGACTCATGTTAGCAGGAAAAATAGCTATGCTTTGAAGAGACTTCCTGTGTTATGCTTTATATAGAATCATAGTTGCAGATGGAGGAGCAAAAATGTACTCTTGAGCCAGCTAGTGCATTTCCTGTTTGTTGCAAAGAAATCCTGGGGAGAAATCGATTCAGTTTGCACTCAAAGGTGAAGTTACCAAATACGATTTCTGTTCTCATCCTGAAGCAAAGTTCTTAACCTGAGGTAATATTTCTGGGTTAGCGGACTCTGTAACCTGAAGCGTCTGTGACCTGAGGTACCACTGTATGTACTTTCTGGAAGAAGAGAAGAGCTGAAGCACAGCCATCCCTGGGAATTAGCAGACCTCTGAAGTCTGCAGTGCAGTTCTCTAGCCAAGGAGTGTGAATGAGGAGAAGGACTTTACTTGTACCCGCCCATCTGACTGGGTTGCCCCAGCCTTTCTGGATGACTTCCAACAAGTATAAAAGCATTATAAATGCATATACTAGGGTGAAGTGTGTATAAAATGCACATATTACAGAAAATGACATACCAAAATGCATACAAAAAAGTGTATATTAGGAAAGAATTGTGCTAAAATGTTGATGATTTTCAGGATGACTCTTTTTTTTTTTATTGCAAACTGGTCTGGAAAACTGAGCTTAAATACAGAAAAAAAGAAAGTGAAATTGGCAGATTTGACCATCCCTGGTTGCACATCTGATCCCTGCAATGTCTGGCTTAAGCATTATGCACTTATCCACGGGAAGCCATAACTAAGTGTGCCTGTCCTATTCCCTGTGTTGAGCTTGTGTAATATTCCTGCAGATGAGCATAGAAGGTGGGCTGCTCTCACAACACAAGCTGATTTGAATGCAATGCTAAGCCAAAACATAGAAGCAAAGAACTGTAGTGTTGGGAGGGGCATAAAGGGCCATCTGCTCCTACCCCCCCCCCATGCAATGCCGGAATCACAGCTAATTTGGCTTAATGTGAACATGCAGAGTGTACAGGTTTCTGGAGATGAGCTTCTGGCTTTTCCTGCTCCAGATTCTTCCTTTCCAGATATTGGTAGAATCTGGTGCTTTTAGCATTTGTTTTTTTTTTTTTTAAGATATTTATTCCGAATTTAAAAATACAAAAAAAAGAAAAAACCATACAAAATAGAGTAAACATATAACAAAAAACAGACAATAAGAAAAACTCAACGAGAAATATAGAAATACATTACAATAAAATAAAACAAAAATCAAATTAAACCTTTATCTAGCCTTTTTTCCTTTTACTTATTTCCGTGACCTCCTCTCGCCTCCCTGCTTTTGGTGCTTTTAGCATTTGGCACCTTTTTTTCCTTTTGCCCTGCAGCAACAGAAAATAGAGCCAAATTCAAAATGCACTCACTTACAGTTGGAAAGGAAGAATCGAGAGTTGCAGGCGCATCTTGAGGCAGAGCCACACCTTCAAAGGAAGAAGGAAGACTCACCCGACAGCATATGACATCAGGCGATTGACAAGTGGGCATTCTGAAAGGCCTTGAGTTAGCTTTATTGCCATTTTTTTCTGGAGACAAGGCAAAACATTATATACCAGGACTTAATCTTGTTTTTGCTTGTGGCTGATTGTATAGAAATTGTGCAACACAGGAGATATTATACACTGAGTTTCAGGGCTGGTGGAACAGTGTTGGGGCTTTGGCTATACAGAAAAGGTGACTTAGCATATTAGACTGGATAGGGAAGATCTAGGAAATCTTTTACTGTTAGCTGGTACCCTTCCATGTCATATCTAACTCAACAGGAGGGACAGGTTCTTCTTCCAGACTCTCACTGTGATCTGCCATAATTCCTAACCAATTTTGGCCTTCAGCTTGATTCTCCGGTGGTTCCCCTTTTATTCTCCCGCTCACTTAGGAGGGACCTCATGGCCCCCTCTCTCTGGCGTCTGCTGCCTGAATCGGCAGGCAAAGCCAGCCCCAGTTTCAGAAAAGCCAGAGTCAGTTCCTGTTAAGAGGATGGGTCTTTAGAGAGAAGTTGATTATATTTCCCTAGGCAACTGGGAAACAAACAGTCCCCAAAGAGTGAGTGACGCTGTTCAACATCTTCAGTGTTCACTTCCTGTCTTTCAAATGGGGAGGTTTCGGTATCTATCTTCCCTGCAATTGCACTCTGCAAAAGTATGAAGATTCAGTCTTGCAAGGAGAAATGGCACGGAGAATGCAGAAAGGGCGAGGGTAACAGGGCTCACGGATGTGCTCTAAGACTTCTGCAATCAGTCTGCGGCCTGGGGCATCAAGTCTCCTGTAGCTTCTGCTCTGACTCCAAAACAGATGTCCAGAACGTACAGATCTTTATCATGTTTTTAAAAAGCACCTTCCCCTCCTCTTCACACTTCATGGTTTGGGTAGCTATAGTTCCTTTAACAGCTTAGCATAATCTCACATCTATTTCGTTTGCACACATCTGCATTAGCACACTCCTGTTTGTGCTGCATCACATGTAGCAAAAGGAGATTCTTGCAAAACCATTACAGATGGAAGAAATTAGGAATGTCATTCATAAAACAAGTACTGAGAAAGTGCTGGGGACATTTTCTGCAGAATGGTATGAAACTCATCCAGATCTTTTGACCTCTCAGCTTCTCTGTGTTTAACAAAAGGGCTTTGGATTAGGCACTTTGTCTCTTTCAATGTATGGTGCTTATAGTCCTACTAAATCGAAGCCTGGCCAAGACCACACCAACTGTGTAAATTATAGATATTGAAATACAGTGGTACCTCAGGTTACAAACACTTCGGGTTACAAAGTCCGCTAACCCAGAAGTAGTACCTTGGGTTACAAACTTTGCTCCAGGATGAGAACAGAAATTGTGCGGCAGCAGGAGGCCACATTAGCTAAAGCGCGCCTCAAGTTAAGAACGGTTTTGGGTTAAGAATGGACCTCTGGAATGAATTAAGTTCGTAACCCGAGGTACCACTGTACTAACCGTGATTTTAGCTAGTAGAGCTCAAGCAGTAACGCACAGGGATCAAGTGGGTTTTATGTAGCATAGTCAGGCACTGATCACCTAACACTGGTAACTGATCTGGTGGCCTTAAGCAATAACAGAATGGATCCAGCTGCACCTTGTCCATTTGACAAAGTATATTAGGAGGTTATGTTTATTACTTTGGAAAAAGGTGGATTTCCTCAAGAATTTATGAAGTTGTCTTGAACTGGATGGATGTGGGGAGGAACAAGGTGGGGAGCCCCCAAGGGAGGAAGGCTCAGAGCCTGGGGGTGAGATGACAATGAGAGGAAGAAGACTGGGAGGAGGAGGTGTCGGAAGCTGAAAATGTCACAGGGTTTAATGAGCAGGGGGAGTCTGGGGCAGAAAGAAGTCCAGACTGAGGCAGAAGCTGAAACAGGAGAGGAGGGAGGCCACAAAGCAGAGATGAGTCCGGCTGGGGGAAAGGCATGTGACAAACTCCCCAGAACCAGGATGTTGATTTATTATTATTATTTATTAGTAGACTTGGAACATCCATATTGGTATTAATCAAAATATTTAATCATGTTGATAGAATTTCAGGGTATACAATTAATTTGTCAAAATTTAAATTAATGCCAATGGGCATTAATACACTAATTGGCCATTTTGTTGGTGACCAGATGTTGTAACATATCTAGGCATTTTAGTTCCGATAGATATTTCTCAAATGATTAAAATGATTTTGGACCAGATGTTTAAGGAGATTACTAGTGATTTGGAAATATGTGCACTACTTAAATTTAATAGTTGGGATAAGGTTAATACACTGCACTACAATTCCCAGTGACCCCTCCTTAGGGCCTCTCCCCTCAGAAGTGGTGGGAGACTTTCCTACCTTCCTCTTCCTCTCATCCCCTCTGCCTCCTGGCAACCTTTGCTCAGCAGACAAAGAGCTGCTGGCGCTGCCACTGGTCCAACTTGAAGGCTGGGGCACAGCCAGAGGGGCGGCTGGGCAAGCGAGGAGGCGCTAGGCAGGCAGTGGCGGCGGCAGCCCTCAGCTCCACCTGGAAGTGGTCCAAGGCCCCTTGGTTGGAGAAGCGCTGTCCAGAGGACTTAAGGAGTCTTAAGCAGAAGGTGGAACGATGCCACAAGAGGGCGGCCAAGAAACATCGTCATGGACTCTATTCTGGGCTACCTGTTTTCGTTTGAAGGAAGCCGGAGAAGCGAGGGAAAATTAAGATATAGGAGTTCAATGACCAGTAATTGGCTCGGATTTCTTTTCAGGCACTAAAAAAGGCAGATCCATTATCACAGTTGCTTTTGTAACATTCCAGCACACTGATATGGATCAGAAAATTGCTATGCGCACACACAAATCCCAGTAAAAATGATAAGAAATGGAGCTGTTTGGAGATAACAGTAAGTAAGGTTGGATTGATAAGAAAGGCACATAAAGCTCAAAGGAATCTTTAGCTCACTGCTCCACTAAGCATTTAATTGCTTTCGCCAACTCTTTCTCTTTCTCTCTCTCTATAAATGCTAGTGATTTATACTGAATATAGTTAGCTTTTAGGTTAGGACAGTTAGCAGATAGGTAGAAAATTTGTTCCTGGGGTTATAAGATATTCTGAAATCGATTTCACACATCTTTTCTCTGTGAGTTGGTCTACAGTATCTGTCTGACTTGTGGTTGCTGCGTGTGTAGACATTAAGAGGCTTGATCAGGTTGTGGAATCATGGAATTATAGAGTTGGAAGGGACTCCAAGGGTCATCTAGTCCAAGCCCTGCAATGCTGGAATCTCAGCTAAAGGTCTCACAAAAGATATGCCTCTCAATGGCTAAAGGTAAAGGTAAAGGTAAAGGGACCCCTGACGGATAAGTCCAGTCATGGCCGACTCTGGGGTTGCAGCGCTCCTCTCGCTTTATTGGCCGAGGGAGCCGGTGTACAGCTTCCGGGTCATGTGGCCAGCATGACTGGCAAACCAGAGCAGCGCACGGAAATGCCGTTTACCTTCCCACCAAAGTGGTACCTATTTATCTACTTGCACTTTGAGGTGCTTTCGAACTGCTAGGTTGGCAGGAGCAGGGACCGAGCAACGGGAGCTCACCCCGTCGCGGGGATTCGAACCACCGACTTTCCGATTGGCAATCCTTAGGCTCAGTGGTTTAGACCACAGTGCCACCTGTGTCATGGCTATTAGCCATGAAAAGGATGTTCTACCTCCACTGTTAGAGACAACCGGCCTCTGAATACCCCATGGAGGCTGGCCAAAGTCACTCTGCGTCCGGCCAGCCCTCATCTGCCCGGCCTTACAGAACTTGGCAGGGAGGAGGAGAGGGCAAAACTAGAGTTAGCTGGCTCTGCTTGTCCTAGGCTCTGGCGCCACCTTCTGTTGGGGTCCCAGCTTGCTGCCTACCAGTCCCAGAGGGCACCAGCCACCACTGTGAGCTCCAGTTGCTGGGAATCGCAAGCAGGGAGAAAGTGAGTCTGTTGCGCTCAGGTTCTTCATTGTGTTCCAGAGGCTGCTGGGCTGGATGGGCCTCTGGACTGATCCTGCAGCCAGGCTCCTCCTGTGTTCCTCAGCTGTGATTGTTGTGTTGGCAGTCTGGATGATGAAGCGAGTGGCTGTGGACTCTTCTGTTTTGTTATTTCTATCTGTAAGAAAAATAACTGCCCTTTTATCTCTTCCTTCTCAGCACTCTGAAAGCTTCATTTGAAATCCTAAAGCAACGTAAGTATAGTAGGAAGCTCCTCTTGCTGCCCTTTTCCACTTGGAGAGTAATTTGTGGAAGGGCAGAACATCCAAGGTTACTCAGGGGAAGAGGCCAGCCAGGCTGCAGATTAACAGAGCAGGTTTTACACATCTCCCACCAGTAAGAAGTTTACTTTCACTGCAGATGGGTGTTTTTATCCCTTTAAGTGCCGCATTAGAGTGTGTTAACTGTTTTTATTGCAGCTCATATGCTAATGATTGTTATGAGTTTGTGGGGGGTCAGTCTGGATGGGGTCCTGGGGGCCCTCCCAAACCTGGGATCCTGTATCTGAGAAAGCAGCAGCTTGCCAAACCAGTTCCTTTGTTAAGGTGATGACTTGGGCTGGTTAAAGTCCACAATTTAGCATACCCTAAGAAGTCGTGCTGTATCTTTCCCCCAGGCCCCTACCTTGGCTGGTAGGTAGAAGAACAATGGACATAATTGTGGGTGGGGACACAGAGAGGCATGTCTTGCTTTATGCTGAACCTGTGCTGGACTTTGGGGCTCCCCTGGAACCCTAATGAGGAAGTAAGATTTTTCAGGGTGTTAACGCTGCAAGTCCCTCCATCCTACGCCCAGGTGGTATATGTGTTTAAACAAAACCATATAGCCTAAAGACACTGCAGTGTCCCTTGACCCTCTTTCTAAGGAATCTGAACCCTGAAAAAGAGCTTGGAATCCCAAAATAAATGCGGAAAATTATTGGCTTGGCAACTGAAAAAGAGACAGAAGGAGAGTACAATAATTAATATTATGGCATCCCTAGAGTCTCTGACCACTTGAAGTGTAACAACACACACTACAATTCTCTCAGCAGTGAGAAGCTCCGGGGCAAAGCACTTTCCTAGGCTTGGTTAATGAGCATTCACCCTGATTTGTCTGTGGGGAGGTTAGAAAGCGCTGTTGAAGGAAATATTATTTCACCCTTTCCTGTATTTCCTCAACACTTTTGTTACTGCAAAAAACAGAATCTGTTTTGGGGAAGTGGGTTTGTTGCGCAAGACCTCTCAATCCGCACTAATTGCCCAACCTGAATTTTCCAAGATGTGATAGTGGCAGGTTGAAAGTGCCCCATCAGGCACTAGTTTTGAAGTGTGTTTGTGCAGCTTGCTTATTTTACTTTACTCACTGGGAATAAAGGATGCTGTCAGTTTGTACGCAAAGACCAGCAATGCTGAGCAGACACACCAACAGTGAACATCCTCATGCTGTAAGGATACTTTCACTGTGACTGTGAAGGAAAGGTCACCTGCAAAGGTGGGATTGCTCAGCTCCTGGGTAGAAGATTCATCCGGACAAACTCTGCATTCTGATTTTCTGCAGAAATTGAAAGTATTGGGAACTCTCACATCCAGCTGGCCATAGTGATGAAGGAGGAACTGAAGGGCCTGGAAGAATTCAGAGAAAGGCAGAAGGAGCAGAGGAAAAAGGTGAGGCATAAAATAATGGTCACCCCAGGAGGAGCGAACAGTTGGGTCCCCAACTAGATAGCAAAGGCACAGAGCAGCAGCAAAGACATTTATGTATTATATTATTGATTATGAAGATGTTTATATCACCATCATTAATAATGAAAATGAATATTAATTACTGTATAAATCATATGAATGGTGATGATAATGACCATAACCCAATTAAAGAAGGTTAGTTGATTAACTATATGCATTTCAGTTGATTAAGTCTGCATCAAGTGGGAAAAGCACAATAGTTCTAAAGAGAGAGAGAATTTTTCTTTGTTTTCAGAGGATGCATCACAGGCAGACACGGCCTTTAAAGAAGCCTTTCCCGTTCCCTTCTCTCCAGAATCACTAGTCTCAGAGAGCAGAAACTGGAATCAACTGTGGAGCAAGAGAGTTAGCAGCAGTCTGTTTGATGCCCCCAGGCCCAGCTGGGTAGGGTGGTCTTATTTTTCTCCAAGCAAAAGAGACAGGGACACTTTTCTTGCCCAGCCAGCATGGCCAGTGGCCAGAGGTGCAACGAGGTTTGAAAGTCCAGGTTCCCTATTCCTGCCTGGGATTCATTCTGAGGACCCAGGATGATAGTGGCAGTGCAGAGAGGAAGGTGCTGGAGGCCCTCTCCTGAGTCACCTTACAGAATCTCAAGTCTGCTTGGGAAATAGGAAAGGATCTCTTTCCCCTCTGGCTGCCCTGTTTTCCACTGACGTCTCAATTAACTTTAAAATATATGTGAGACTTAAGGGACAGGTGCATAATTGAAAGGGGCAAATGCACTAGAAATCTCATTTGTTCCTCTTGCTCATCTATTTTATACACACCTGTGTATTATTTAAAAGGCTAAATCAGCCCAGGCAATGTAGAAATATACTTTTTAAACAAAACAAGAACCCTGCAGGGCCTAATGCACCTAAAATTGTTGCAGCTCAATCGCAGTGAAATCAGTTTGTCTCTTGTGCTTTCAGTCAGACTGAGAGCCAAACTTCACATGACAGGCACTGCTGTGATTCTTGGAAGGGCAGATCCACCCCATACATTTGAAGACGTTCAGCGTTTACATTTAAAGCATGTGACTTCACCCAAAGAATCCTGGTAACTGTAGTTTAAGGATGCTGGGAATTGTAGCTCTTTCTTCCAAATGAAAAAGCTGAAGGAGGCTGTAATCAGAAGTAGAGAAAACAGGCAGAACAACTTGGTCTTCCCCCTTCCTGTTTCCCTTTGGTTGCTTACATTCCTCTCTAAGCTGCTTTTCTCATTCAGAAGGAAGAGATCTGGGGGGGAAATTTGGGGGGAACTACAGGGAGGGAAATGGTTAAACAATCCCCTCTCCCAACACTCCGTGCCTTCCAATTCCAGTTTTCCTTGGCTATTTTTCATTTTAAAAGAAAACTTTAGGGAGAAGAAAGAAAGAAAGAAAGAAAGAAAGAAAGAAAGAAAGAGAAAGAAAGAAAGAAACTGTCCATCGTGTGCACTTTGACCTTCCATGAAGCCTAACTTGCATCAGATATTGAGGGGCTTCTTTTCAAAGACGTGCTGCCATTTCTCCAGTTTGTGAATTCTGACCCAGGTCCCTCCAGGCTGCAGATCAGAGTACGAAGGGACTTAACTTTGCCCAATAACTTAGGGACAGCATCCCTGTACATGGTTCTCTGATGTTTGAGAGACATTAATATATTGGATGTGATTGACAGACAGGCTGTATCCTAACTCTCCGCTTTTCCTGAATGGAGGTGATAAATGCCGCTGGGTTTAACTGTGGAGAAGGGCTTTCTGAGGATGTTGCCCTATTGGCTCCTCTGACAAATAGACAGCCAGAGCAAAAGGAGAAGCGCTGTGTCAGTCAGATCCCCAAAGGGAGGCAAGACGCCTTCAAGGCTTCCTCCCAAATGTTTACTTTTATGCTTTGGTTTTTTACTTGTTTGGTGGTGGGTCGGGCGCTGCCTGCTTTTTTTGCCTGTGTTCTGTTTTGAGGTGTGCACAGGGGTTTTGTCTGCTTGAGGTGATGTTCCAAGGTTCACCAGTTGTCTGGAATTGTGTGAATGCAGCAAGATTGCATCTGATGTGTCTTTAACTTGCACTATTTCAGCTCTGCACGGTTGAAGGCAGGCTTGTTGAAATCACACAAGTTTAATCCAAGCAAGGCAGAGAGCTTAAAATTGGGTTGCCCAGTTTCAAAAAGGGAAAATCCAAAGGTTTTTTTTATGGGAGGGGGCAGACAAAGTTGTTAAGCTATTTTTAAGGAAATTTGTCAAAATATAGACCTCCAACATGGGTTGCATACATCTGGATTTTCCCGGACATTTCAGCAATTTCTGCCCCGAATCCCAGTTCTATCCAGGAAATTCCAGATGTAGGGCAGCCCCAGCTTAAAAGCTCTTTTGCTGGGGGACAAGAGTTGTAAATCTTCTGTGTTTCCTGCAGTATGAAAGTACAATGGAGCGAGTGCACAAGAACAAGCTCTCAATGTACAAGAAGACCATGGAGGTAAGAAATGAGCTTAAAGAGCACACGTATTTCACCACAGCCTAAATAATTGCTTTAATCAGGCTGAGGATGGGGCCCCTTATCATGGAGCTCACCTAGGCATGAGTGACTGAAGTCCCTTCTTGCCGGTGGGTCTCCTCTGAGGGAGAGAGTTGCCCTCCAAACATGGGATTATGGGATTCCCAGAGGCACTTGGTTGGCCACCATGGGAAAGGTCCTTGACAGTGGCAGACTTTAAAATTCCAGTGGTGCCCTGAGTGAGCCCAAAATTTGGCAACCCTGCCTCCCTCCTTCCATTCTGCTCATTGCACCGCATTATAGCTGCGGTGTCCTGTTGATGCCCCGTGCAGAGACACCGGCCACCCTGTCCAGAATCCACCTTTGACCTTGGTATGATCCATTGAGGTGCGTAGATTTTTAGGATGCTACTCAGAGTAGACCCATTGAAGTTAATAGACAGGACTAACTTAGGTTCTTCTCTGAGTAGCACTTGGGCCACATTCACCCTATGCATTCAAAGCACTATTATACCCCTTTAAAGAGGTCTAGCTCCTTGCAAAGAATTCTGGGAGCTGTAGTTCGTTCAGTGTGCTGAAGAGGGATTGACTGTTAGACTGCACTGTGAATGATAGCTCTGTGAGGGCACTAGGGGACTCCCTACAACTCTTAGCTCTCTTAACAAACTACACTTCTCATAATCCTTTCGGGGGAAGCTGGGGGCACAGGAAGGGGTGTGTGGCGGGGGCGGACCCCCCGGGTGTTTTCATTGAGGGGGTGACATTTGGCAGTCATGGGCAGGCGGTGCACCAAATGTCTGCCATTGGCGACTCGCTCCGCCCCCGGCCGCTGGGCGCACCCCAGTGGCTACCCCGCGCCTGGGAGGGCACCCTTTGCGCCCCACCCCCCTCAGGAGTGCACCCGCCCTGGGCAGCGCGGGCATATGCTCCGCCGCTGGGGAAGCCATGACTCTAAAGCAGTATCACAGTGAATCCTACATTTGTAGGGATTCCCAAGGGTCATCTAGTCCAACCCCCGCAATGCAGGCTTTAAATGCAATGCATTTTAATGTCCCTAGGAATTAATGAGCCCAAGTTCGTCAGTGAGTCCATTCCGAGTAGGACTAGCCTAGGACACTATCCTAAGAAGGGCCTTCAGCTTCTGGGGATTCTCTGCTGTCGTGCCGCCAGCTCCCTCCCTCCCTCCCTCCCTCTCCTCCAGTCTCATTTAAAGGTAAAGGTAAAGGTACCCCTGCGCGTACGGGCCAGTCGTGTCCGACTCTAGGGTTGTGCGCTCATCTCACTTAAGAGGCCGGGAGCCAGCGCTATCCGAGGACACTTCCGGGTCACGTGGCCAGTGTGACGAAGCTGCTCTGGCGAGCCAGCACCAGCGCAGCACACGGAAACGCCGTTTACCTTCCCGCTAGAAAGCGGTCCCTGTTTATCTACTTGCACTTGGGGGTGCTTTCGAACTGCTAGGTGGGCAGGAGCTGGGACCGAACGACGGGAGCTCACCCCGCCACAGGGATTCAAACCGCCGACCATGCGATCGGCAAGTCCTAGGCGCTGAGGTTTTACCCACAGCGCCACCCGTGTCCCACCCAATCTCATTTACTTATTTTTTATTCATTTTATTTATTAAATTTATACTGCCCTATACCCATTGATCTCAAGGTGGTTCACAACACATCAACGGTATTTATATCTTTGCCTGCAGTCAAAGAAGTCTTATGAGCAGAAGTGCAAAGACACCGATGAGGCTGAACAGACCTTGGAGAGGATAAGTGCCGTGGGCAACCCAAAGCAAACAGAAAAGGTATCCTAGAATCTCAGTGGTCTTTCAAGGGAGCAGCTGGGCGTTGGGCCTCCAGCAAACGCCTGCTTTTCGCTGTGGTGGTCTCCCTGGTTCCCTGGTTCCTGGGTTGTACACAGTGGGAAAACTAGGGTGTCATTTCTCCCTTAGCTAGAGGTGGAGGAGAAATTTGGGTTGGCCTGTATTTTAATGCAAACTGAAACACAGCTATCCTTCAAAATTCACAGTTCCCAAGGATTGCTTTGTTAGAAACTTGTGTGCGTGGTCAACAGGAAAATGACCCATTTGTATTTATCTGGTACCCTTTTATTGAATTCGCTAACACAAAAAGAATAATAAGTGTGTTCCTGTTCAGTGCAGATTGGGTTGGCTATTTTAGTCAGTTGGCTTGTATGCTAAAGATGGTATATTTATTCCTTGTATGGGCTGGCTTTTGATGGTGTTGTATATTGTGCTAATGGGAAGAATTTTGGTAACTACTGAGGGTGGCTGGGTGGGGTTTGGAGGTGATTTGAGCTGTAACTCTGATATATGTACTCTGTATATGTTGTATATTGTTATAGATTTGGGGGGAAGCCTCCAAACCCTAGAAATTAATAAATGGCAGGATTTGGATTATTTGGGATGTGAAGGGAGAAATGCCAGCTGCAGAGGAATTCCTGGGCCAGCCTTGGCCAAACGGGCAGGAATGGCCAGCCACCTCGATGGCGGAGTCAGTGGCTGGGAGCCAGGGGGCTCTGCTCTGGCTCCACAGTTGGAGGCAGCGATGCTTCTGAATACTAGTTTCTGGAAACCGCAGGTGGAGAGCGGATTGCTCTTGTGCTTGAGTCCTGCTTGTGGGTTTTCCGTCTAGGTATTTGGTTGGACATTCTGAGAACAGGACTAGAGAGGCCATTTTGGCTCTTCTTGTGTTGGCAAGGGTATCCAGTATTTACAATCATTAGCATCCCTTCTCTTTCTTCTGCAGAGCCATGAGTCTTCTCTTTTTATATTTCAGAGTCAGACCAAAGCAAGGCAGTGCAAAGAGGCAGCAAATGAAGCAGGTACTGTCCAGAAAACCTACAGTAGGTCACATGTGCCCCACACTGCTGGGACAGGCACAGGTCCTGGCAACCCAGCCATCCTGGAGGGTCTTCCTGTTCTTTTAAGTCCTGGGTATTTTGTCCTGGAGGATTCCTAATCATGGGATGGGGCTACACAAAGAGAGACTTGTACCTCATTGGTGAACACCTCTCATTTGTTTTTCTGCTGCTGCAGAAAGAGTGTACAAGCAGAACATAGAATTGCTGGATCAGGCCCGGACTGCCTGGGAGCAGGAGCATATCAGCACTTGCGAGGTAAGAGGTTTGCATTTGGAAAACACTTTGTATCCACGGCTCAATATGAGCCGCAGCTTTCGTGGTCCACTGACGCCTATGCATTCTCCGTGTTGACATGTGGGACTTCTGCATGCCATGTTGGAATGGGGTCAGGTCCAGGTTTTGCAAAGCCCTTCCGTGAGTCTGCACCACCTTGCTGCAGCAGGTCCTGGGGGCCCCTAGCCGTGGCTCCCCTCCTGAGTGTGGCCCCTTGCCAAATGCCCAAGCTGCCACCTTTGGACGGCGGCCCTGACGCAGAACACCATGGAGCCAACGGAACCCCCTTTGTCCTTCATGGATACAGGCCTTCCAGCTCCAGGAATGCGACCGAATCACCATTCTCCGGAATTCCCTGTGGGTCCATTGCAACCAGCTCTCCATGCAGTGCGTGAAGGACGATGAGGTAAGGGAAATGCACGCCAGCGGTGGTGTAGTGGTTAGAATGTCAGCCTAGGACCTGGGAGGCCAGGGTTGGAATCCTGCCCCCCTTTGCCATGAAGCTCTCCCCTGGAAGCTCTCCACTTGGGCCAGCTCCCAGCTTGACCTACCTTACTGGGTTGTTGCTGAGAGGATCCAGTGGTGGGGGAGGAGGGCTATCTACCACCACCTTGAGCTCCTTGGAGGGAAGAAGGTGGGATAGAAAGGAAATAAATAAAAGGCTAAAGTGGAAGGGAATCCCAGAAACTCAGAAGAGATCCAAGGGATTCCTAGTAACCATTAAACAACAAAATGGTCCAGAGCATTGAGGAAGAGCGCAACACTTTCAACTGCAACTTAACTCCTAAAAAACATGTTTTTGTTCTATTTATTTATGAAGCATCTGAAGGTGCTCAGTAGCCTCATCAGAATTAAGGCTGCAACAGGCTCTGCCCACAGTCTTAGAATCTTAGCCTCAGAAAAACCCATTTTCAAGGAAGGAACTAAGATGACTGGTGTCAAAAGAAGCAAAAGTTTTTGGTTCATAAAATGTGCTGATCCCGAGCCAAGCCACGTCTTCCCTTTCTCTCTCTCCCAGCTGTATGAAGAGGTCCGCGTGAGCCTGGAGAACTGCAACATAGACTCGGATATGAATCACTTCGTTCAGAATAAGATGACTGGGATGGAGCCACCAGGTAACCCAGCTGAGGAAACTTTTTTATTTAGCGGTTTTGGTTGTCTGATTGTCACCTCTGAACTCCAGAAAGGGGGGGTGGGAATAAGGGCAACTGGAAGGCCCTTCGCAGGCAGCTAGTCCAGCCCCCGGCTGCTGCTGCTGCTGCTGCTGCTGCTGCTGCTGCTGCTGCAGGAGACTTGCTGCAGCAGCATTGCGTGTAGGTGGTGACCATCCAGCCTCTGCTTATAAGCAGCATTCAAGATTCACCAGGCGCTCGTTGCACCCGGCTCTCATCCCCTTGCGACCAAAGGAAGATGCCTGGGGGCTAGAATGGCTCCTGTCGCCTCCACCATCTGGAGGGGCCTCCCCGGGGTCCTTGGATCTAGACTGCTTTCACACACCAGTACCACAACCTGTAAAATTATATCCATTATATTTTATCCACACGATCGGAATGAATTTCAGAAACCAAAAAGTTGTATTCTGGGGGGTGGGGATGGCAACTAGGCATTCCGTTTTGGCAACTGTAACCTTGGTTTAAGGAGCCATTTGACACCAAGCTTATAGATCCGAATTTCTAACACTGCTTATGAGCTTCTAAGAAAGGAGAGTCCACCATCTTTCCTAAGCAGCCTGTTCCACTCTTGAATGGCCCACACTGCCAGGAAGTTCACATACTTAGCTGAAATCCCTTTTTGTGGAATTTGAATGTGTTTTGTTTGGATTCCGCATTCTGCTGCAGCAGGAATGGGGAACTTCCTATCTGGCCCTTGGGGCTTTTCCGAGCCCCCCCCCCCGACCCCCCTTGTGCCCTCTTCAAAGGGGAATGTCCGGAAGATCCTTTGCTTCCCATTCCACTCCCAAGCCATCACCAGTAGCATTCCCCTGCCAGACCATTAGAAACGTGCAATTCTTAAAATATTGTGAAAGGTTTTAAATGTGCGCTTCAGAGGAGAGAATGACCATGCGGTAGTGGGGGGGGGGGGAATGGTACAACGATGCTGAGCTGGTTTCTCCCATGCCTTCCACCCCTTCTCCAATGCAGCTGCCATTGGCTACGAAAACTACTACGACCGAGTCCTGACGACTAAAACCTGCAGCAGCCCCATCCCGACATGTGGGATGATGAAGAGGTAACAGAGGCCATTGGGCAACTTGAATGTGGGGGACTCTCCCAAGAGACTTTGGGGAAGCTTTCTCTGCACAGGTGTAGAGCCATGTGGTTTTGGGGGGGGGTTGTCTTGGGGAATATGCAGTCACCAGGCTCCCCTCTGTGAGTTAGGACATCTCTGCTATCTTTAAAAAATAAAATAAAATTGAATAACAAAATAATCGACACACAGAGCTTTTGTTAAAGTCAAAAGAAAAATAAAAAGTCAGGAGGGAATAAAACAGATATGATTATTATATTATTAAAATTGGGTATGAAAACAGCAATTTAAGAGATAGAGAAGCTGCCAAATAAAATCATATTTCTTTTGTAAATCACCTTGAGGTCCTTCTGCGATCAAAGAGTCTATAAATTTTATTAAATAAATAAGAAAAGGAAGGAGTTGGGAAGGAGTTTGCCACCCACGCGACTGCGTTGCCATATATGTAATAAATAACCTCAAAACAGAAGTGAGACCAGAGGGATCAGCACCCGCCCCCCCCGGCTGCAGGGAAAGTTGCAGCTCAGTTTCTCTGAAATGCCAATGAACACAACTCTCTTGAACCAGCGATCTCGGGTGTCGCATGAACTGTCTCTCCAGGCCTGAGCGATGACACTGTGCCATCTTGATGGCTGGCCATGGGCTTTCCTTCCGACTCTGGGCCCAATCCACCCAGCAGGAAAGGGCAAGGGGACTGACTTTTGCCACTGCTTGCACACTTGGGGAGGTCAGGTGTCCAGGCAGCAAGGGGGAGGCGGGGGCAAGAGTTAGCCTGTGGGATTCATTGCCCCTTCAAGCACTGCATTCTGGCTTCGAGAAGCGTTGATGTATTTCATGGAGGATGGGGCTGCCCATTGATACTAACCAGGACGGCAACATGGAGCCACCATGTTCAGGGGCAGTCTACCCCTGCACAGCAGTTGCAGCAGGAGAGGCCTGTTGCCCTTTTGTCCTGCTTCCCAGAGGCACCTGGTGAAGCAGGCAGGCCTTGGGTCTGATCTAGCAGGGCGCCTCTCAAGTTCCTAAGAGGGGGGCATGGCCAGGAGGCTATGGAAGTCCTCTGTGGGGGCCCTGATGGGGTCTGGGCGCTGGCAGGGGCCCACTGAGGGTGACCCTCAACGCTGGCCATGAGCGCAGGAGCCATGATAAATAAGAAAGGAGGGGGCTGACTGCCTCTTGCCCTGAAGCTCATCCTGGGTTCTTATGGCTCCACAGATTCTCTGGATTGCTCCACGGAAACAATCGAAACACCTCCGACAGTATTGTTCCCACAGCTCCACCAGCTGGTATGTTTGTTCAACTGATGTTCTTTTTAGGAAGCGAGCCCACATTTTAAAAGGGCCATTGGCACCTTCTCAGGATTAAACACAAATCCACCCCCTTCACTCTTTTGGGCATTGCTGTGTTAATCTGTTTAAAGGGACTCAAGGCTTGCAACAGATGGGTGTTTTTTCCCATTCCCCCAAGAGCACTTGATGGAGAAAGAGGGCCCAGCAGGGGAAGGGAGGGGCTGCTGTTCGCCTCCGTCAGGCTCTGCTTGCCTCTGTGTAAGATGGGGGGGGGGCAGGGGAGAGGGAGAGGAACAGTGGCGCCAGGCGATCTGTTTTTGCCCGAGCAATCAAGGCCATCAGCAAAAGCACCTCACAGAGCTCTGCGCAGGCCCCCATCATCAGCTGGTGGCTGGGGCTTGGGCGCTTTGTGCACAGAGCTATGCAGTCCCTGGAAACCAGCTGATTATTGCCCCTGACAAAACCTGGTGCCCCTTTGCAGCTGGGCCTGCAAAGGCCCTTGGGTCCCCCTGGTGGGACGGTGGGCATGGCTTGGCCAAAGCATGCTTGTGGGCCACATGGGGAGGCCTGGTGCACAGGGTGCAGCTATTGCAGCAATGCTGTCAGGACTCTGTCTTGCAAAGGAAGTGAAACCTCAGGTCATACCAGCCCTGGAAGAAGCAGGAGCAGGTAGAAGGAGCCCGGAGAAACAAAGATTACCTGAGTTTGGCACAGAAGAGGCGTTGTGCAAAGCTGCCTGCCTGCCTCCTCCTGCTGCTCAGTGCAGTGTGATGATGACGACGATGATAAACTGTGTATTTAGTTAGTTCATAAGATTCATACACCACTTGAATGTAAAAGAAACCCCTCAAAGTTAACATGCATATTACCTCAACTTTCTAAGCATGTGTGGGCTTGTCTAAGCAAGAATATTTTTATCAGGTGCCAAAATGAATGAGTCCAGTGAAGGCGCCTGCTTGATTTCAATGGGCAGGGAGTGCCAAAGATGAGGTGCTGCCACACTTAGGGCCTTCCCTTCCCCATTCCTGCCGCTCAGGCATCCTTGAAGCCCTCCATGCTCTGAGACCAAAGAGCACCTCCCCAATACCAGCTGGTGCAAATATTGATGGAATGCCCTCCCTGCGGATGTGCGTCTCTCTCACCCATGTCTGGAGGAATTTTAAAACACTTCTGTTCACACAGACTTTTGATGGCTGAAATACAGTTATTGGCGACTGTGAAAAAAGTAGCTGTGAGATGCAATTGCTTTTGTTTTACACTTTTTGTATAGTGTTTGTTGCCTTTTGGGAGGATAGAAATCAATGATCTCTAATAGTTATCCACCCCAGAGAATTAATCTGATTTGGTGTTGCTAGTTTGTTCTGTATAATTTTATGATATTTTAATGATTTTATTGTACACTGCCATGGTAGTCTTTTAATGAGCTGGTGGTTAATAAATACTCATAATAAACAATAAAATCCCTTTTAAAAAATGATCCCATTCTTTGAGGTTTCAAAACAGCACCGGTACTTGAAAACAATTGCTGAGGCCAAAATATTTTCTTTGTGCTATGAATGCATCATGGAATTACTGTAATGTGGTTACTAAGGCTAAATCTAGATAGACGGGTTCAGTTGCACCTGCTGAGCTGCCACCTTCGAATGCCTCAGCGCATTCCTGGGCGTTGCCTGTAGAGAGAACAGATTCTCTCCCTTTCTGAGCACTTGCACAGGATCCTCCAGCTCTCCAAGCAGTTAACCCCTTTGTTCCCACAGCTGAGAAAGCAGATGGTGTTTATGCAGCAATTCACGTAGCCCAAGAAGAAGAGTTTTCTACATCTGAGGACTACAGAGTCCTCTATGATTACACAGCCCAGGTAAGCATCAAATCCCCCCAGGTGCATAGAGCAGGGGTCAGCAAACTTACTGCACCTCGGGACAGTGTCTCCAGCGCCGATCGCGCTGAGGGCTGGGGGGCGGGGGAGCACGTGCCCATATGTGTGGGCACACGCTATTTCCAGCGCACTTCCGGGTTGGAGGAGCACCGAAAATAGCTTGTGCGCATGCACAAGCATTATTTCCGGTGCTCCTCCAACCCAGAAGTGGGCCGGATAAATGAGTCCCTCGGGCCTTATCCTTCCCTTAGTTTGGGGACCCCTGGCATAGAATCTGCTTAAACAAAATCAATATCAATCTGAACACAAACTCCAGGAGGTAAATGTGGTTTTATTTTTATTGGCTGATTGATTGAATGAATTGCCTTTAAGTGGAGGCCATGCACAGCTGACGTGCTCCCTCGCAGGCCGCTTTCGTGATCCCAAAAACAAGGATGAAAATCCTTAAACACAAAGCCACAAAGCAGTTCCAGTTAAACTATCCCAAGAAATGGGAGCTGCAGAGAGAGCTCTTCCTCTGATCTCTCTGCATGCAGTAGTAGTAGTAGTAGTAATTTTATTATTTATACCCTGCTTATCTGGCTGGGTTTCCACAGCCACTCTGGGCAGCTTACAGCACATAAAAAATTGTAAAACATTAGACATTAACAATTTCCTGATACAGGGTTGCCTTTAGATGCCTTCTAAAAGTCAGATAGCTGTTTATCTCCTTGATATCTAACGGGAGGGCGTTCCACAGGGTGGGCGCCACTACCGAGAAGGCCCTCTGCCTGGTTCCCTGTAGCTTTGCTTCTCGCAATGAGGGAACCGCCAGAAGGCCCTCGGCGCTGGATCTCAGCGTCCGGGCAGAACGATGGGGGTGGAAACGCTCCTTCAGGTATACTGGACCGAGGGCGTTTAGGGCTTTCAAGGTCAGCACCAACACTTTGAATTGTGCTCAGAAACGTACTGGGAGCTCATGTAGGCCTTGAAGAAAAATCAGTGAAAAATCAGGAGACATCAGCTGAAGCCCAGGAGCACAGCAGAACTACCTCAAGATCCCTTACTCCACACTCCAAGGCAAAGAGCCCGCGGGTAGGATTTCCTAAAGCCCCACTGCTATCAGAGCTGGTTCCTGGGCAAAGTGACAAGCCCCTGGCCTCACAGGGTGGCTGGGAGCAGGGCTGTTGGGTCCTGCTGCTGCTGCTGCTGTTCTCCACAATGCTGCAGATGGTCTTCATGTTGGGAAGTTGAATGGCAGCTCCATCAGCTGCTAGAGCTCCAGGTAAGGAAACGCTTTGTGGGCACCAAAGTCACAAGTCAGCAATGAGCTCCGTCTGGGCGCCTGGTACCCAGAGCAGCTTTGGCTGCTGTGTATGTTCACAATTTGATTTGGGTCATGGTACCCAGGTTATAGAGTTTAGCATACATTAACGAAAAGGAAGGCCATCACCTGATTAAAGAAACGTGTTGATCTATCAACTAAGTTATAATTAATTGGTCAGTCAGTCACTTAATTTTGCTTAAGGTTGTGCTTGTTACTAAAATTAACATTCTGAAAAAGGGGGAAGAGGCTGCAGGGGCTCCTTGGCCCTTTGTGGTATGCAGGGCCGGGGGGGGGGGCACTTCAAGGCCACAGGCTGATTGTGGCCCTCCAGGTCTCTTTACCTGGCCCTCCAAACTCTTCCCAGGCAACACTCCACTTCCCAGCCACTAGCTCTGCTTCAAACCTGGAATGTTTTTGCCTGGCATGAATGTGTCCTTGATATCCGATAACCTCCCTTGCTTGTCTGGAGAGTGTGTGTGTGTGTGTGTGCAGAAGCCTGTCTAATGTGCAAAGGAAAACTTTAGTCTTGTTACTCCACCCACTTTTGCCTCTGGCTGAGCAAGGTTGCCCACCCATCAGAGCACCTGTAGCAGCCCCTGGGTGGGACTGGGCAGCTCCACTCCCAACTATAGGTGTGGGGAAAGCATGGACCAACAGCAGCAAAATGCTGTCTCCACCTGAACAACAAGGGAGTCAGGCAGAAGGGATCTGGCCTAGCCTTCTACCTGGGATGGTGATGGAGAAGCCTGGGACCTTCCAGCTGCTGCTGGAGCAAACCTCTCTTCAGTCCTCCATTTGTTCTCTTTTTCTAGAATGAGGATGAACTGGATATCCAAGCAGGTGATGTCATCTCCATCATTGAAGTAGGCGATGATGGCTGGTGGACTGCAGAACAGAACGGAAAGCAAGGATTTGTGCCTGGGTCTTATCTGGAAAAACTTTGATGAGAGGAGCAACCTGGAGTGTTTGGATTTTCCCTTCTCCAACCCCCCCTCCAGATACGCCTTTTAATAATCTTTGTGAATGTCATTAAATGAAGAGCTATGGGTCTACACTTAAATTTAACAGAGATTGCTGCCTAGTGTCCCATGCTGCTAAAAACAAAACAGCACAACTACAAGATACACCCCTATTTTAGCAGGCTTTGGTAACTTGCAGTCTTCCTGCTGTTGCTGAACTGCAACTCGTTGTCATCCCTGACCACTGGTTGGGTGTGATGGGAGTTGGGAGCGGCACAGGTTAGCAACCCCAGGTTTATGATTTCTAAGATGATGGCCTCATAAGGGATCCACAGAGGACCTCTCTAAAAGACCCTTTTGTTGCAACGCAGCCCAACTGGGCAGCAACGCAGCCATTTGAAGTGCCACTCTGGAGGGATGTCTTGGTGCTGGTGTCGTTCCTCTTCTTTCCAGCAGACGGAACCCAAAGCACATAGATCAAACCAGCCCTTTCCTGGCTCTGCAGTTGCCCCCTGGAAATGAAGGTGGGGAGCTGTCATTGGAGCTGCACTCAGCAATCATTCAAATTCTCAGCTGCCTGGGATCAAAAGCTCCTTTGGAGGGAGAGGAAATGCACTTGCAGTTGTTCCACTGGGGTGCCAACACGGGTTTCTGCCGCAGCTTGAGTTTAGGGTACCAGCAGCTGAGAATTTGAATACAGTGGTACCTCGGTTTTTGAATGTAATCCATTCTGGAAGACCGTTCAAGTTCTGAAACGTTTGAAAACCGAAAACTCAACAGCTGACAGCTAAGCCTCAGGATCTTGCACTCAGCGGAAGCCGTGTGGCATGTTGAATTTCCGAAGCATCTACTTCCGGGTTTATGGCATTCGAAAACCAAAATGTTAGTCAACGGAGATGTTCGAAAGCCGAGGTACCACTTTACAAGTGGCAAGCAGCAAGTGGAAGGCCTGAGAAATACTCCCATGACCTGTTCCAGGGACCCCTCTTGCAATGACACGCCAGACCGTTTCTTTCATTAGATAGAAAGAAACCCATCCTGTAAATTCTTTCAACTTGCAGATTCCTGCAGGTGTCCTAAGGCTACTGACGTACTCATCTCCCAATGGAAGCCAACTATGTATGCGCACCCTGAAGTCTCATGCCCTCCACAAATTTGCTCACGGGTTGGATAGACTGAGCAAGGGCCTTTTTGAGCCCCTTCTGAGCCATCCACACCAAACTATGCCAGCATTTATTTGCCGCCCAGTTGCACCGCATGCAGGAGCTACACGAGGAGAGAGCGCAGAAACAAGTCACCTGGGAACTCAGTCCAGCTTTGCTCTGGAGGCACAGTTTGCTTGCTTTGGGAGGGAGGCGGGAGAGCATCTCCTGTGCTTTGGGGTTGACTCTAAAGGTATAGAAAGGAAGCAGGTGCCTTTAAGAAATGAAAAAGGAAGGAGACAAGAATGGTCTTGTAACCTGACAGGGTTGTGTGAGACGGCAAGTGATGTGAATACTGAGGGTAATTTAATATATGTTTTAAACAAAAAAGTCAATGAATTTTCCGTGTTTCACTGATGAAAGTTATGTTACAAGTAAAACATTAACGATGTTATATTTTTAAAAATGTAGTCTAAAGTATTTAATTGCAGACATATCATTTAACAGCATATCCAAAAGTTTTAAAATAAAAAATAGATTGCAATGAGCAGAATGGTGTAATTTTCTGTTAAGCTCTCTTAGCTTGTCATTTTACAGACTGAGAGTTTGGACAAGACTTTTGCTGTTCCAAGACCACCTAATACTACTATAGCTGCCTAATTTCCCATTGCTAAATTACCACACCACTACATCCAATTCATGCAAACCATGTATCATGTGTCTTTCAGCTACATTTATCTCTTGTCCATCCAAAGATAGCTGCACAATGCCAAGTGCTCAAATCAGAGGAACAGAAATGTTAGGAGTAACAGTGGCTTCCTTCTCCCTAACGCCGTCTTCAGATTAATATGTGGAGCTGAGCCTTAAGAGTGGCAGGCCCCACAGCTCAAACCATAACCCTCTGGCCAGAGAAAACACACTTTTGTGGGCACCTTTAAGCCTAGACAAGTTCATCATGGCATATTCTGTGAACCGCCCTGAGACGGTGTGGTGGAGTCTCCTTCTTTGGAGGTCTTTAAGCAGAGGCTTGACAACCATATGTCAGGAGTGCTCTGATGGTGTTTCCTGCTTGGCAGGGGGTTGGACTCAATGGCCCTTGTGGTCTCTTCCAACTCTATGATTCTATGACCCCTGGGTATAGGGCGGTATATAAATTCAATGAATAATAATAATCTTATGAAGTGGCTAATCTTCAAGATGTCACAAGGCTGTTCCTTTTGCTGCAACAGACTAACATAGCTCCCTCTCTAGTCCCACTAGTCCCACGGCTAGACAAGTGGTCATATATTGAATGATGTTCTTCCCCAACATTCCTTGTCCAGATCACTTCATAACTGCTGGCATTGCACAATAGTGGAAGATCACACCTGAAGCACTTTTTGTAGGTATGTTTTGCAGGAAATTCCAATGACTACATTTCTTCCTCTTCCCGCAGAATTCCATTAGCTGGCATTATAGAGAACCTTATTAAAATGTTAGGAGTCAATCTTTCTCCTATTTTCTTCTTCCTCGGGTGAGTCTGCCACTGTCTTCACTTGCAGTTATGGATAAATCTTTTAAGATACATGTACTTCAACTACTGCTCTTTCAATAGAAAAGGACATGAAAATAGGCTTATTTCCTTTGAAATAACATGGGTGTTTATTAGCTGATGAGCTTGGAGAATAAGGCCTGTCACTGGTGCAGCTTAATCCCCACTTCAGTCAAAACAAAAGCCTCTGGTGAAGGTTTCTTTGCAGCTGGACCCAGAGGAAAGCTGGTTCCTTTGGCTCCCTTGTCAGGATTTGTAATTTGATTTGACGGATGGTGTGCAGGGGAGGTGCTGTATGACAAAAGGCTTGTGCTCCGGGTGACTTCAACCAGTGGCATTCAGGAAGGGGGATTTGGCTGCAGGGAGCAGACAGAGGCCAGTGGAGGAGCTGCTTGGGAAAGTGGTGATCTTTCACCCTTCTCCCAGCCAGAAGTGGGATCAGACAATGGGGCTGGGAGATATGAGAAAAGTGTTGCCTCTGAATGGAAAATGGCAGGTGCCTCAGATCTCGGCACTGCAAGTGACACTAAATGGCCACTGTAGGCTTAGGATATTCAATACTAAGCTGAGCAAGGAGGCGGGGGGGCGGAGGGGGCAAAATGTGGGACCCAAGCGGCACTCAAGAAAGGGACTGCCTTTGATCTATACTTGCTCAGAGCTGGCTTCTCCTTGAAACTCATTGCTGTTAGGAGTTCCACATTCCAGATGCTGGGGCGTATTTCTTAATCTATTAATTTGAATGTGTAAACCCACCAACTGCTACAGGCTCAGGGAGGACAGATTAGCCCAAAGGGTTTTGGAAGAAAAAAAAAAAGCAATTAAGTCATTGCTGCAGCCAGATAGACTGTTGTGTCAAACACCCCAAAAGCGCCACCAGTCTGTTACAAATGCTTAATTATGGTTACACATCAGAGATGAGGAGTTTCTTTCTGTCTATCCACAGCCGCGTTCCCTCGGGGGAACCTGTCCAGGGGCCACACGCTGGTGGAGGATGTGGCTGAGGGGAGCACTGGGGGGGGGGGTGGACCAGAGCACAAAGCAGAGCAGCCCACCCCTCTTCCCCAGAGGCTGCAGGGGGAGGGAGGTTTGAGCTGGCAGGATCCGGGGGGCTTTGGATATTATCCCCACAGGTACAAGTTGCCCCATCTTTTACATAAACGAAAAGCATAAATATCTTAAGAGTGAGGCATTGATAAAAAATAGTTAAGCATGATTTAGTTTGGAGAGGGATGTACAGACAATTTATTTAATCAGGTTTCCTATTTACATTTCACTTTCACATACTATTTTGCTACTCTATGATAACAATTCACTCAACACATCAACAGCCTTTTCATAGAAAAAATGAAATATTCATTATAGAACAGTAGTGCATACATTATACTCCTGAAAAGCCAGCCTGTACTTTAACACACTAAAAGTTTGGAAGATTTGTTCATTTGAATTTAAGGTCAAGAGATGCACTCGTGTGATTCTAAAATTTTGGTTAGTAGTCATGTTGTCATGTTCTGGACTTGACGTAATGCTCAACAAACACTGGTGACAGGCAAGCGGCAAAAAGGGGGGTGGGGTGGGAAAGAAGGTGTTGCAAAATTAAGGTACCAGACTTCCCTCGTGTAGACTTTGGCCAATTGCTCAGTGAAGATCGGAAGGACTCCACATACAAGAATCAAATCAGTACAACTTCTAGCAGTAACTTACCAAATTTACCTTTGGCTTTTGTGCCAAGCTGCTCTCTTCCCCTACTTAATGGCCTCAAAATAGTGTTTACTTGGTTACTATGATGTCTAGATATGTGGAAAGTTGGCTAAGGTAGTAGGGGGTCACAGTAACCAAAAGCCTTTGCCCATCACCAGTGAATGTGCCTGTCTTCCCAGTTTATGAAAAATGGACTTTCACCCAGTCAAAGCCAGCAAAGGAACTGCTGCAGCTGACTCAGGCAAGCCACCTTCCGAAGTGGAGAAAATGGAGTTCAAGCTTAGGTTTGCAGCTTCTTCTATGCGTAGGTTCCTCCTGTGATTAGCAACTCGTAAGCAGGGTCCCGACTCCTCCTGCAGAGCACAATGCAGGCACACAGCATACCCAGCAGCTGCAGAGAAGAGGAGAAGGAAACTGAGAACACAGGAGCATTATTTGTACCAGGTATTGGCTTTCTGAAAGCTGCCTAGACACCACACAGACGCAATTCAAGCCGTTCTGTTTCAGGAGGGTATTGCCAGACCTCTCCCTTCAAGCTACTTTCCATTGTGCAATCCCTCATTTCTTCTGTGTTTCATTCAGAATCAGAAGTGCTTGCTATTTGCAACTCCCTTTAGCACCAGAGGTTTTAGGAATCAACCCACCATGGGGGCTGCCATGAGCTGAAGAGGAGGGGGGGTGCCACCTGGCACATGCAGGAACCTGCACGCATATCTGGTTCTGGTACTCAGCAGGAAGAGTTCAAATCTGTGGCTGTGATATATGCAGAACTTGGCACAGGCACACTAGGCATGTTTATCAATCACACAAGTGCCCTGACTCACAACAGGAGAAAGATATTCAGTGAGGCCTCATGGGGAAAACCGCTGTCATTGGTTGCCATGTGTTTTCTGTAGGGAAAGTTCAAGTATTATAATAATAATAATAATAATAATAATAAAAACAATAATAAAACAATAATAATACCTTTATTGTCAATGTACAACCTGTGTACAATGAAATTAACTGAGCCTCCCCCCCCATACACTCAATCTCCTTGCTCTCTGTGTGCTTGTCGTACAACACACCAACCCCGAAAGTCAGTTGCACCATATTATTTTCCATTCAGCAGCCTAACAGCCCACGGATAGAAACTTTTTTTTAGCCTGTTGGTACAACTGATTATTCCTGCCAACCTAGCAGTTCGAAAGCACATCAAAGTGCAAGTAGATAAATAGGTACCGCTCCGGCGGGAAGGTAAACGGCGTTTCCGCGCGCTGCTCTGGTTCGCCAGAAGCGGCTTAGTCATGCTGGCCACATGACCCGGAAGCTGTACGCCGGCTCCCTTGGCCAATAAAGCGAGATGAGCGCCGCAACCCCAGAGTCGGTCACGACTGGACTTAGCGGTCAGGGGTCCCTTTACCTTTACAACTGATTATACTTCTATATCTCCTGCCCGAGGGCAGAAGATTATAGAGGTGCTGGCCGGGGTGTGAATCATCCCTGAGAATTTTTCTCGCTCTCCTAAGGCAACGATCCCTTGCGATATTGTCTAGCGGGCTCAGGGGACAGCCCATGCTATCATGTGCTGTGTTCACCACCCTCTATACAGACTTTCTGTCCGTGGCTGTCAAGCCAACGTACCACACTGTGATATAATATGAGAGGACACTTTCTACTGTGGACCAGTAGGAGGAGGTCATCAATTGTTGTTTAACATTGTTCTTTCGCAAGAACCCGAGGAAATGGAGTCTCTGTTGGGCCTTCCTAACCACCTGAGTTATATTGTTTTTCCAAGTGAGGTCTTCACTAAGGTAAACTCCCAGGAATTTAAGGAAAGAGACTCTCTCCACACAACCCTCCGATATACAACGCGGCTAGTTCCCCTCTCTTCCTCCGAAAGTCCAACACCATCTCCTTTGTCTTGATAATATTTAGGTGCAAGTTATTCTCTAGGTACCATGTAGATACTTTTTGAACCTCCCTCCTGTACACTGATTCATCTCCACCTGTAATTAGACCAATTATGGTAGTATCATCTGCAAACTTAATAATTGCAGTGGATGGATCAGATGAAATACAGTCATATGTATACAACGATTACAGGTAGGGACTCAGCACACATCCCTGTGGGGTGCCAGTGCTGAGCTTCAGGGAGGTAGATGTAACAGGCCCAATCCTCACTGTTTTGTGTACGATCCCTCAGAAAGTCTTTAATCCAGTCACAGATGGTAGAAGAAAGGTCTAGTTCTAGGTCAGCCTTTTGTTAAGAATGGATGGTATTAAAAGCCGAGCTATAATCAATAAACAACATTGTAACATAATTCCCCGGTCTCTCCAGATGACTCGCCGCAAGGTGAAAGGCTGTGGCTATGGCATCATCTGTTGACCTGTTTCTCCTATTGGTGAACTGATGTTTATCAAAATCCAGTGGAAAACATGTCCTAAGGTGTTGAAGGACCAATCTCTCGAAGCATTTCATCACTACAGGTGTCAATGCAATAGGTCTGTAGTCATTTAGGCAGTTAGTTGCTGTTTTCTTTGGGACTGGGACAATGGTGGCTGCTTTCAAACATGATGGAACACAAGCAGTTTGCAGAGAGATGTTAAAAATCCTTGTCAAGACCCCTGCTAGTGGATCGGCACAGTTTTTTACCACTATCCCCAGCACCCCATCTGGACCAGCAGCTTTACTGGGATTCACCGCCCCCATTGCAGCTTTTACTTGATGGTCATACAGAATAAGTGGCTGAGAGTTTGTAGGCTGGCAGGCAGAACTATGATACCTGATCTTTTTACCTCATAGCGGGCAAAGCTCCTCTGCCAACAAATCATCAGCCTGAACAGTGTTCCTCGTATTGCCTTTGTAGTTGGTTAGATGCTGCAGTCCCTGCCACACTTGTTTCCTGTTGTTATCAGCTAGGGCAATTCTCCACCCTAAGCTTATATTGTTGTTTTGCCGCCTTAATACCTTTCCTGAGCTTTGTTCTTGCCCCTCTGTATATATCTATGTTCCCTGCCTTGAAGGCAGTATCCCAAGCTTTCAGGAGTGACCTTACTTCAGCAGTCATCCAGGGTTTGCAGTTCCCATAGACTCTGATGCACCTCTCTGTTGTTACATTATCGGTGCACACTTTAATATAAGAAAGTACAGCATCTGTGTATCTGTGCAGATCTTGATGTTCAAACACACTCAAGTATTTAGTAGTGTTTGGCACCCTGACTACAGCTTTTATAATATCTGAGAATTTCACTGGAGATCAGTTTCCTCTCAAACATAACATGCTAAAATGGTACATCTAAAATTATCGCAAAGAGGGTAAAGGTTCAAACTTCTGATTTGTGTTGATGCCTTTTCAGCATGAACCACCACCAGGTAAATTGGACTCAAGGAAAGTGCTTATCTGGTTGATAAGCCAGATTCAAAATTCTCCCTCTGGGTCATCTGAACATGTGGGCGGAGCTGCTCACTTGTCAATTACCTGATGTCAGGTAACTCTTCCTTTGCAGCCCAGCTTAAACTGAAGCAGAGGCTGCAAAGAAAAATCTTTGAAAGAATATCTCTTGCAAAGGAAAAATGAAGACTCGGCAATGAAGACTTGGTGTGGTCCCGATTCTCCCTGTTCCCACACCTGGTGTCAGATGGATGTGGTTTAATGAAAACCAGGCCACATGGGAAGGCCTGGTGGGAGGAGAATCAACTGCAAGCACCCTTTCCCTGCCTAGCTTCTTGGAACAGCTTGTGATGGACAAGGACCTAGGTGAGAGAATAATCCTTCTGGCATCTTACTCCCCGCCCCCACCAGGGATGGGACTGTGCCAACAGGCAAAGCCTCTTTGCTTGCCGGCATACTTCAATCTGTTCCGGAACTGGATGTTTAACCATCCAGTTTTAGGAAGGGCACATTGCATAGTCCCATGTGTAATATCACTTTTGTCAATACTTCAGGACTAGTTGTTCTGTGCAGATGTTTGTGTGCTTAGTTCAACACACTGTTGAACCAGTCTTTGAAGAAACAGTGTGTTGGCAATTCCAGAAATGCCCATATTGAGATGAGGCCATATAAGAACCATCATGTATGGAGACAGAATGATATTTGAGGGTTTTTTTGCCTGGTAAACCTGGTCAGAACAATACAGAGAAAATGGGAAAGCTTTGTAAAAATCTCTGTAGGAGATGGAGAACACACACATCAAAAGTTACATATTTTAAGTCTTACCTGGATGGCAGCAAATGCCAGAGCTGCCCAAATAACATACATCATGATCTCTTGTAGTTTCTTTACAACCAAAGCCTCACATCCCTTAAGGAAAAAGAACAAGCCAGTGGTGCTGTTAGCGGTAGTATTTCTCTTCTAAAATGCTTATGCTACATTCTGGGACACCCCTCTCCTCAATCCAAAGCCTTTGCCGTCTGTTAGATTTATGAAGCTTAGAAAACTGCAGATTGTGTGTACTGCTCTCTCTGCCCTCCAGCGTCCTCTGTACTCTTGCCAGGCAAACGGGAACCCTTGGCTGTTCTAAGCATTAACCAGAAAGGCAAGAAACAAACAGCTGTCCTCAAGCCCTTGCTTACAGTTGCTGCCTTAGAAGAGGGCTGAGATGCACTGCCTGCAACAGCAAGTCTTGGCACTTGTGCTTCTCCACGGAACCCTTTTAAGGATGGCGCTGCTGGTGTCATCCTTTTCTACACTGCGATAACCTGGGTTTTATAGCATTTTGTTTTAGCGTATGAGGACTCACATACAAATCACTTGGGTGAAAACACAGTGCAAAACCCTTACAGAAGTGTTATCACATACCTCAATTTTCCAAGAGAAAAGAATAAGATGCATATGGGAGGGGTTTTTTTCATAGGTTCTAATGGAACCATAGGTCCCAATTAAGGTATTTGCTAGCCAATATGTAATAGTCAGCAGGCTATGGCAGACAAAATATGAGACCATTTAGGTTCAGAGCCACCTTTGCCTTGCTGGCTGGATGGCCTTGCATCAGGTCTGCCCGCGCACCCGCAGCCTAGCCTACCTCACAGAGTGGCTCCTTTTCCTTGCAAATTTTGCAGCTTAAGCAAAAGAGCTATTCACCTCGGCATAAAGGTCTGTGGGGTGAGTCAAACTTCCTGTGCAATTGCTGCTGGTGGCTTTACAGCAGCTGAGAGGGACACTGTTGTTTTTCGTTTCTTTGAACCAGTTTGTGGTCTCCCAGTCACTGTAGTTGTGGATCCCACAGCAGCGCAGCTACAAAGGAGAGAAAGGGTGAAAAATTCCCGCAGTGAATCAAATTGTGCTCACTAAAAAGGGATACATATTTAGCAAATCATAAAGGTCTGTGGGGCGAGGCAGCATGTCCCAGGACTCCTCTGCTTACTTCATAAAGGAAGACTCCTATCTCAAAAGATGAGCAGCAATTGGGTATCTTCCAACTAACATACTTCAGCACATAAAGCATGTGTGAACAATACACCTGCACCCTTCTACGTGAGCAACATCATGCACAGAGTGCCTCTAGCTGCTTTCAAGCCAGAGACTTAGGCCAGTTCTCACTGAGGCGGTAAGCCTGGGCTTCCCCAGATGAGGCTACAGGCAGGAGCTTGTGATGAAATGCTGCTCCACACTCAAAATTTCCTTCTGCACAGAAAGCAAAATGCCTGCAAGAACTAAAACAGAAGACCCCTTCTGACAGCATCCTCCCTAGCATTGTTGGCAAGGGAAAAGAGGAACACTATCTTATAGAAAGCAACAAGCCAGGAGCTGTAAATGTGGACTTCTTCCCTTTTCAGGAAGCAGTACAGTGCTTGCCTTGACAGTGTTTACATTGGCTCTCACCTGCCTCTGCACATAATCAATGGCACGGCTCGCAGCATCCGGGTTAGTTCCATTATACGTGTCATACACCTTCTTAATACTGTGATCGACTTCAGCCTCCACCTATTAAAACAAACAAGTGCAAGTTCTTTTCTAAAGTTATCCCATTTAGAGGCCTGCTGAGCCCCCATTCCCTCTATGAGTCTATTGATCAGTGTGTACAGTTATAGTTCCCTGATGCATCGCTTAGGGGGCCCTCACCTTCTGAAGCAAGGCAGGTGGTGACTTTGGGCTTTTCTCACTCACAAGACGGCTATTGCCATAGGAAGAGCAAGGCTGCTGTACCTTGAATGCAACACCCAAGCTGGAAGCAACTGTATTTGCTTGTATTGCTCTGACTCACCATTTGGAAATGGTAGCCTCTACCAGCCTTGCCCAACCTGGGTCTGATCAGATGCTTTGAACTACAACTCTGACCATCCTGGTCCATTGAGCCATGCTGGCGGGGGGCTGAATGGAATTCAAAACAGCTGGAGGGCAAAGGCTTCAAGCTGATTGGCTTGGCTGGTTCTCACTACTTGGTCAAAGCCTGATCTAAGTGGGGCCCCCAAATAGGGCAAAGATGGGTTGAAGACTAACGGATGGGGTGAAGGCAAACAGCAGCCTTCTAGTGCGGAAGCTGGTATGTCTGCAACCCTCGTGTATTTTCTGGTCTCCTTCGCTTCTACCCTCCCTCAATCAAGGGAAAAGCTTTGGGAAATTTTTAAAACTGAAATCTACTTATTAACTGAGGTGGTCCCATTCAACTGAACAATTCCATGATTTTATGATTTACTTAAAAGCATTTATAAACACTTAATATTGAAAAAAATTCTAAGTGGTGTAGAATAACAAACAATACCAGTAAACAAAAACGCAACTGAAAACTCACAAAACAACAGCACACAAACATATTAAACAGTAAGCATCTGACCATAAAAAACTGGAGAGACCAGTAAGAGTTTGAGGCCCCGTAAAAAGCAACAAATGATGTACGATGTTAAAAAACAGATTTTAATACTGTACATTTGTTTAAAATTCATCCAGCTCTTTGAAATTAGTGAAATTTCTGTGGGTCTAGTTCAGTGTTAACCCTAGGGTTTTTGTTTTTAGAAATTTCTACAAAGGCAGAATAGAATGCCATAAGAACAGCAGCTGGGCATACAGTAGTAACTTCCTGGACAGCTCAGCAGGTTAGAGCGTGGTACTGATAATGCCAAGGTTGAAGGATTCTGTTAGCTACAGTCATCCAAATTCTTTGCTTACTACCTTATTTTTCTCTAGCTTTTTATCTTTTTGAAATATTAAAATACTTTTCTTAGCATGTGCCCACTTTATTTTTACATCTATAATTCCATTCCAATAGCCTCCAGCAATTTTATTTATCAGAAATACAATGCTACAGAATCCTAAGCACAGTTAACCACAATACTTAGCACTTAAGAAGAGACAACTACCTTTGCTCTGTAGATATAGCCCAGAACAACCACCACAACTTCAGTGATAAAAACCAACAGAAGGATGATCACAAACTGCAAGAAAAAACATGTTTTGTTGGCAACTTACAGTTTTGTGAAGATATAACTATGCTATTTATAGGTTATACCCACATAATCTAATAAAGTCCTTTGGTAATGGTGAATGCACTCAATACCCATTGTGTTAAAGAGTCTTTACCGGTAATTTGAGGAAGCAACCATTTCAAAAACATCAAAACGGTCAAGTTCAGCATACAGCTTCTTTAGACAAGGTACACTAAGCTTAGGAAGCTGACTCAGCATTCCAAATGGTGCATTTGAAGAAGCAATTATTTTATGATAAAGACAGGTAGCATTTACAGCAACTATTAGGCTCCAAAACACACTGGCAGTTCTGAGGAAACGCTTGCCAGTGTGTCAAACAGAAAACCCTTTCCAAACATCAGACTTACTGTAGCGAGTCCACAGCGGCTTTCCCGGATCGTGGCACAACAGCCAATCAAACCAATGATAAAGAGAAGTGTCCCCACTGCTATGATAACCACTGCAGGGATGAGTGTATAAACATCTTCAAAGAAGTGATCGTAGTCATCATATGTGATGAAGACATAGGCTCCCACGTAGCACAAGATGCCAGCTGCTGCCTGCAAAAAAAAGGGGAGGTAAGATCAGAATTCCTTTTAGCCTAACACTTGGGTTGTGTGTATTTGTGCAAACACACACAGGTTTTCAGGCTTCTGCTCAACAAATATACAAATATTTTATGGGGTGATTTCTTTACAGGTTATGCTGTAGCTCAGTAATACCAAACTAAATGCAGTATTATGCAAATCTATGGTTGCAATCATAACCACTTAGTACAAGCTACTGGTTAAGCATGAACCTCAGCATGAGATGCTATTAATTGCCTCACACACAAAGCTTCTACTAAGGATTGAGGTGCTAAGCATTACATCCCTGACAATTAACGACCTACTTTCTAGCAGATGGGAAATGCACCAACTCCTTCCCCTCTCAACTTGAGGAACTGATATTCCTCAATCCCAGAAACCAGAAAAGCTACATTATATATTATTCATTGCGACTGCACCGAAGGTCATTGCCAACTTAAGCCCCATTGCCCAAACCCAGCAAACTTCCAACTCAAGCTGCTGATTGTGCTAATAGCGCAAAATTATTTCCACTTCCAACTGTTGAAACGTTCAGGGTGGCAGGAGAGGATATATTGTTTATTAACATCCTTGCTAACTTGCGCTAGCAAGTTCCTTTACACAGCAGAAAACTTGTTGCAAACTTGTGTGAGTTTCTTGACAATACGCAATTCGATCTGGCCTGTCCAGATTGAAATGTGTTCTAATATTTTCCTGGTAAAACCCCTTGAATCCCTCCTAAAAGAATTAAGACACCAGTGTCTTATTCATAATTAACAAAAAGAAAGTTTACTCACGATCAGGCAAAGCACAGTGTGATCCCTGAAGGCAGGCTTTAGGCTTAAAGTTACAAACTTATACTAACAGGTTTATCCCATAAGGGTTGACCTAGTGACTGCAGTTTCAACTGGCTGGACCAAACATTCCCTTGCATGTCCACTCTGGCAAAACAAGGAATGTTGTATTTGACTGCTCCCAGTGGATTACATCCCACACCAACACCAGCAGCATTAATGCTGGTGAATGTTTTTCTAACCTCCATACACATAAAGAGGTGTTCTCACATAGCCTCAGTAGAGTGGGTTAAGTTCCACAAATCAATTTGCACAGGATCACACCATAGGTCCCAAGTCTGATCCTACATGGGATATTCATCAAGCAGTTAACATTCTTCAGGACATGTGCTAGAAAAACTCCATTATATCTGCTGCTTTCAATTTACAGCACTAGAGCTGTCACCTGCAACGTCTGGCTTCAGTGTAAGCAACTTTGCCGGATGTCTCCAAATCTATGTTCTTGACGACAACTAGGATTGTCTACCTGAAAGGAGTGTTAGAAACTGGGAGAGAACAGCTATTTGCCACATGGCTCCTGGAACCTAGGCTACGGCCACAAAAAACATAAGTGGCTAATTGCCTTTTCTTCGCAGTTCAGCAATACTTTATATATATTTTTTTGAAATGCATGAACTAATTCACAATTCACTTCAGTGACACACTTTTAATATCACATGTTTAAAAGCAATTCTTAATTGGACACCACAAACGTAAATGGGGCTCAGACCCTGTAAAAATGGCCAAAACCGTAAGTCATTTGAATAATTAATATTTACAAATATTTAGATATCTAATATGTGCCCTTTTACCCTAGCCTTAATAATCTCTCTCTCTCTCTCTCTCTCTCTCTCTCTCTCTCTCTCACACACACACACACACACACACAGCTTTAGCCATTGAGGTTCCCATCCATGCACACTTCACTTGGGAGGAAACCCCACTGAACTGTAGGGATTTACTTTCAAGTAGAAGGCAGCCTCCAGATCAGGATTGGAAACAACCCTTTTCTTTTTCCAAACGGTACCCAAATTGCTTCTTTTGTTTCTTATAAATTGTATTTACTGTATTACAGTTTCAATTCCATAAAATTATACAGTGTAGAAACATAGAATCATAGAGTTGGAAGAGACCACCAGGGCCATCGAGTCCAACCCCCTGCCAAGCAGGAAACACCATCAGAGCACTCCTGACATATGGTTGTCAAGCCTCTGCTTAAAGACCTCCAAAGAAGGAGACTCCACCACACTCCTTGGCAGCAAATTCCACTGTCAAACAGCTCTTACTGTCAGGAAGTTCTTCCTAATGTTTAGGTGGAATCTTCTTTCTTGTAGTTTGGATCCATTGCTCCGTGTCCGCTTCTCTGGAGCAGCAGAAAACAACCTTTCTCCCTCCTCTATGTGACATCCTTTTATATATTTGAACATGGCTATCATATCACCCCTTAACCTCCTCTTCTCCAGGCTAAACATGCCCAGCTCCCTTAGCCGTTCCTCATAAGGCATCGTTTCCAGGCCTTTGACCATTTTGGTTGCCCTCCTCTGGACACGTTCCAGTTTGTCAGTGTCCTTCTTGAACTGTGGTGCCCAGAACTGGACACAGTACTCCAGGTGAGGTCTGACCAGAGCAGAATACAGTGGCACTATTACTTCCCTTGATCTAGATGCTATACTCCTATTGATGCAGCCCAGAATTGCATTGGCTTTTTAGCTGCCGCGTCACACTGTTGGCTCATGTCAAGTTTGTGGTCAACCAAGACTCCTAGATCCTTTTCACATGTACTGCTCTCAAGCCAGGTGTCACCCATCTTGTATTTGTGCCTCTCATTTTTTTTGCCCAAGTGCAATACTTTACATTTCTCCCTGTTAAAATTCATGTAAAACCTCGGGTTACATACGCTTCAGGTTACAGACTCCGCTAACCCAGAAATATTACTTTGGGTTAAGAACTTTGCTTCAGGATGAGAACAGAAATCGTGCAGTGGCGGCGCAGTGGCAGCAGGAAGCCCCATTAGCTAAAGTGGTGCTTCAGGTTAAGAACAGTTTCAGGTTAAGAACAGACCTCCAGAATGAATTAAGTACTTAACCCGAGGTACCACTGTACTCCTCTCCCCCTCCCTTCTTTTTTGTCTTGGGCTCCCTGGTCCATTAGCATCTGTGCCTGGTTTTGTGAAGATTTTTGGAGTGCTTTTATTGGCTGCCTTTTTATTTTCAATTGATTAGGACTTTTGGGTGTGTGATTCATTCCCTCTGCCTCAGGGATGTCCTGATGAATCTGACCCAAAGGGTGAATCGGCTCCCCCCTCCTTTTTCATAGCAACCAGCACTTCTGGGACACTCAGAAAATGAAGGAACCAGCTCTCCCCTCCCGTCTAATATTCAGAGGTTCCATTTGGCCATCATAGTTAATAGTTACTGATGTATCCATGCTTCTTTAATGTGCTCCTAAAACCCCCCTACATAAACCAGCCTATTCTGTGGCACTTCTATGGCAGCATATGCCACAGGTTATTAAGCAATGCATAAAGAGCCTATAATTGCCTGTGGTTCTCCGAAGTCTAGCAAGTGTTTTAAGAAGAAGCCTAGGTTACAGTCGCAACAACACAATGTCTAGGCACTCTTTGTTTTTGTTTTTTTAAAATAAAACAAGATCACAGAGCTGAAAATGAATTGTGAATATTCCCAGCACAATAAAAATTTAAAAGTGTAATGTGGTGTTTTCCCACTTTTTTGCTGCTGTTTTGATTCCCTTGGGTTATTTCAGGTGTGGCCTTTTGAAAAATGGAAGCAAACAACCATTCCAAAATCATACTGAACTTCAATGAAAGTTTAGCAAAAGTAGCTACTCCTGTCCCAACATCAGGAGCAGAAATAAGCAAAAAGCGACTAGGCTTATCAAATATTGTACACCCGTCTTTTAAAAAAAAACCAAATACTGTAAAATCCATTCAAATCTGTTTTAGAATAGTTGACACAATCTCTTATAATACTGTTTGGCTGGGCTCTATTTCCTAATACAAACTTCAAATAACTTTTAAGTTTCCTTGGCAGCTGCTCATGCCCCCAAGCAAGAACAGCAGCAATAGTAGCCACAGACCCAAGGCATTTATTTATTTAATTCAGACATGCATATCTAGCTTTTTTAATCCAACGGGTTCACAAGTTACGTTTACAACTGAAGTGAACCAAAACATCCAGCAAAACTACCAAATAAACAAGTATCAATAAAACCAGGACCACAAAACAGCAGCAGCAAAGCACCTTGTTGTTGATAAAAAACCAAGGTAAAGAAAGTCATTTTAACCCAGTGCTAACAGCTAACATGTGAAAAGGAAGGGTGCCAGACAAGCCTTTCTGAGGAGGAAATTCTAAAGATGGGAACCAACCCATAATACAATTGAAAGGAAAGGTCGCTTCTTATGGGAAGAGTATTTATTGGATTCATGGACTATATAACTCCCAACCACAAAACAGGCAGCTAATTGACTGGTGTTCCAACCCTACATTGAGCTACCTGCCAAAGCCCCACCACAGCTATTTCAGATTGGGTCCATACATGGCTATCGAAGTTGTTTAACAAATGCCACAGTCATAATGCCAGTCAAGTATACGTTTGACTCAAGTTAATGCAACTGTGGAATGTCTGTAGAAATCATTTCGAACGCATTTATTTTTTTAAATCAGTATGGCAAAATCAGTGTCACACCATGTTGTTCTGCTCTGTCCCACACCAGCTTAAAGAAACACGTAATCACACTGGCCAGAAATCAGGGAAACTTCCGAATGAGGCATCCAAACATGCAGAATTAAAGGGCTTTTATTTAAAGAAAAAAAGCAATACCTGTTCCAAGTAGAGCAGATGTTAGAAACAAAGTTGTCACACACATTTGGGGACTCTTTCATGTTATCTCCTAAGAAGTCAAACGGCAATCTGAAGTCAATTAAAATACCACAATATATTATTTCCAATCCAACAGGGAAGACTCATGTCTCTGAAATACAATGGTACCTCTGGTTCCAAACTTAATTCGTTCTGGAGGTCCGCTCTTAACCTGAAACCCGTTCTTAACCTGAGGTACCACTTTAGCTAATGGGGCTCCCATTGCCGACCAATTTCTGTTCTCATCCTGGGGCAAAGTTCTGAGGTACTACTTCTGGGTTAGCGGAGTCTGTAACCCGAAGTGTTTGTAACCTGAGGTACCACTGTACCACCATTCCTTTTGATTGTTAGCAGTCATAGGCTATGGCTTGAGCAAAGGTATCTACTTTCTCCCATTCACAGAAAACTCAATGTCCCTGAACTACCAGGAGAGAACTTGATCTCTGCACTCATCGCCCAGAAACACTCATCCATCCATCAAACCTGATCATAGTTATTAATGGTTCTTCAAGGGTAATAATAATAAATTTTATTTATATCCCGCCCTCCCCAGCCGAAGCCGGGCTCAGGGCGGCTAACAACAATCAAATAATCCAACATTCTAAAACATTTCATTATAAAAATTAATTAAAATCAAATTAATGGCAACCGTTAAGCAAAATTCTGTGCAGGTTGCCAGAGGAGGGAGTCAGGCTGGGCCCTGACCAAAGGCCTGGTGGAACAACTCTGTCTTGCAGGCCTTGCGGAAAGATGTCAGGTCCCGCAGGGCCCTAGTCTCTTGTGACAGAGCGTTCCACCAGATCGGAGCCACAGCCGAGAAAGCCCTGGCTCTAGTTGAGGCCAGCCTAACCTCTCTGAGGCCTGGGACCTTCAGAATGTTTTTATTTGAAGACCGTAAGTTCCTCTGTGGGGCACACCAGGAGAGGCGGTCCCGTAGGTACGAGGGTCCTAGGCCGTATAGGGCTTTAAAGGTTAAAACCAGCACCTTAAACCTGATCCTGTACTCCACCGGGAGCCAGTGCAGCTGGTATAGCACCGGGTGAATGTGATCTCGCAGCGAAGACCCCGTAAGGAGTCTTGCCGCGGCATTCTGCACCCGCTGGAGTTTCTGGGTCAGTCTCAAGGGCAGCCCCACGTAGAGCGAGTTACAATAATCCAGTCTGGAGGTGACCGTCGCGTGGATCACAGTGGCTAGGTCAGGGCGAGAGAGATAAGGGACCAACTGCTTAGCTTGGCGGAGAGGAAAAAATGCCGCCATTGTTAACAATGTTAAGTGTGTTTGCATGAGGAAATCCCAAGTGAGTGTTTAGCTGCACCCTCATTAAACATGCAGGGATTCAGTTGCCAGTACAAATACTTGTGTCCATGGAGATTCCCATAAGTATCTGAAAGAGAGGCCTGTTTCTAGATTGACTGTGCAGAAGGAAAAGAAAGGGCTCACCAGGAGATCACGGAACCATTTGTAAGACAGCTGCAAAACTTGCAGAGCACACAGGGTCTATACCAGCACAGAATTTCTGCTCTTCAGAAAAAATGCATGCACAGCATCACTGAAACACAGTTGTGTTAGAGAGAACACAAGGATATTGTCATGCTTTTTAATTTTAAACTTACAAATCAAGTAGGTAATGAAGGTGGCTGCCGTCTACAAATGTTTGCTTCATTTATGCCACTGTAGCACAAGTCTGACATCTTGTTGTTTTATTGAGACGAATCTCTAATAATGGGGTCCCATTAGCTGCATTTACACAAGGAAACACTCTTGAGTGGACGTAGCCTCCATGAAGGGGGAGGGGAGGATGGTGCTAACATTAATCTTTCAATGTTTTAAGAGATTCTCAAATTGTGGATATTAAAAGGAAGGTCTGCAAAATGCATTAACATTTACATAGTTATTTTGCCATGGTAATTGTGGCATCTCAGGTATGCCCAACCTTTAATGTATCAAGATTTTGAAGACTCAGCTGTACAGGCAGTCCTGCAAAAAACGCTATCTTGTGAAAGGAGTGTTCATAAGCATGTTGCTGGAGAGGCGCTATTCAAAAATAATTACTGGTAGGTTGCAATCCCAATTCCATATGCCTGAAAGTAAGCCCTTTTGATTGCAGTAGGATCTATTTCTGTGTATAAATGGTTAGGATTGTGCTGTTAGGCCTGTTCTTCCAAGAATTTTGATATAATAGTACTGTGGCTGCAGTACTTGCTGAAAATGAAACAACGTATTTGGCACAGAGAGGGGGAGGAGAGAGATTGAAATTGTGTGTTTGTGTGTGTGTTTGTCTACACTCATACACCCCAGTATTTACAAATACTTATGGATGGCCACTATTGCTGAGGCTAAACCCCATTTATTTTTGTGATGTCCAATTAACAATTGCTATTAAATTACTATTACAAATGTGATATTACAAATGTGTCACTGATGTGAACTGTGTATAGTGGTACCTCGGGTTAAGTGCTTAATTCCTTCTGGAGGTCTGTTCTTAACCTGAAACTGTTCTTAACCTGAAGCACCACTTCAGCTAATGGGGCCTCCTGCTGCTGCCGCTCCGCCAGAGCACAATTTCTGTTCTCATCCTGAAGCAAAGTTCTTAACCCAAAGTACTATTTCTGGGTTAGCGGAGTCTGTAACCTGAAGCGTATGCAACCCGAGGTACCACTGTATTAGTTCACGTTTTTTTAAAAAAAAGATTACTGTAATTGGTAAAATGTGTGACTGAATTGTAAAATATATTCACGTCAACAATATACAAAAAGCATTTTTTGCTTTGTAATCTTAAAGGGGAAAAAGGTGACTAGACATTTCAATGTTGCGTCTGTAACGTAGATTTAAGGGGCATCTGGTCAATAGGGCTGCTGACCACTGATGGTTCGTGGAAAGCAGTTTGGGAATGCCTGTTGCAGGCACTGCAACCACTGATGCAGCCTGGGCTTCAAATTATGTCCACACATGTACACTGAATACATTTCTCATCATATAAAGGTTGTCAATACTAAGAGACAAGCCCCATTCTCATCTCTTGACTGAAATCCAGTTCAAAACTACAGCAGTTGTTGTTTTGTAAAAAGCATCACAAAACAGAAATGCCCTGCTGGAACATTGTCCAGCGTGCCATTTCCACTAATAAGTCAACCAGATGTCATAGGAAGGATATAAAGGCAAAAGCCCTCTTATGCTATTATGTCCCAAGAACTGGTATTCAGAGTCATACAGTCTCTGACCCAAGATTACCAGAATCAGATGGAACAGGTATCATTTGCAAATGCATTTTGCCCTTTAAAGAACTGCTTTCTCCACAGAGGAGCTGCAAAAAAAAAATGTAGCTGGTCAAGGGAGCCAGGAACTCAAAAAGGTTTAAAACCTCTGGCTTAGTACTGAAAAAACTCCCAATGAGTGGCAAGAGGAAATGGGGGGAGGGGGAGGGAAGAATGGGAAAGAAAGGTAAGCAGGACAACAATAGCCTCATTCTCTTCTGTTCACTTTGTAACCTGAGCTGGCTCTTCAGCACTACCAGCTTCCTTGATCTGCATAAGAACAATGCAGCCCACAGCAAGCTTCTTCCAAGATGAAGTTACATGCAGTTCAAGGCTGCCATGAAAGAAAAGGTGCCCAGCAAGATCCCAAGAGAAACAGCATGCTCCAGGTCAACAGAAACTGATGCACGTCTAAGCAACTGTGAGCCACTTGTTCTGCCTTAGGAGCTCACTGCTCTCAAATGGTGTTCACATTACACTAGTTCAGTTTTGAAGAGGAGGAGAGAACATTAGCTGTAGTTCTCAAGTTTCAATCTTAGTAATAATTCATAGGCTCAGGTACTAATCAATCTTATTTGGTGCACCTTTGCAGCACTACGCTGAACCCAGACAGGAGCCAAACTAAACTAGTATACACGCAAAGCTATTAAGGAATGTGCTGCAATTGTTTTGTACAACGCAACACCTTTGTGAGCTGTATGGTAGAAAAGCCGCCAAGAAAACAATTTTTTAAAATCTGCAGAGAACTTCCAACTGTCTGTTCTGTAATGCTCTGGTGTGTTTTTACATTTCTTAAATCAAATTTGTTAAATAGCAAGATCTTAATAGCTACACATATTAAACCATGGTGAGATAGATATAAAATATCTAAGGATGCACTGGTTGACCAAGGGTTAGGGGAGTAAATGTGTCCCTATTCTGTACTAAATGTGCCCCTGTGAAAATTTAATAAGAACGTACAAAGCAGGGTATCTACCTAGTCTAGCGTCCTCTTTGTCAGAGAGGCCAACCACAAACTGGGCATGAAGGTGGTTGCCCTTTCTTACTTTTGCCCACCCCTCCTCTGGCAAACTGTATCCTGCACACCTGCCTCTAAACAAGGGGGTTCCATTTGCCTCCAGTACAGAAAGTGCTCTCTTCCTCCACTCATTTGTCAAATCGCCTTCTAAAGCCATCCCATCATGCTGTGGTAATAAATTCCATATGAATTGTGGGAAGTGTTTTCTATTGTCTTTAGTAACCCAACTCTACTGCCTATTAATTTGACAAGCTCCAATTCTTGTATATAAAAGAGGCACCATCTCCAGTTAAAATAGCAGATGAATTTCCTAATTTCCCCTAGCCTGTGATGAAAAAAACCTAGCATGTTTCCACTGTCATTTTTCAGACTACAGTAGTTTCTCCTAGTTGCAGAGAAAAATGGATTTGAATACCAGAAACCCTCCTGAAATATACAGTGACTTTTTTGTCAATATCGGAACTGCTACTCCAAGGCAGCTCAGCCCACCTAGGCCTCCGCCTCCCCAGAGTCTTAGAATTACCTATCGACAACAGCTTTAACTCAAATGTTTTTACACAACAACAGGTAGTTTGAAATGCAACATTCCCACTAGCTCTAAATTGATACAGGCCAAGTTATTTCTATCCTTCGCTTACAGATTTTCTGAAATTCCCAGAGAACTGAACAATGCACCTAGCTCAGCAGCAATATTGCCTTCAGAGCAACACTAACTTGGAAACAAAGGATGAGCCATCCCTTCTCATCTCAGCGCAAAAGAAAAGCTGACCACCGTATAATAGTGTCCACTGTATCCCATACATCTTTCAAAATCCTGCCTTCTAGAGAAGCACATTGCTCGGCACTTTAAGCACACAATGGTCTGGTTGAAATCTTTTATAAGGCATTTTTTTTAAAAAAGCCTTGCATTTGCCTCAGTGTTTGAAACCAACCAGGCACCTTTGGCGACTCAGGAAAGCCCCCTTGGAACCAAGCGGAGATTTCCTGCTGCAAGGTTTCTGCAGCTGAGCATCTGGCATTCCCTCCCCAGAAAGCCTTTTTACATGCTGAAGAGACTCCATTGTGAACACAATTGGCTAAGTGTGTGTGTGTGTGTGTGTGTGACACATACATATATATACACACCACCCTAGTATTTACAAATACTTATGGTGGACCACTATTGCTGAAGCCGAGCCCCATTTATGTTTGTGGCGTCCAATTAAGAATTGCTCTTAAAAATGTGATATTAACAATGTGTCACTGATATGAATTGTGTTCAGGTGTTTCAAAAACATTGAAAGTGCTCCCACATCTGGGGGGGGGGGTGGCAACTAGCCATTCTATTTTTGCTCCTGTAACCCAGGTTCCAGGAGGCAAATAGCTTTTCTGTTCCAGTTTCTAACACTGGTTTGCTTACTTTTCTAGGCTTTAAATTATAGCTTGGTTTATTTTGACTTTTTTACTTGTATTTCTTTAATTCTACTTTTCCCTTGTATACAAAATCACCTCTATGATCTAAAAACAGCTGTGGCACAAATGTTTCCGTCTGCAACTATATTTCTGCTGCTGCAAACTACTGTACCCTAATCTTATCTGGGACGTTTGATGATGAAGGATCATTGCCCAGTGGCAGGGCACCCAATTTTCATGCAGAGCGTCCCAGATTCAATCCCTGGCATCTCCAGGTAAGGCCAGGAGTGTGTGTGTGTATATATATATATATATTTGTACAAATAGCACAATATTTTTTTCCTTTGAACTGGAAAATTTTCTGATGTCCTAGACTAAAGTGTGATCTAACGTAGCATGATTATTTTACTTTTATTTGGTAAACAAAACTAAAAACTTTGAAACTGCCTAATGTTGTATTTTTTTATTGGCATCTGTTCATACTGCCATACCAAAACAAGTAGAAGAAAATCAGGAAAAACTTACTGAGAGCTGCCAAAGAAACATGCCACATAACACTGAAAGGACTAGAAGTGGGTAACAACTGAACTGTAGAAGTACTATTTATAGCAATGTTATTTTTGCTTATTAATATAGTATTACCGCATTCCAGAGCCTTTTTTTCAAACAGCTGGCATAATGAATCTGACATTACAGTAATTTGAACTCCAGCCCACTGGCGCTTGAAGGTTATACTGTACATGCCATCATGTTCTTCAATTGTATTCCCTTAAGTTAGGTTATGCTGATCTCATGTCTTCCTTCCCATCTCTCCATCTTCTATAGGTATTTTTTTCTAAACTGCTGTTCTACTAACCTGCACACATCACCTTAATATTGACAACAGCTCCTCCCCCCCAAAAAAGTCTGAGCTCAGCTGGATATAAATTTAAATATGAGGGGGAATAAAAAATTGGCACAAACCATTTATGTAAGCAGAACACAGGGCCAGTCTTGAAATTGTGCCCACTTTGTGCCCGACCTAATCCTAAATGCCACCCCTGCCACCCCCGCACCTTGTCCAGGTTTGGGGCAGACCCCCTTCCCCCCCTCTCCGGCAGGCGCCAAGAACAGCGCCGGGTTGCCTCTTCCCTTCTCCCAGCTCTGGCGAAGGATGAAGCGGGGAAGCCAGCGGGGCGGGACCTCAGCTGGGTCCACACAAGCCTCTTTCTCCGGCCCGCCGGCCGAGGCGGCCTTGGATTCTCCCCTAACCCAACCTCTCTTCCGAGGAGCGAAAACGGTGGGGCGAGAATTTGAGGCCCCGCGAACCCCTCCCAGCCCCGGAGGGCAGGGGCTGTCCCAGGCGGCTCTTGCGGCCTCTGCGGGGCCCGCCTTTCCCGACCGGAGAGTCCCGCGACCGGAGCCCGGGCGAGAAAGAGCCGCGTCCCCCGGGGACCCCTCGCCATTCAGGCCTGGGAGGGTCTGCCCCGCGTGTGCAGCGTCCACACGTGTACTTTACACGCGTGTCTGAACAGGGCGGGGAGCGGCCCTCCCCCTCGCGCGGCGCCTCACCCAGAAGATGAGGTTGAGGAAGACGAGGACGGTCTTGGAGGACGTGATCCCGCACTGCCCCATGGCCGGCGCCTTCGCCTCCGCCGCCTCCGCCTCCTCTTCTTCCTCGGCTCTCCCGACCGGGCTCCCGGCGCCACGTGGCTCCGCCCCTTTGTGACGCCATCGCGGCGGCGGCGAGGAGGGCGAGGCTCGCCGAGGCTTAAGATGGCGCCGCCCGCCTCACGTGACGCCGGAGGACGCGCTCGGCGGCGGAAGGGCCTCTAAGATGGCCGCCGGCCTGCAGGGCGTCTGCGCGCGCGCGTCCCGGCAGGAGGGGCCTCCTCTCGGCGGGGGACCCCGGAGCGCAGCCGCCCGAGGAAGGCCTTCGCCGGCCTGATCCGGCCCCGCCCGGCCGCCCCGCCTGCTTTGTCTTCCCCGAGGGGAGCGTCAGGGAAAGAAACAACTAGCGGACGTTTAGAAGGCGCCTGAAGGCAGCCCTCTGGAGGGAGGGTTTTAGGACTGATGTTTTATTGGGCTTTTAATATTCTGTTGGGAGCCGCCCAGAGGGGCGGGGCATAAATAAATATTATTATTATTATTATTATTATTATTATTATTTCTATTACGGGCAACGTCCTGACACTTGCAGCCCAGCTATTGATTGACAGGTCAAGTTCAATTACATGGGACCTGTGGAGGTTTCCACGGGGAAGTGTTTTGCTTTCGGGTGTTTTTTAGGTCCTGTTTCCTGCAGAGGCCTTTATGGAATGCCTCCAAAGTCATACCAAACTCATTCTCTCATTCTCTTCCTTATGCGGCAAAAACCGACAAAAGGCACACACTGTCTCGTCACAGGAGGGAGGTCTGCTTAGGGTTGGGGAAGCCCCTAGGTGTACAGAAGAACAAAAAAGCTTTAGGCAAGATGCTGAGGCCACAGGAGCTGCAGGGGGAAAAATGGTATTTCTGTGCAATGGAGTATCCTGGAAAAGGGTATGACTGGCTGGCTGCCCTATACAGGAGTGGTCCATACTGCAACATTTTGATGTAGGTAGGCACCGCTTGTATTTCCTGAACACACGTCTACCAATTTGTGCCTAAAGCAAGGGTGAAATCGTAATGTCTGCAACTAATGCATGTAGTTTGTGATGAGCCTTTTTGCTCATTGTCTAGCACGGGTCAGCAAACTTTTTCAGCAGGTGGCCGGTCCACTGTCCATCAGACCTTGTGGGGGTCTGGACTATATATTTTTTTTTGGGGGGGGGGAAATGAACGAATTCCTATGCCCCACAAATAACCCAGAAATGCATTTTAAATAAAAGCACACATTCTACTCATAAAAACACACTAATTCCCGGACCATCCGCAGGCTGGATTGAGAAGGCGATTGGGCCGGATCCGGCCCCCGCGCCTTAGTTTGCCTACCCATGGACTAGCATCTCTGAGCCCCAAGAGTATCCCCAACCCGCTTTTGGATTAACTGACCTGGTGGGGTTTACCATCTTAGAACTTCTTATCCCATCATCTCACTAGCCCATTAATCTAAACTAGGCCCAAATGAACAGGGCTAGAAATACCTAAAAATTTCCCCCTCTCAATCAAGTTTGCTGTTTCTGGTTAGCTTTGTCCCAGATTATCTTGGGCAGACTAAATATAGGCACAGTCAGGAACTGATTTGGTCTTTCTGCTGCTCTGCCTCATTTTTCTTGGCTTAGAAGGGTTCAAACTCGTACTGTGGTTCGCCACAAAAACAAGGTCGATTAAAAAGGGGAACAGCAGGATGATAAATAGTGCTTGTGAAGTTCATTTTAAAAAGGAAGTTGTTCAAGTTTCTCCGGCCCATAAAGGAACTAACTCCAGTTTTTCTAGCTAGTTCAGCTGGGGTTCATCCTTAGCCATCCCTCCCCCCCTCCCCCCGGGTTCAGAATGTTATAAGCTGTTGTGCCAAAGTACAGGAGCCAAGTATTATTCAGGGCCACACAAGTAATGCAGTGTAAGATGTCTGACAGAGAGTGACAATTTCCCCATAATTGTATTCTACTAAAAAAAAGTTTTGCCCTCCTTAATTTGTGCTAGCCCCACAGCTGTTAAAGGTGTAAGGCATCACATCCTTTCTTGTACCTGTTTTCACTGCAAGCTGCTTCTGTTGGAAGAGAGTCAGTCTCTTCAGCAAGGAAGATAAAGGAAATGCCTCAGATTCCCTCCGATTGCTTAGCAATAGTGATTAAATGACTGAGCAGCCTCAGCAACAGCGGTGTCTCTGTATCTGCTTAATAAGACTTGGAATGCTGTCTTCATATTTTGCTTTCTAATTTTCTTTATAGGTGTCCAACTGACATTAAAAAAGAAAGAAGATGAAACACGAAAGTGCAGGAATGAACATGAAGATGAAATCATTCAAAGTTCTACCCCAAAATGAACTTAATTCACCTTCAGTTTACCTGGCAACTCTGGGAACTACTCTCAGAAGTAGTTCAAGAGTTTTGAACTGGTTCAGTTAGGTGCCACAATGGAGCAGGCTCTCTGATTCTTGGGGATCGCAATGTGTCCATTCTGTGAACAAAACTGGACTTTGCAGGTCCCAATAATATCAGTAGCCTGCTCCTGAGTAACTTGGAGCAGAGGTTTCAGGGAGGAGGTCCCTGTTTTGTGGAACAGCAGTATTCCTGTTGAGATACGGTGGTCAGGCACTCTTTGTACTTACTGGAAACTGGACCATGATGCCAGCCAAGAACAAGCATCCGTTATCACAGCCTGTTATTCTATTTCATCCCCTCAAATCAAGGACAACAATTCAGGGCTTCACTACCTTGAGATGCTGGCTTTTCTGCAATTACGTTGAGCCCTTGTTGAACTTAGGTTTCAACAGGTGCCCTCAGCATACTTGGTTGGAATAGCACACATGGAATGGCATTTTTGGATGTAATCAGGTTGCAGATGCACTGCTTGTAGATTTGCCCTTTACATATGGTGTCCAGAGAAATTTTTAAATTCTCTATTGGTTCTCAAATTGATCCTCCCAGGAAGTGATAGTTGAATTCTTAGCCATATTTGGCTGGTAGCCATATTTGCTCTGGCACCTAAGAAGCTTCATTCCAGTTATGTTAATGCTTTGTAATTTTCAGTTTTTATGCTGTAAATGTGTGATTTTAGAGGAATGTTTTGCTTTTGATCCTCTTTGTTCATTGTGAACGCCTTTGGTGATATACAATAAATCGAAATGAATGATATTGTTACCTGTGAAATATAGCTCTACACAGCTTTCTGTGAAATATATAATGTGTTTTTGGATGCTTTCAGAAATGCTTCCTTGTTGGGAAATAATCGTTTGACTATTTTAGGATGCAATGGTTTGTAAACAGATAAAGAACGATGCTAGGAAAGTTACACAACAGAGGCTTGTGTGGCTGTTTCTTGCCTGTGGATTTGAAGACTGATTCATTGAATAGCTGCCTCGTGACCTACTTTTCTAAGAGAGCCTGCAAATACTGAGCCTAGGATTTGCGACTCTGGTGCCTGCCAGGAACATTATTCACAGGATCAAAATGGAATTTTGGACTGGTGACTCAGGGCTTCAGTAGGAAGCATGGGAGCCAACTACTAGGGGCTGAGGTCCCTCCCCCCCCCCAATAAAATATTGGAGGGGGCCAGCATCCCACCCCCACGTTGATGGGCATTGCCATTAAAATGGTGTGGGTGGGTGCTGTCATGTGATCAATTATGTGGGCTGGAGCTCACCTGCCCCCCCCCCCATTTTAGTCAAGGTGGAACCCCTGGTTGGAAGGGGTTACAGCCGAGGTTTGCTACTATTTGTGTAACTGGAGAAGTACATTTCTTCTGAGAGTTCCTCATCTTGTTTTATATTGTGTCTGGTTAGTGAGCCAGGATTTGGGGCTAGCCCATTCACTTACAGCCCTGGGATGTTGGGCTCTCATGAGCATGGCCAGGGGTCAGGGATGGCATGTGAGAATGCATTTCCTTAATGTGTCTGATGCTAAATGAATCTTCGCTCCAGTGAAGAACAAACTATGCTTTTCTCCCCTAAAAAAAGCTATTGGTTTGGTCATGCACTGTCTTAATCAATTGATTGAAACTCCTTTGATTAACTGACATTTTAAAAAATCAGATGGCAGTCCTAGTAATAAGTAAAACTTGAGTAGCTCATTTGGGAACAAACATGAAGTAAATAGCAGTAATTTCTTAAATTTCTCTCTCTGATTTCCTGCATCACCAGTGATTTTTGACCAGATGTAATTTACATGCCTTTCCAGCTTTCTGATTTTATTTATTTAAAGTATTTTTACCCTAATCTTCAGCCAAAAAAAGAGGCTCCCAGAGCAGCTTACAAAGATCAGTAAAAAGGTAGGCCCTGTCTCAGGCTTACAATCCAGAAGACACCCCAGAAAAGAAATCCGGAAGGGGATAAAAGCAAACTCAAGCATCCGTTGTAAATGGTCTTTCTGTCACACTACAAAACTGCACAAGTTCTACAGCGCTTTGCTTCCTTGGAAATAAAAAATGTGTAGCAGCCATCTTTGTATCCAAAGGTCAAAAGTGCCCATTTAATTGGGCAACTTTGCAACAGGACTTTCAAGCCCAGACTCACATTCCAAATTCCTAAATTCAGGCATTACTTTCAAGTAAACGGTATTCCACAAATTTGATCCTAGCTGCAGGCTATGAGAAAACAAGGCCATCTGTATGTGTGATGCGCAGATCCAGACACAACAGGACAAAAAGGAGCATCGTACTCCTGGAATCTGTTTCTGAGTCATTTTCAGTGAGAGGCACTGACTAAATACTTCTTGACACCTGGTGACCCAGGTGATCCCCTGGTGCACTGGAGGTCTGTTCTTAACCTGAAACTGTTCTTAACCTGAAGCACCACTTTAGCTAATGGGGCCTCCCGCTGCTGCCACACCACGATTTCTGTTCTCATCCTGAGGCAAAGTTCTTAACCCGAGGTACTAGTTCTGGGTTAGCGGAGTCTGTAACCTGAAGCGTATGTAACCTGAAGTGTATGTAACCCGAGGTACCACTGTACTACCAGAAAAATGCCCATGAACTCTCCCCCTTCTTATCTCTGTACATTAATTTTGCACCACCCTGGGCCCCACAGTCCCCAGGATGCACATAAAATAAGTACATCCTTGTGTTGCCCCAAAGCACCACACGTCACATGCTCCCCAAGGAAAGCTCCCCCCCCCTTGTTTGCCTGGTTCTAATGGAGGCATGTTCCCCAATCTTCCTTCATCCTTCATGCTAGCATGTTAAAACAAGGAAAACGTATTTCCCTATGAAACAGTGTATAAAATTGTTTATAAATGTATATAATTCTTGCTTTTGAAACTTGTTGGTTGTTATAAGAATTTTAAGGTCATACACATAAAAAATATGTTCATAACTGTATATATAAACCACATGTCTGAAACCCCTCAGATTAGGTCCTGAACAAATTGACCTCAAAAATTTCTCTGCAAGGTCAAAGTGGAAACCTCCCCATTGTCTCTTTCCTCACAAATCCTCTCTTAAGGGCACATTCAAGATATGAAGAGGGTGTAAGCCTGTGACCTGTGACCTAGATTCAGGAATTAAGTAGTTATAATAACCAAAGAGCAGCCAAAACCCAGATAATGCAATCAGGTAACTTGCCAGACAGGAGATAAACAACGCATTCAGATTTCTGTTGTAGACCGCCTTTTCTGTGATGTATGTATGATGTTTCTGGGGGTGGTCTTGGACTCCAGGGCAGGCAATGTAAAATGTCTATATAAGGGCTTGCATGCATGGATCGGGGTCCTCCTCCTCTCTCCTGCGTGTGAAGGGGGCACCCTGTTGCAACGGCTAATAAAGATCAGGCTTACTAGCTGCTTTGCTTCTCAATACTCTCTGGTTGGTCTCTGTTATTTTCTCCTACTGATAGAGAACCTACAAAAGGACTCTATATGGGCTCTTGGGTACCCCTTAAGGGAAAAGGAGCAGTTTTTTATCTTATATCATTGGTCATGTGTGCCTCTTTGTGCTGTGCGCCCCCACAGTCCCCCTTTCCTGAGATCATGGAGGCTGCTTCCTGACAGAGTTTCCCCAGGTGTGTCGCCTGAAAGGATCTCCAGGTTCTTCCAGATGTTCTGATTCCCGTATCAATGAATTCCTAGGAGAACCTATTCCCAGCTCTGCCTAACCTCTGTCTGGAACTATGTAAATTTTACTAATCCTGAGGAATGTGACACCTTGACCTGCGCCTGAGCCACTGTACTCCCACCTTATGTGTGATGTATTTCTGACGCTCTTCCCTTGTGCCACTGACGTTTGCAAAGGGGATGTCCACGCCAAAATGCTAACCTTTAAAAGTTGTGACCAACTTTGTTCTTGGTGCCTGCCTCCTATCATAAGGTTACCAGATTTTTTTCAATGAATCCAGGTACACTTTGAAGCTGAGTAGCAACGGGGAGTCAGTAGTGGGGATGGTGAGGCAAAAGACCCTGCCCTCTCAGACATAAGTGGTGCCATAGCTCAGCAGTACAGCACATATTTTCATGCAGAAAGGCCCAAGTTCAATCTTAGATCCTCTACTTAAATTAAAAATATCTCAGATAGCCCAAGCTGTGCGGTGTTATTTTTGGTAAATATTTTTTATTAATTTTCAATTATTAAAATCTAATAACAGCCACATTTTATCAATATCAAATTACCATTCCCGTCCAAATATAGATCAATTATGCAGCCAATTATAAATTTTGAGTGACTTCCTGTGTGCTGGGTTTTGGGATGCAAAGTTCTTATTTGCCCCTGCTTCCAAAATCTTAGTTAATCCAGCTGCATTAAGTCCTGATCTTAGTCCTTTATCCATAGCTACAGAGTTCTTGACTTCCATTCGTGTTGAGATATTTAATAAAAAGATTTTTCCCCCGCAAGGAGAGTTCTGTATCCTGTAAATTCTCTGTGTGAGATGTTTATTTTCCCATTTGCTTCTTCATTGTTCTAATCATGTCCTGCAGCAGCATCTCTTCTTCCGCTTTTCCAATCTTTCTCTTCTTCTGCTGAAATTCTAGCTGCGTCATTATGCCATCTTTGTTGTTTGTGTCTGAGTAAGGGAGTAATCTGGTTTCCCGCCGTACTCTGGGTGAAATTCCAGTTCTCCTTCCAATTCTTAGATCTCTTAACAATCTGGCGCCGCGCCAGGTCCGAATTGCTGTCCAGTGGAAGTTAGATGCTTTAAATCATTTCAGTGTTCTCACACAGTTCTATTTTTATATTAATACATAAATATAATTCTGTTCTCTTTTTCTCTTCTTGCTTTTTATCAATTTGTTATCGTTTAGGGGGAGGTTTGCCAAATCATTTATGTAGCAAATATAGTATATGTAAAAAAGGGTAAAAACTCCCCTCCTCCCTCACGTACCGTATTTTTCAGTGAAGGAAATCTTTCCAGTTCGAAATGTTGCAACCCAGTAATGGGATTCACTTGGCAGTTTATAATCTTGTCCTCTTCATTCTGCACCTGTCTGTAAATTAGAGCCAATTTCATCCTAATAAACAGAAGCACCTCTGCTCTTCACGGCTGCGTGGGGGGGGGGGTTACCGATATGCAAAGCGCTTTTACACTCAGCTTCTACTGCCTCTCGGGTTCCATACCAGAGTGACAGCCACTTATCAAGACAATCTACGAGTGAAGCTCACTCCCCCCCGGGCCCTGGGGGAGCTTGCAAGGACAATTACTCCCAAATCATCCTTGCTTTCTTCCGCAAATGATCTCCGCTAGCATGGGAGCTACATCCATTAAGGAAGTAAGCACCAGAAGTGCCCAAGCTGTGTTTTTAGCAGTGTTCCCCAGTGTGGGGCTGGAAGGAAAAGTCAGAAAATGAATAGAAACATGTTGCTCTGGGGAAGCTTTTGGGTCCCATTTTGTGGATGGCAACTTGCAGCGATCTTTGTTATTTGCAACAGCCTGGCTGGGTCTGCCCTCTGGCACCAGGCCCACCTTTGTGGCAGCCATCCTCAGGAACACCCAGCACAATCCAAATTCAGTCCCGTAGAGCTACTGTGAGCACGTGTCTCTGGAAGTTCACATGCGCACACACTTAACACTGCCTCAAACAGGTGACTGGGGAGAATTAGCTGGAAGTTGATCTGCTGGCACACCAGGAGGGGACACAACAGAAACCTTGAGGATCACAAACTATTATATCTGGGGCTGAATGTGTTGTTCTTGTGGTTGTTTTAAACTCTGGAAAAATCCACTGCCACACC